CGTGATCCCTCACGATGGATCACCGTACTCCAGGGTGATCCAGCGGTCCGTGCGTTTCTGCCTATCTTATCGTGCTGACCGCCCTTGGGGCAGTGTCCCGCGGTAGCGGCGGCTGATTCTGTAACAATCTAATATTAATTCTTATTATACTTTATCCTATAAGAATAGATAGATCTCTTATTATTAAAAGCCTTATCTTAAAGTATTAATTACTCTATTAATCTTTAGATAGGCTTTATTACTATATTAAATAATCTCTTAGCTAATCTTTTAACTATTATTATTACTATAAGCTATTATTAAAGCTAATAAGTAAATATATAATTATTTAAAATCAACTCTTTTTAATTAAGAGTATTTATATAAATCTAAATAAAGATACTACTAACTTTATTAATACTACTTATAATAATAAGAAAGTTCTTTATAGATTAATTATCTTAAATATTATTAATATTAATATCCTTAATATATTATAAAATCTATTCTTATTATTTAATCTATATTAATAAATTAATAGATTTAAATAATTATCTAACTTATTAATATTAAACTTAAGCTTATATTCTTATTTTAAAGTTTAATAACTTAAGATATTCCTTTAATATTATTAATCTTATTTATATTAATCTAACTCTTAATAATTATCTAATTACTTCTATCTTATTAAAGATCTATATAATTACTTATTATAATTCTTCTAATAACTTATTAAATAGAGCTATATACTATTTAACTATTTAATAGATAAGCTTATTTATCTTAATTAGCTTTTTATTCTTCTTCTTATATATTATATTTAAAATCTTCTATTTATCTAACTCTATATTAAAGAAGTTCTTTCTTATTTTAAATTTTAAATATATTATTATTAATTATTTCTTTTAAAGTATTATTAAGAAAATAAAAAAAGATCTTAGATAATCTTTAAAAGACTTTAAAGTCTAATCTCTATCTAAATTAATATACTTCTAGATTTTATTATCTATAGCTTTAAGATAAATATATAAATACTATATATTCTAATCTATTTTATTAATAAGAATTATTATCTAATTATTATCTAAATTCTTTTTAATTATAATATTATAATTAAATAATTAAGAGAGTTAATTAAATAATACTTTAACTTAAATAGAAGATTAATTAAATTATTATTATATTCTAAAGAGTTCTAACTACTTCTTATTAAATTTAACTATAGAAATCTATAACTCTATAGTCTAAATCTTATAATAATTACTCTAGATAAATAGATCTACTCTAATCTACTTAATTAAATATTAACTAGACTTATAACTATTAACTAAAGATTAGATCAATTAAATTCTATTTATTAAGATATCTAATTCTAAGAGAGAAAAGAAGAAGGCTGCTAGGAGGGCTGCTAGTCCTTAGAGGTAGCCCTAAAGGGCGGTATGGTTAGGCAGAGACAGCTCTACATACTAAATTTACCCTAGGGTTGTCCTTAGTGGACCAGCCCCTTCTGACAGCCCGGATCACCGTGCTTTCGGTCCCAAGCGCAGTGACATCTCCAGTGGCAGGGATCAAAAATATTACAAAGTACTCGCCTCGCTTGGACAAGCAGTGGGACATTCGTATCTGGAATAGAAGACACACACTAGCTGTATTGTTGGCCCCCGTATCCAATCTCGGTGACTCGCCTACAAGTACTTGTAAAGTCTACTTGTACAAGTAGGAGATCCGCACAGATACAGGGAAAAGGCAGAAAGGTTCACAGCCACACTCCTGTTCACCATCACAAGGGTGCCCACCTGTCATGCGACTGTGGATACACGCCATCGCTGCCGATTCGGCGGATGCAACCAGATTTGTTCCTAGCGGCCCGTCTGACCCCCAACGGACCCCTGAAACCCCTTGCCTAGCCCGTCCGAATCCAGCTATTTTAGACGTGAAGGGAGGTTAGCGAAGCTGACCGAGGTGATCAAGGACTCATTGCCTCTGCCGAGCAGGTCGCTCACTGTGGCCGGCACTCAAGAGAGAAACATATTGAATAAGCTGATCAGAGTGGCTCTGCTCTTTATTTCAGACGTTTCAAGATATTCTGAGCACGCTGACGAGTCAACTGCTCGTATTGCGGCCGTGTGTTCGGCTGCCATCGAGCGGTCCTTTTTGACCGGCTCCCCACCAGAGTGGACAAATGTTTCTTCGCTTGTCACCAAACAAGCCAGGTCTAAGCGCTCGCTTGCCTAGAACGGACGTCTTTTTGGTCAGGTTCAAGGGTGCCATGGCACCGCCAAGGCCCATCAGATACCACCCTAGCCAGTCTCGACTCGTCTCAGTGTGGAGCAAGACAACTCCAGGAACAGACATCGTGAGCTTCGGCACCCCTTTACCGCGTATACACACATCTTTAAAACCACGGATGGTTCCCTCCTCGATCTGAGAATGGAGATCTTTCCCCGTCATGGGCTTCACTCCCTTCACCATCTCTCTCAAAGGCACATTTGCCTAGTCGTTCGTTAACCCCCCTTACAACCCCAGTCAGTCGTTTGCCTAGTCACTCTCTTGCTGCAGCTCTCTGCTGCCAGCTGAATCGGTCTACATTTCCCGTCTCTTTGCTCTTTTCTTGTCTTTGAAGATGCGTCTTTCTCTCACTGTCGTGGGAGGTCTTCTCCTCACGGGTGGCCTTGCCTGTCCGGCAAAGCGCCCTACTTCGACCACCAGCGTCACCACTCCTTCTGCCTCGCCCACTGAGGATGTTGTTTCTTCTACGTCTATCTCCGAGGAGCCTTCGCAGACCACCAGTGTGGATGTAACCACTGCTCCCACCACGGAGGCGCAGCCCACCTCTACGAGCAGCACGGCCAAGGTCGAGGAGCCCAGCTCTACGTCGGCCTCGGCCAGCAGCACTTCTGCCTCCAGCAGCGCCGCGCCCTCGCCGACAACAATCGTTCGGACTTATCCTGCCGACGTTGTCGACAAGCTGCGTGACAGCAGCATTGACAAGCTCAAGGACTACCTCAGCAAGAACCCTGCCGGTAGCTGCACACTCGAGAACGCCTCCATCCGCCGGGAATGGTAAGTCACTGAAACAAAAGGAACGTGTGGACAACAAAGCCTAACATGGATGTGATGACAACAGGAGCGATATCTCTCCCAAGGAAAGGGAGGAGTATATCGCTGCCGTCAAGTGCCTGCAGTCCAAGTCGCCCCGGACCGCGTCGTCCAAGGGCCCCGGCGTGCGCAGCCGCTTCGACGACTTTGTCGCCACGCACATTGAGCAGACGGACTACATCCACAACACGGCCAACTTCCTCTCGTGGCACCGCTACTACGTGCACGCCTACGAGAAGGCCCTGCGCGACGAGTGCGGCTACGCGGGCTTCCAGCCCTACTGGAACTGGGACCGCTACGCCAAGGACCCGGCCAACTCGCCCCTCTTCAACGGCAACGCCTCGAGCCTGGGCGGCAACTCGGTCAACGGCGGCTGCGTCCAGTCCGGGCCCTTCAAGGACATGAGCGTCAACCTGGGGCCCGGCACCTCGCTCGGCTACAACCCGCGCTGCCTCAAGCGCGCCATCAGCAAGCAGTGGGCGGCGCAGACGACGGCCGACCACACCATCTCGCTCATCACGCAGAGCCGCGACATCGTCTCCTTCCAGGACACGATGCAGAGCTACGGCGGCGTGCACACGGGCGGGCACTTCACCATCGGCGGCGACCCGGGCGGCGACATCCACACCTCGCCCGGCGACCCGGCGTTCTACCTGCACCACGCCATGATCGACCGCGTCTGGTGGATCTGGCAGATGCAGGACCTGTCCGCCCGGCTCAAGGCCGTCGGCGGCACCGTCGTCGGCTCCCGCGGCCGCTCCGGCTCCGCCAGCGACCCCATCAACCTGGGCGTCAACGGCGACGCCATCACCATCGGCGACATGCTCACCACCATGGGCGGTCTGAACGGCGAGCTGTGCTACATCTATGTCTAGGTCTAGGGTGATGCAAGCACAGCGGAGTGAGTGGTAGGAGACAGGGAGGGAGGTGGAGGGATGAAGAAGGTGGAGATGATTATGACGAAGCGGCGATTCATGATCAAGAAGTGTTACCGACGTATGACCGTATTGTCATGTAGATCTAATGTCTTAATCTAATACACATCCAATGCACGTTATTTGCGGCAGATTATATAATTATGACGGTCAACAGGATTAGTGTGATCGAGCTTCCCCTGCACCTGCTTACACCGACTGCCTCTCACCCTCTACCTCTCCTATCAAAGCGCCAGTACCCGTGCCGGCCTTCGAGCTGCGTCTTGTTGAGACAGCTCGGCGAGAAGTGATCTTCGGCGTCGCCGTACGGCCAGACGGCCACGAAGCAGACCTGGCTCGGCTCGCACGCTCCGCACTTGCGCCACTCGGCCCAGTCTAGCCATGTCATCAGACCCCGAACTCGCGCGCGAGCTCTCGCAAGTTGGTGGTCCACCCCCCCTCGCTCTCCTTCTCCTCCCGTGGCACCCGACTCGCTCAAGATCGCCCGGACGGCAAACAGATCGGTGCAGATCCGCGACGTCACCGCTTCTAGAGCTATCCGAATCAGCTCGTCTTGCCAGGTCGTCACCGCCGAGCGCACCGGGTCGAGATAGTGCCGTGAGCACCGCCGCCTCGCTGCTACCAAGTCAGGCGTTTGAGCGTCATCGGCGGCGGCGGCGGTGGCGTAGTTGATAAAGGTGTCGAGCAGGCCGTTAACGTCCGCGCGGACGTCCTCCAGCGTCGTAGTCCTCTCGGCGATGAAGCGCAGGCGGTCGGCGTACCGCGAGACAACCATGTCAGTCACGCCCTGCCAGTCCAGCCCGCTGGTCGTCGTTCCCTGCCAAGAGGCGGCAGCCATGGCCTCTGCCACGTCGTTCTTGATCGCGTCCAGCTCCTCCCATGGCACCGACACCATCCTGGGCAGCGCCGGGTTGCTCACGGCCTCCGGGTTCGTCAGGTTGACCGGGTAGAACAGCGCCGAGACCATGCGGCTCTGGTCGAGCGCGACGCGCGACGCCGTGATGCCCCAGTACCGCTGCGACACGGCGCGCAGGTACTCCATCTGGTCCAGGGCCCAGCCGTCATCGTCATCGTCGTCGCCATCGCCACCATCATCATCATCGCCATACGCGGGCCGCCACGGCGGCCGCCGGGCGACGGACACGAGGTCGAGGCTGCCGTCGGCAAAGTCGCACTTGATCACCTCGAAGCCGGCCTCCATGCGGACGACGCCGTCGAGCTCCCACGCCCGCGCGAGGTCGCAGAGCGCGCCCGCGCGCGGCCACTCGTCGAAGCCGCCGCTGCCGGTGCGGTTGCGCAGCAGCTCGTCCTGCGAGTCGAGCGTGCCGAGGGGCGACTTGGCGCCGGACATGCCGTCGATGTAGAGCATGCGTTGGGGCCGCGTGACGCGGTAGGTGTGCAGATACCCATCGCGAAACGGGCGGCGGGGTCGGCTGCTGCTGCTGCTGCGGCGATCATTGTCGTCGTCGTCATCGTCGTCGAAGTCCTGTTGCTGCTGCTGCACAAGAGGCGACTGGTTGGGAGATGTCATCCGTCGCCGAAGCAAAGTTTGTGGGGGTTGGCGCGGACCGTCGGACGGCGGCGGCGCGGGTGCCGGACGGGCAAAGGACTCGGCGTGCTCAATCTCGAATGCTAGCCACTCCATGCCCGTCACGGCATCCTCTTGGTGGCCACCGTGATAGAGCCAGACGCCCGCGGGAATGGTTGCGGGGAAGAAGGACATGCCATTGTGGTGGATGGACGAGCCCCACTGCCGCATGGCCGAATGGACGGCGTTGAAGACGCGGTTTGCATTTCCGCGCGCGTCCTCGGGACTTGGGCGTACGGCGGGTGTGGCGGCGGATGAAGTTGGGGAACAGGCCAAGATGCTGAGGGTGGCCAGGAGGAGAGATTGGCAAGAGGCCATGGCGAAAGGCGTGGGTGTTGCCAGTGATCTCAAAAGATCTGATGATGGTATGATATCTCGAGAATGGAGAACGAAGAACCCCGAGGGACCTAATCGAGTCCTGGCCGAGAGATATTTGGTGCCAAGCCCTCTCTGCCTCCATGATCGGCACCAACAGGCATGATGGGCGAAGGGTGGGTGGGGCGTTGTCACCAAGTGCGTACGTACGCATACCTCGTCTTCAACATGGAGGCAGCAGAGGTTCACAACGGTGCAATCTTCCTGTTCAGAGGGTAATTGGTACTCAGGAGTAAGCTGCAGATGGCCCGGACGACGACCTCTCACCCTGTTCGATCCAAATATACGTCACAAAACGGAAAGGATCGCCTCTGCCAAGAGATTTTATCCATCTGATAAGATGCTATTCAGCCCCTCTTAGTCTTGAACATCGCCAGAGGGGCGTTCGGAGGTTACTGAACTCGCTCGGCCGAGCGGTCACCGATTCATTCGCGTCATTTTCTCGCTGATTCAGCCGACAAGATGAGTTATTGGTGAATTACATGATACCATCACACTGCCAACACATCGCAATCCCAGCCCTTGATATTGCTCTCATACCTGGCTAAACTGAGCCCGGGAGGTTTTCACTCATGCGAGATGATGTTTATCAGCTATCTTAGGTATTTAGGATGAGTTTCTTAGAACCTTTGGGCTTTTAAACAATGATAGAGTTCACTTGATGTGCGTGAGTGCGTTGGAATTCAGAAAAGCTATAATATCTACAAACTACACAAGAACGAACTTGGAAAATGGTGATTATGATGGTTTAAATACTAAAGCATATGCCGAGAAGATCTAGAAAAGATGGACTCCTTGCCCCTATCCAGTCGCGTGTTGATTCTCTCGATCCAATAACCTTTTGCTCCTCAGTGATCCCCTGCATAGGCGTCCTGGCCACCGACAGCGACGAGAAACTCGGCCGGATCGCCCGCGTTCACCTTGCCCGACTGGTCCGCGCCGCCGTCGGGCTGCACGTCGTCGTACGCAAAGGCGTACCCCTTGCCGTCGAGGTTGTGCTCGTGCACGATCCGGCAGTAGTGGTTCGTCGGCTCGCGCTTGTAAAAAGTCGACGGGTCCGACGGGTGCTCGTCGACCTCGGGCAGGCTCGAGCGCTGCAGCGCCGCCGCCAGCCGGGGGATGATGGCGTTGCGCGCGGCCGAGGGGCCCGTCGCGAAGGGCCCGCTGTTGCAGCCCAGGACGTCGGCGGTGCTCGGCCGGCCGAAGGCCTCGCCGCCGAGCACGAGCTCCCCCTGCGCGTTGACGGTGCCGCCCACGACGCCCGCCGCGGCCTGCGTGTTGATCCTCATCTCGCACCCGCAGTACTTGGCCCACACCTCCTCGACGAGCGGCTCGAAGTAGCCGTCGAAGCTGGCGCCCACGGCGCCGCCGTGCGTCGGGTTCAGGGCGCGCAGGGGCGCGCCTCCGGGCCCGCCGGGCACGACGAGCTTGTCCCAGGGCCGCCCGTCCTTGGCGGCCTGCTCGCGCAGGGCCTCGGCGACGCGGTCGAGGCCGTCGGGCTGCATGCCCGAGACGTGCTGGACGGCGCCGCCCTGCTCCCGGAGGGTCAGGGCGACGGGCAGGCGCGAGACAAAGTCGACGTAGCTGATGTTGGCGAAGAGCTGGTCGGCGTTGAGGGTGAACTCGGCAAACGCGAAGTCGACGGCGGCGTTGGGGTCGGACGGGTTCAGGACCGAGGGCTCGACGATGGCGGGGCCCGGGTTCAGCAGGAAGGTGAGCTTGCCGCCGCGGGAGAACCAGATGCGGCCGCCGGCGAGCTGGGGGATGTGCACGGTGACGGTGTTGCCCGGGGCGCCGAGCGGGATGGCGCAGTCCTCGGCGAGGGGCTGGAGGATCTCCGAGGGCGACTCTGGGAAGTATAAGTCGTGGCCATTGGCCTTGAGGAGCACGCGGCGGCCGTCGTGCTGCAGCGCGATGCCGGTCACGTAGGCGTAGACCTGGTCCGAGTCGGACATGTTCTGCAGCTTGATGTCGAGCGATTCCGGCATGTTTCCTCGTATTATTGGGTTCAAATGAAGAGTATTCAAAGACTTGGGAAGAATCGTGACTGTCAGTCTCGTTGTTTCTTCCCCTTTCAAGAGACCAACCCAGCCCGGAAGCTCCCTTAAATAGGCCACACAGACCCCAGGACGAGGCTCACAAGATGACAAGATGCAAGGCTTGGCGAGGCAATATTTAGACAATGATCACAGCAGTCTCTTCGGTTATTGGCACTCACGTAAGAGTTAGTTTGTGCGAGCGAGGATGGTACCCTGCAGGAGCTTTGGCTGACCTGATCATTTGATGGTGGCTGGTTGCTTGTCGGAGTAAGAAAAACCGGATTTGGCCAGATAATGACGAAGATAGTCTTCCCCACAACACCGAACCTTAAACTACAGAGCTGAAAACTTCAAAATGGAGAAACAAGTGAATTTTGTAATTTTGTCCAAAAGGATCAAGGATCAATATGTACGTTGAAAGGAAGGACATGACGCGATATGATTCAGTGCATCGTCTACCGTGTGAGTCTAATTCATTTCCAGTCGCCCAAGTTCTCGATCCACATGCAGCGGCCTCACGTAATAGTAATAGCAAACCACTTACACTCGTGGCCCAAGTCAGTTCACCTGACCAGAAAATAAGCCAATAGTGTAACACGCCGCAGTTATTGTGTCTGATGGCTCTGATGCGCTTCGGACTAATTTTAATTTCTCACATACTCAGCCGGCTCCAGCTCGAGGGCCTTGCAGGATTCAGGGGCATTGACGGGGTTGCATCGTGCTGACTTCCTACCCTCCAGAAACACAGCGTAGTCAACATTAAAGCGGCTGGAAATACCGTACACAGGGAAGTCCGTGCTGAAAATCTGAGCACCGCTCTTGAATGCGGCCTCACGCATGGCGGTCGTGTCATTGCCGAGCAGGTTGCTGTAAGTCACATCCGACCGGGTTCGCACCCAGTAGCCGGCAGCGACCTGCTTTTGGATGTTGGCGAGGTTATCCTCGCCGAGGGGCTCGTTCAGCTTCTGGAAGGCACAGTCCGAGTTGCCAGGCACCGAGTTGGTAAAGATGGCCCGCCCCTCTAGATTGGGCCGGCCCTCGGTGTACGCGTCCCGGATGGGGCCGGGGCTCTGATCCATCAGGAAAAAGAAGCGGCCACGAGCTGAGTCCAGATCAGGCCAGCCGTACTTGAGGACCGACTTCTCCAGGGTCAAGTTCCCACGGCGCAGGCTGTCGGGAGAGATGAGCTGGGAAGGCGAGAAGACGGTGCGGATCTCCTTGTCGAAATCGTCGAGGAGTGCAGTGTTGTTCCATGGAATAGCATCGACGCCTCCCTTGGCAGTAATGGTTCGGTCCGTAGACTTGAACTCAATCATGATGGGGATAGGTACATGCTTAGGATGCGCTTCGGACCACTTCTTCATGATAGTCAGGCACTCAATGAAAGTGTGGCACTGGGTGTTCACATCGGCATCAGCGATGTGTAGGACCTTGACACCCGGCTTGTTCATGACTTCCTGCGGCGGCAGAGGAAGACCAGACCACTGCTTTACCAGAGGCTTTGCATAGTGGCCACCATCAGGGTCGGCAAAGATGTCAATCCTGTATACTCGCGTCAGTCATGTGTCTGGCGTGATTAGAGGGAAACCAAGGGTTCTTACTCAAGATTGCGGATATGCTGATACTCAAGCTGAATATCGAGCTGAGGATGCGAATAGTAGAACTGAACAGGGTCCTTGATGAGCTGCGCCTGAGCCTCCTTCTCTTTGATCGGAGACTCGAGGTGGTAGCTGTTGTGGGTTCCCACTACCTGTATCTGGTTCATGCGCAGGGCGTTCGACCATTTGAGGCCGTCCTTGGTGAAGTCGCACGACGCTTTGGCATCAACAACTTGAGCGCCTGTAGGCACAGTCTCGGTAAGTCCAGGAACTGACAGACATGATCACCAAGTATAGGTAGACCAGATGATGACGTACCAAGTACGGCAAGTCCGACGGTGAGAAACTCCGGGATTTTCCTGGGAGACTGTCACGTCTTGTTAGATGAAAGAGGGACGGAGTAGGGGTTTAATTGGGATCAAGTTACCATATTGGCATTCAACCGCTCCGTGTGTCACACTGATTACGAGACGACTACCATGTACAGGGCTGCGTATCATGTCAAAATGAAAAGCACCTTCTCATCATAGCAAGATATTGAGATCATTAAGTACTGTTGCAACTCGTCTTGAATCAATTGATCCTTGTGAGTGGTCGGAGAAACACCGCTCGTCCCGTGCAACCCAGAAAGCTGCACGATCCAATCAAGATTGTGGTGAACAGCATGTGCCTCGAGACTACGTAGATGCCAAGATTTTCAAGATGGCAATGCGGAGCATCATGGCTACCATGACCCCGGTCATTTTGCGCTTCAGAGCGGCGCGGAGCTGTCAAAACGGATCCCATCGTGGCAACAGCAAGGCCACTACCAGCCTTTGGCACCGTCCTGGTGTTTAGCTCCGGGTTAACGTTGGCTTGGCCTGCCGAAATTCATGAAAAGGGATCGTCATGAAGATTCATCGAAACCAAGCAATTTGATGGGATGACATGGGGTGGAAGTTGACATGGATTGACCCTTGTTGTGAGATAAGATAAGAAAATGACCAAGTTCAACACACGTGTTGGCTCACATGACTTGCAAGGCAAAGGAGCTGGAGCTTCTATCGCGTTTTTGGGAGGGAGCTTTCAGCGCGTTTTCGGCCCTCTTTTTTGGGACAGACAAAGAATATCGCAGTGAGCAAACACTGTTTGCAAGCATCCGGGAAACCGTCCTGGGGCCTGTCCTGGTCAAGCACCTCTGGCATTTTTACTTCAGTCGATTGATAGCTAGGCGATATTCTATTTGAGTGAACCCGATCTTCAGAATCGACACCTCGTCCTCGCGGTTCTCGGCCACCCTCGCTGCGCTTCGCAGCTCTTCTTCCCCTTCCCACCGCCATCATGACCATCCCCTCGCACCGCGTTCGGCGCACTCCGCAGAATACCCAATACATGTAAGCTCTCCTGCTCTGAGAAGCTTCTAGACTCCCTTCAATCAATCTGACGTGGCCGATTAGCTACAACCTCAACCGCCGCATCCACGATGTCAAGACCTACCCAGTGCTCTCCCCGCAAGGAGCAACTATCCTTCTGTACGCGCATGACAACGGCTTAACAGTTGTCTGGCGCGGAGGCAAGCGCCTCAAGGCGCTCGAATCAGAGAAGCATGGGAAAGCAGGAGCTGGCAAGCAGAATGGAGCGAAAGACCCGGAGGATGCCGTGATGGTTCTCGATTCAGACGACGAGGCGCCGCCAGCCTCTGCTGATGTTACGTCGCAAGCCACGAAAGCGGCAGAATTTGAGGAGCGCGACTCGGACGCAGACTTTCCTGAGATTGTGCAGACCCTCGACCTGGCATTCGGCGTGGAGATACTCCATGTTGCCATCCCTCCCATTGCGCAGTGCGCCGCCGCCGATACCGCCTTCGACATACTGAAGGAGAAGATGGTGTTTGTGGTATCATCGAGCACGGCAGACGTACACGTCGTCACTTTGCCCCTGACGCCACCTTCACATGAAAGCAAGGCAAGACCAGAGCTGCGAAAGGATCTCTTGGCCGGAAATGCGGGCAAGGGAAAATGGGGAGAGGTGCTGATCTCACTGAACGGGCAAGGAAGGTCGAGCGATGCTTTGGCTATCACATTTGACCAGCGCAAGCGACCAAATCTGGAGCGGTCGAGGTCGTTGGAGCGGAAGAGCAGTGGAGCTATCCTGGCTCGTGTTATCGTGGCTGCTCATTGTAGGGAGGCCTCGGGAACCCTTCGGCTGTGGGATGTCAACCTAGACCAGAAGCGCAACCCCTCCGATCGTCCTATCGAGCCGTTCCAGACTGAATACCTCCCTCATCCTCTCTCAAGCATCGCCTTCAACCCGAGCCGTACGTCGCAACTACTGGCCATCGACCCACACCAGGCAGTCCGAATCTACGACTACTCAATCGCCTCGCTTACCGATGACATATCCGAAGGTCCGTTCCCAACGCAAGGCTCGTGGCTTCTGTCACTCTATCCTCCCTTCACCCGCGGATCTACGACGTCTCTTTCCAGGAAGCCCATTGTGGCCGCCGCTTGGATCTCGAATGGTCGCGCCATTCTAGCCCTCCTTGCCGATGGGCAATGGGGCATATGGGACGTTGCCGGCGCAGGGCCAGCTGCTAACAGCAACGGCTCTGGGTTACTCGGCAAGGCTGCTTCGGGCATCCGGGGTGCGGCTCTGACTACTTTCAGTGCTTCGGGCCAGCTTGAGGGAACGAGCCCCTTGCGCAATCCAGCAACTCAGAAATCGGGAGGCGAATTTGTACCCATGACACCCCACACCAGGAGAGATGTCCTTGCATCTACGTTTGCCGGAGGTCTCGAGAGACTGGCTACGATCCATGGTGGGATCGAGGTTACGCAACTGCCCTCCTCTAAGCCGGGGGCCAGTGACGAGAGCGCAGTTCTCTGGCTGGGAGGCGCCGACCATATCGTGTCTCTCATTCCGAGCCTTGGGCGGTATTGGGAATCACAGGCCCGCAAGAGCACTGGGGCGGGTGCCAACATCTTCGGCTCCCAGCCAACTCGTATGATCAGGATAGCAGACCTTCATGTCGGCTTGACGGGCGAGCACTGCTCCGGCATCGGCCTCGTTCCCAAGCCTAGGAGTCATTCTAAGGACGAGGATGATACGCACGAGCATTCGGGAGATCTCCCTGTTGAGATCATCGTCCAGGGAGAGAGCAGATTGGTCATCGTTCGCGAGAGTGAGGAGGGACTGCCTTCTGTTGCCTCGCGTCTCCTCGCTACCAAGAAACGCAAGCTGGGACCTGCACCTGCCGCAGAGCCGGTGAACGCCATCATTGTCCATCCCGCGCCCAACAAGCCGGCGAACGTGAAGTTCAACTTGAGCATAGCCAAGCGAGGCAGCTTGCGCGCCCCGAGGCAGACGGCCAAGAGCCAGTTCCAGCCCGACCTCACGTCATTCGACAAGCCCGCCCGTGGGGATGGCGCTGCTGCGGGTGCGGATGAGAAACCCTATACGGACGAGGTGACGATGACGCAGAGCATGATGCATCATCCTCCGCAGGCACCAGGCACGGGCCTGGGCTTTGCTGAGCAGCTCGAGGACGCGGCGGACGCCGAGGACGACGAGGAGGCTGCACAGGAGCGCGACGTGGAGGAAGAGATTCTCGATATCATGGAGATCGATCAGGTACTCGAAGGTATGACCGATCGCAATGGCGGAACGACGAGGAATGTGTTTTTCGAGGCGGATTAAAATTCTGGTGCCGGAGTTGGACACTCACAACTACATCTATCTGTACGATACCCACGACGCACCGGTCATGATAGACTAAATGATCAAACACGGGGAGGGGAGCATGTTGGTTTAGGGAGCCGGACTTTTTCTTGCGTTCTTTCGGTTCCGGCCCTTTTGATATCCTAGTGACGTCTGTCTCTGCCCTGCCCTTGCCAGTTCTTTTCTCAACTGACTACCGTCCTGTCTCTTGTGCAAGTGATTCTTTTCCTTTTCTTAATCCGCACGGCCGGGTGGAGCACAAGGAGAGATCCATCCTTGACCAAGCTCTGTATTCCGAGCGGTATATCAAATGTGCTTCCGATCCTCCCGCTTCCGGAGTGGTGTCTCCTTTTTTGGGGAGACTTGGCCACTCTCGGATCCAGGGGCAAAGGATCGCGTCGCCGTCAAACGTGTCCTTGGTAGGGTGGGTGGGGGATTTTCCCTGGGCTTGGTTTGGACTTTGTTCGGCTGACCTTTTTGCACTTTCCGGCCCGGCCACGCCTCTCAGGGCTCCTGTCATCTGCTTGCTCGTTTCCACGCGAGCGGCGGGGGAGACGGTTCCAAGGCGGCTTCTATTTTTTTTACTATCGGGTGGTGGACACGTTGATACATACTTCTATCATCGCCTTTGTTATGTTTGATTACGGAGCAACTCGGTTTGGAGTACTTTCCAGCATGAGAGTGTCCAGTACAACAAGTTGCCGGGGCCGTTGTCGCCCGCAACTTGCAGCGAGTGAGACCTAGTGTCGGAGATACTGAGGAGTTAGCCAGATCGTTGAACATTACAAAGCAAGGGTCTCTCAATATTGGACATTACTTGTCAGCGGACGCGTCACCTTTTCCCATCTCGATGCAACGATGGCTAGCTAGGGGTTCAGCTCGGCAAGTCTTGGGTCACAACTATCCTTGCAGAAGTACCAGTCGTTTCAGTGTTCTCTGAATTAACTATGAAGATTGATTACAGAATATTCAGGAGGGACTCTGTCTCCTCCGTTGCCACGCATCCCATGCCCATGCATAGGTACTTCTCTAATGCTTTGGTGGCCCCCTTTTTGCTCTCGCTTTTTGTGTAATAATAGCAACAACAACAACACTGCCACCTCTCGGGTGTGTGTGTGATTTCGAGCGAGCTTTCTCTTTGCTTTCCTTGCAATCCCGCCGTCGTAATGCTGGGTATCGTATGCTACCTACACCAGGTTGATGCATGTTTCTTGTGTAAAAGAGAAAACGAGAAAAACGATGTATGGAGGTAATAGAACAATGAGAGAAAACAGACAAAGTGAATCGAGAAGAGGTAGGAAAGAAAAAAATGAGTTCTAGGTATAAAACCCCTCATCATATACACATGAAGGCTCTCTCTCTTTCAGATGCCGGAACCAGATTGTCGCCATGATAATGCCTTTTTGCAAAAAACACACAAGCAAACACAAACCCGCAACCGATCACTCTTTTTCCCTCCTCCTCCATTAGCTTCAGCTCCCCCCCCCCCCCCGCCCTGTGATGTTATGAAGGTAACAACGGCGCGCCGCTCTGCGACTGGCGGCCGTTGGCCCTGCTCGGCGACCGGCGGTGGTACGTCGCCGCTGTTTGCTGCTGGTGCTTCTCGTCCTGGTCCTCGACGACGTAGGCGACGAGCCTCTCGGTGGTCCGGGCGCACCAGGGGTCGACGTAGGTGGTCCACAGCACGGCGCAGCCGTAGTTGAGCGGGATCCAGAAGGGCAGGCAGACGAGCAGGCGGGCGCCTCCCGGGAAGGGGATGTGCGGGTGCTCGACCTCGCCCTTGTCGTTGGTGACGTCGGGCGGGATGCGCACGCCGTAGACCATCCACACGAGGATCCAGCGCAGCAGGGGCCCGTGGAGCAGGTAGACGGCGAAGGACTGCCGGCCGAGCCAGAGGAAGTAGCGGTTCGACAGCACGTCGCGGATGAAGGGGCTGAAGTGCAGGCCCAGGGCGATGAGCTCGAGGCCGATGCCCGACGAGAAGCGCGGGAAGTCCGGGTTGCCCGGCAGGATGTTGACGAGGACGCTGTGGAGCCAGGCGGACCAGGGCCGCCACTCGGCGTGGCCCTCCGGGTAGGAGGCGACGAAGAGGCCCAGGGCGACGAGGACGACGGCGAGGACGCGGCAGAGGCGGGCGCGGTCCGAGAGGAACTGGATCGCCGGCTGGTAGTTCTGGAGGTCGGAGAGGAAGACGCCGAAGAAGAATTGCATTCCAAAGGCGGCTTTCTCTCGTGTCAGCCGCTTTTGGTCGTTTCCGCGGTTACATGGCAAGACGGATTCAGGGGTATGTAGACTCACAATCAGATCCGACGTAGAAATACAGCCACATGCCCAGCGAGCACATCATCCGGTACCTCGGCTTGCAGTACGCAGTGGCAATGATGAAGACGTACACCTGGAAGCTGCCCTTGAGCAGCGGCAGCAGCGTCCACTGGTTCCCGTCGTAGGCGTTCTGGCCCCAGGTCCAGGTCCGGATGATGTTGTGGGCCATGTTCAGGATGGAGTCGCCGACGTAGGGCACGATGTCCGGGCTGGTGGCGCCGGACCACCAGCTGTCGCTGCGCTTGGCGACCTGGAAGACGCCGAACTGGGCGAAGAACCAGATGAGGAGGGTGGCGAGGGTGGCGGGCAGGATGAGGCGCGGGGGCCGCCGCAGGGCCGACTTGGCCAGGCTCCGGAAGGCGGCGTCCTGGCTGCCCTGGGCGTAGAGCTTGATGGGCTTGAGGGCGCAGACGTAGCCGGTGACAAAGGCGAAGATGGTGACGCCGATGCGGCCCTGGACGAGCAGGCGGACGAAGGGCCACTGCAGGAACCGCGGCGGGGCGCCCTCGGCGCTCGTGGGCAGGAAGAGGTCGCCGTCAAAGGCGCGGGCGATGTGCGTGAGCACGACGAGCGTGGAGGCGATGCCACGGAGTCCCTGTATTGTTTGGAAAGTGCGCCGTCCTCGTTAGCCTCATGTTCGACAATCTCATCCCAACGATATTCGTCATCCATCCATCCATCCCGAGTCCATCGGGGTTCCTCCCGTCGTGTCCATGGAGGATTGATGTGCCGCCGTCTCGGGGCAGAAAGGGCCCGAGCAAACCTTCTCCCCCTGAACGGCCAGCACCGCGGGAGTCTAGCCGATCCCTCATCTTAAAAAAAAAAGATTGAGCACGTTGTCATCCCGCCGACGCGGCCGACGCGCAATCCCGCACTTGCGAGAACAGCCGGGCCCTCCGTTCCCCGACGATCTCCCCCCAGCATCAAGAGGGAGCTAAGGTAGGTGATGGGTGTATACTCACATCGACCCATTTGACGTTTCCTTCCTTTCCAATAGCCATGGCGGCGCGCGCCGGTCGGTTGACTGGCGTGGCGTCGCTCCTTCCCAGCTGGTTGGCGGCCTCTAGCGCAGTCCTAATAATAAGCGCGATTCAGAATCAGAAACTATTGATTCCGCGCCGCCCACATCAATCCCGCTCCAGATCGATCAGATCGCTGGCTGAAACGGTCGCTGATCCTTTCTCGGCAGTGGCTGGATGGCAGCGCCGTCTGTCCAGAGAAAACGCCGCCAAGCTTTCTATTGGTCGTGTGGTCGACTTCAGCCGGATTCCGAGATATCAGGGTCACGGCTGCTGTTTCGGTGCGACGTCGCTTGCAACGGCGAAAGCAATGACGCACACGGCAGTGACGCAAAAAAGGCAGTGCACCTCTCCCTCTCTAGCAAAAGGGGTGGTTTGGTGGTTTGGTGGCTTGGTGATTTGGCAGCGATGCGTGACCCGTGCGGCCGTTCTCCCAAGAACCTCGGTTCTTTTCCCTTTTCTCCCCAACCCGACTAAGTCGAGTCGAATTCGAGTCTGATCTCAGGATCAGGATCCGGGGTGCGCTCCGGAGTCACTGCTTGGTGAACTGAACTCGATGCAGCAACGTGATTACCCTCCCCAGTAGACTGTTCGTACCCAAGCAAGCAGTGGTGAAGAATCCGAGTATTAACGAGCGTGACGTGTATCTGACAAGGAAGAGAAAAAGACAAAGAAAGGAGAACCCGAGAAAAGGAAGACGAGCACGCAGGTGAAGATGGCGAGCAGTGTCGGGAAAAAGAGAGAACAAGTGTCGAGTGTCTATCGACGTTATGGGCCGGCGTGCGGCGGTGGGATCCAGACTTCTAAGTACTCAGTACTCTGTACAAACACTTTCCAGACTGGGCAGCGTGTGCGTGCGGTTTGCCTTGTTTGCGTCCCCAAGCAAGGAAAAAAAAGGCTTACCAAAAAGGACGGGACGTGCGGAGCAAGCAATGACAGCAAGCGTATTCAGCAATGCAACCGCCTTGAATGATCCATCGTCAACAGGGGGAAGCGCTTCTTGGCGTTCTCCAAGGATCGTCGGGGAGAGGACGCGGCTATTGCTTGGCTTCCACCAGACGGGGGGCACGGAGCTTTGTGCTGGCCGTTTTTTGTTTGGAGCGAAACACTCCTGGCTGGCCTTGAGAGCAGCCGGTGCGCAGCATTCTGGTCCCCCTTCTGCTCTTCCTCGAGGTGCGTTCGAGCCACTCACACCCAATCAAGCAGGTAGGTACATAGATAGGTATGTGTGTGTGTGGATGTAGCCATTAGTTAACTACCTACTGCTGCATCCACAGCCGAGAACGAACGCCGCCGACGGCGTCTGTTAGTAGTCCCCGTCCTGTCCAAAGATAGACGGACAGACACACACACAGGCACAGACACACAGATGCCAGAATACGGACGGCGTGCGGGATCACGAGTGGCACAAGTTTATGAAAGGTGGGGGGGGAGAGATATGGAGCCGCAAAGTCGGCTGAGGTGTGGATGCGCTGTTGGACTCGAGTGGTCATGACAAGCTGTTGCCGGTGGGCACTCGCAGCAAAAGACAAAGACGCTTGTGACATGTCCAAGGCCGCGTTGATCCCTGCCCGGTGTGTCGCTGACAGATCCCTCCGTATTACAGTCCGTCTGGACGCGCCGCCGTCTGTCACTATCCATCCTGTGGCTCTCTGCTCCATCTACCAAGGAGGTATATGTCCCTGAATATCACACCTTCTTCTCATCATCCCCGCAGGCTTATTAGCATCCCCCTGCAGAGCAGTTCTCGAAGTACTTGTATCTGGTGAAGGTGGATTGCCTGTTTCAGGGCCAATCTCGCGCACTGGGCACATGAGTTACCTCCACGGCCGGCGACGTTTTGCATGCCTATTACAGCTAGAATCTCCCGACGACACGACAGAGGGGACACAGCCATGCCCATTCCTGGTCCATTCCATGTCCATTCTGGAACCAACCCGCAAGCAGGCAGTGTGGCGAAGGAGATTGCCTGCCTCTCCTGGACACCAAATTTGACCAACACCACCCGGACGTACTTGTATTTAATGCGGGATGCAACCCTGCGGCTGCCAAGACTTTCTTCTTTTTCCCTCCCTTCCCCCTTCCAAAAGATCTGGCGGGAAAAAGCTAATCATCCCACATGAGCGCCGAGCCCAATAGTTACCCCAGAAGAACGAAAAAAGGATGCCCACAGGACGACGATGCCAAGCCCTCTGCGACAGATGCCGTTATATCCGACAGTGACAGCAACGAGACCTGACTTGCTCCTGACACTGGGGGCTCGTCACGCCTTGGCGGTGCAGCCCATCGAATCTATAAGCGATTCTGCATTCTTGGGCTTTTGTCTCTGTGCGCCGATTGGACCGGGGCAGCCGCCAGGGGATGTCTTGGCAGATGCTGTGCTCTCGCTTCTGGAACGTCCCTCCCGCCGCCTCGAAAGACACGACGTGCCTACGAAACAGCAAAGCCTCATCGAGGCCGCTCTCCTCCTCTCCTCCTCTCATCGGGGGAGCTGCTAGCCGAGCTGTGTCCGCCCCTCGATTCGTGGCTGGAATCGAGGCTGCCACCAGCTGAGATGAGTGAGACACACATTTTGTCTTGAAAACGCTTGCTGGCTCGCTGGATATAGTCAAAGGTCTGGCCCACTCCCGGCAGATGCCACTCGTGGGGCCACGCCAGCCACTGGTCCCTTGGCGCTGTCGCACCAAGCGACCGCTTCTTCTTCTTGTTCTTCGTCTTCCTTTGTCTGTCGCTTGCTACGGAATGCTCTCATCTTCATTGATGTGGATGCATTTCTCCCACCGGCATTTCCACTGGGAAATAAGAACAAGGCGAGAAAGGACCGAGAATCGAACGCATGTCCGGCGGATCTGCAATCGGCGCTTTGCTGCCAAGAACGACAACCAGAATTCCTTACAAATTAGCATTTAGGATTTAGGATTTAAGATGATGACAGGGTGGGCCCCCCGATCCCCCCCTAATCCCTAATCTTCAGTACTCAAATGGCACGTCATTCGTCCATCAAGCACCGTTTTTTTTTGGGTGCTTGGTCTTTCCCCTAATCCAGATCCACGTTTTAGTCTAAATAATTCTACCCAAAGTCTTGGGACAGGCTTCCTGACTACCACACTTCAGCTCGCAACATCTTCCTCCATTCGTTCTAGGTAGGGTCAGGTCGCGGTGGTTCCGCCCACTCTTTTTTGTTCCTGAAACAAAAAAAAAAAGACAAAATGAAATAAAGACAAGACAAGCTCGGTCGGTAGCGATGGCCCGATGCTCACATGTGCCAGGGCCAGGGCGTCGGTGTCCACATGCGGCGCCACATCCCCCACAGTCCTGTTGCTTTTTCCTTGATAACGTCGAGCGACGCTATGCCCCTTTCTGAAGGGGGACGCGTGGCCCTCGTGGGATGGCTCCAGCTCTTCTTCAGGTTGTTCTTTTCCCCCCCCTGGTTCGACCGGTACGTCCTTGCTCCGTATCTAACGGTGCGCCGGTCTTTGCTTGGCCCTCGTGTTCCCGACGTGCAGACCAAGGTCCATCCCGGGAGTCAAACGTGCTTCCCAAACCAAAAAGGACAGAGAGACAGTTATCACAATCCCACTGCTAGCCCGAATGCGCCGTGCCCAGGAATTAGGGAATTAGGGGGGTGCGTCTGACAAATGTGCTTTGGTTGGCTCTCGTTCACCTCAAGGAGGGAACGGAGAGGGGGGGGCAAGTGGCCTCGTTTAACGGAACTTCGGCAAAAAACGGTGAGGCCGGTACGGGAGAGTTGTGTGGCGATTTTCCCGGGTTGATCGCTCGCGGATTTTCGGGGGTCGGCACCCCTTCTCAGTTCGTGGTGAACCGCTTCTACGAAGTCGTGGAAGAATGTGAACGCGATACCAAGTATCATGGACTTTTCCGGAGGGCAAAAAGGGACATTCTAAGGATGAGATCAGCGCTAAACAGCACTACACTACGCTCGCCGAGCGAGGCTGTTCCAAAGAGGGAAAACGAGAGGAAGGTAGAGAGACTTGAAATTCACCTCTGTCAACGCGGGCGGGCCAGAACCGGAACTATTATCGCTTTCAGCTCTCCAGGCCTTGTTCGTCTCACCACCCACAATTCCGGCCAGGCCGGAACACCGTGCGGTTTGGCTGTCTCATCTTGCCCTTATCGAGACTTGACCCTCGCAGTATGGCTCTCTCGGGGAGGCAAGCGTGAGACTGGGCGGTCGTTTTGGTCTGCTGCCATCCATGGATCATCAACTCTCGACTTGCACAGTTGGGGCCTGGACAGTCCAAGAAGGTCTCTCTGCAACCTGTCAACATGCCATTCGACAGCTTCCAAGAGACACACAAGTTCTGTGCCGTTTTGATACTCCTACTCCGAGAGACGAGGTGAACAGTTGCTGAAAGTTACAACGCTTACTTTCTTGAACATGGAAGACCTGTCTGGAGCTAAAACGCTAATCCTACGCTATACAGATGTAGCTTGTCTCGCTCTTCTTCGCATCATCAACATTAAACAAACGACTATCCCCCTCTCATCAACCACTCCCAACAGAATCACACAAGTTGCGACATACTCGATCATCCCTCTGTCCGCAGTCAGTCTGTCCCGTTTCGTCCCTGGCCATTGACACCCATCATCTGCGAGCCTCCTTGTTGTGTTTCTGCCCCTGACGCCTGCCATGTTCCGGCCCCGCGAAGCACGCGCTGCTCCTCCACTAATACCCGAACCCGGAAAACTGCCACAGCGCCCATGGCAGGTTGGCATACCTTTCCCAGTCCCAGTCCCTCCAGGGGGAGGAGGACCCCTTTTGAATTTCCTCTTCCCGCCTCTTCTGTATCGCTGTGCAGAAATGCTCCGACGGCTCCTGATCCCATGGTTCCCCGGGCACCGCGGTCTGCTTGTAGATAAACTCTCCAAGTACGATACGACGGCCGTTCAAGCGGTTGACCACGCCCCAAATGGACATGAGAAGATCTTGGACCTGGCATTCTGCCGGGCTGTCCCAGTAAATGTCCGCGATGCAGTCGTCGACCTGGTACTTGAAAATGCGAGGACCTCCCTCCATGCTGACGCTCCAGAGCTCCAGTTGCTGGAGATTGGGCAATCTTTCGACGGCCCTTTTGGCATCCCGGAGGAGGGACACCATGCCTGGGTTGCCCTGGTGTAAGGGGCGGAGAAGAGCAGTTGTGAGGGACAATGTCCTGAGCGATTGCACGTCGTCTAGGTCCACCTCTTGGAGGCTGTCGAGAACCGTCTGTGCTGAGAGGACAAAATATACAGAGAGGTGCCTGAGGTTTCGGTACGACTTGGACAGGGACGCCGCAAGTTTCGGGTTCGGTACCTCGCAACCAAACGAAGGGTCGTTTATCTCTGCCGCACCCTTGTCCTCGTTCCCGATATCAACGGCGCGCAATGATATCGTGTCCCCAAACCAGCTGCGATTGTCCTTGTGCAAGAGGTTATTCCAGTCATCTCCGATGTGCAGCTCTTGCAGCATACCGGCAGGCCAATTTTTCAGCGCCTCGTCCAAGTTTGTAGACCTGTCAGGACCAGCTCGACACCCAGCCACGAATGGGCCTTTGGGCCAGGACATGCCAACCTTTGAGAAACCTATTCCACCCAGTGCATCTGACCCTCCATATATCGTAGCGAAGGACTTTCAACCCGACCAGACTGTCGCGTATCAAGCGCCGGATCGCTGTAGGTCTGACGGGCCGCGAACAGCATCGTCTGAGGGTCAATTTCTCTACAACATCAGCCTTGGGCAAGCTGCGGCTGTCAAAGTCCTGTTCCAGATTCACTGGCGAGATCACCCTGTCCCGCATGCCCTCGTCAATGTGAAGCCAATCCAGAGTTCCATCGGGAGGACATCCAGGACAGTGTAAAGGCCTAGTGGCATAGTGGCAATGATGTCAGGCTCTCTTTCGTTCGTGAAATAGGTGGCATATGCAAAGGGGGCATCGGCAAATTTATCCTTCAGCACGTGATGCCAGCCATCGGGAGGGTTCAAATATCGCATGCCGTGTTCTTTATCACTTGGTGAGTACACTGCAAGATCGAGTCTCAGCCCCGGGCGGTGCGCTGGTCGGCCAGTCCATCGAGCCAAGACAGTTAGCAAAGCACGAATGTCTCTTGTGAAGCACTCCTCAATCCTGCGACGATGAACAAGTCAGTTCAAGCTCCAAGCAGATGGCAAGATCGGAGCTCACTCATAAAGTTCACTATTCCCTGGCATATAATTTCTCAAAAGACATGATGCGGTACGTCTCCAAGAAGTTAGGGGTGAAGCCAATTCGCGGAGCCAGAGCAGGAGATGATGGTTCGAGAAGAGAATCAAGCTGTCTAGTCAGAAATGTTTGTGATAACATGTTCAGATAGTCTTCTGTGGCCAGAATACGGGATGATGGAAAGTTGTCCAGCTGAGAAATGTCGTGGCCCAGATTTGTTGCATTTGAACGAAAGCAAGTTCAAACCCGTGCCTCCCTCCCATTCCACACTGGACACTGGGGATACCGGGCCATAATTAGCTATACGTTGAAGATTCTTCTTCTGGAAGGAGCATCAGAGGAACATGAATCTAGAAACCACGATTGTAGGGTGTTTCTGCCATGACATAGGCCATCTCACATCGAACCAGTGGCTCCATCTCCAGCCACAGTGTGCCTCTTCCATGGCCAAAAGCCATGTCTCAAATTACCGTTTATGATTGCTGATCCCATTATCAATGCTGTTGTCCCACGTCTCCGGCACATTGAGGAGGAGCTACCGGATCCAAGACAAACTGTGTCGGGGCAAGGTAGGCGAATTCCCAATCAATAAATTCTAGGATCTGGTTTCCATTGTCGACAAGGACATTGCTAGGCCTGAATTCGTCACATCAGAGACGAGAAGAGCTGAATTGTCTGGTGCAGGCAGGGTTCCAGGTTCATATTTGGATTGGGCGGACCAGGGGTTGTCAAGGAAGCCAAGTATTGCTAGGCGACCTTGCTTGGCCAATCTGCTAAACATCTGTCGAGTAGCATATTCATTCCTGCAGTCATCTTCTGAGGACACAATATCGTTGTGCTGAGAGATAAGTGTTGCCAACTGCTTCTCAGCTAATGTCCCATACCACTCATCCGCAGTCTGATAAGGAGTACCTTCCGCTGGAAAAATCGAGTTGGCGATATTTGAAATCTGTATCACATGGCTCCAGTTCACAGTAATGGGCCGTCCCTTGACAACATAGCGGCCTGCACCTTACTTTGTAAAAGCACCGATTGGCGGGAATGTAGGATGAGCAATCTGTAACACACACCTTGCCACTTGGACATAGAGGCTTTGGAGTGTGCTTTCCGAGATGTCAGGATCCAGAACAGGAGTATCGTCCTCATCGCGAGGAGCCTCCAACGCTCTGGTCATGCCTCTCCGGGATCCAATGTCCTGGATTATGATGAATGGTCCAACGTTGGACGCTATGTCGTGGAAGGAAAGTTTTGGAACAAGGAGTTTGGTATGCTGGTTGCAAAACGCAAGCGTTGCGGTCTCGGCAAGGATCTTCTCGGCTGGGAAGACGACGCTGTCCTTGGATTGCACCTAACAGGTAGATCGAGAAACAACTTATTGCATAGACGCTGTCTTGTCCATGAGCTCGCTGATATGGATGCGATACAACATATTGAACCCGCCTATGGCTAGTGGGGTGACCAAGGTAGCGGGCCTTTCAAGGATCGTCTCTGCGAAAGCCCCGAATCTGCGACATGTCGATGTCAATTTGGCTTGCTTGATCCCTACTTCGAAGAGCTCATCGCTTCTGCCCCAAGCGAGATTATCAGAGTTCTGACTAGGGTTCATTTTGAACAAGTCAAAGACGAGAGGTAACATCCAAGTCAGAAAATGGGACAAGACTACAATTAGACCAGCAACAGGCGATAGGGGTGTGTGAAGGGAAACTTCGAGGATTTCCTACAATCAACACGAGATAGTTTCCGCTCAAACAAGGATTGGACCTCTTATCGTGGCATCTCGGTTGTGAAACTTGAGAAACTGTTCCGAGGGAGTTCAACCGGTCTCTAATATTACGACGTAAATAAAATTGTGGAAAGCATTTGGTGGCAAAGCAGAGCCTTCCTTGATAGTGTGTTTGATGTTATATATAAAGGAGGACTTCCTTAGAGAGTACTCATCAAATATCCCGATACTACGCAAGCTGTGAAGTCAGATCAATGCACTCGCCAAACGCAATGGCGTCCACGACGGTCGCCATCTGTCTCCGGCACTTGCAGAATATTAGCCCTGAAATCCATATGGTCAGCTGAATTGAGCACTTGTCCGAGTGAAGAAATGAAGGGTTGTCAAGCTGAATAGACTGGATTATTAGCTGCGTTTCTGTAATATACCTGTGCGGCCAGTCATTATATTTGAACACGTCTCAATATCATCTAGCTGGGCCGTTGGTTTGAAGCCAACTAAGTTTCCGAGAAAACACTTTCAGTTCATAGATAGACCTTGATGCCCCTTTGATTCTGCATTTAGGTGGACGGATGAGAGTTTTATGCTCAAAGACGACAATGCGATAGACTTGATCACCAGACTTAAAGCCTTAGTCTGCCTTGTGTATTGCGCCGCTTCTCTTTGTTTGTTCCAGCACACTTGTCGCTACTAATTTCTAGTAGCTTTGGCTTCTGGATTTGATTTCCCTCAGCTCTTCAACTAGTTCTCGGATGTCTCGGTATTCCATGCCTGCATACGTCCAATGTTATCTACTCTATTCGACAGCACTTAGATCCTCGGGCCAACCTCTGTCAGGAAGCCGACTTGCACTATTATTTGGAGAGACACAATAAACACAAGCTCTAATATCATATCTAGGTGTTGTGGCCCTTAGTATTGAAGCTTATATGCACTAATTTGCGGAAGTTGCCGAAACGATGAGGCACGGGTACAACAGGAGTTGACGCAAGGGAACGGCACTCTAATCAACAACCTCTATCATCAATGTTCAAGACCGGATATGAATCTTAAACCAGTGGAAATCCTCGCTGTTCACGGCAACTACTAAACCATCTTCCCGTCCATTGTTTGAAACAGTGGCACCATAATGTTCTGTGCCAAGCTTACGAGCAGAGAACTTTTAGATCTAACGGGCAGTTGAACATCAGCACAAAAGAAATTGGCCAGGGGTGACTGTGCCGGTGTTGGCTTTTCAGCTGGCAAGGTTCTGATGTGGGACCTTTGCAACGGACGAGCTCAGAACGGTGCAGATGGAACCACCCCACCTCTTTACTCATCGCTCCCCACAGTCGCGAGGCAGATTTCTTCGATGTCCTAGGTACTTGTAGAGAAGAATGCCTACTTACGTAAGGTCCATGGGCTGGGAGCAGGCATTCGAGACGCGAGAGGCAAGGATTCTGCCATGATACACCTTGGGACTCGGGTCAGCTTCATCGCACAATCGCGCCGCCCCACGACGCAAGATCCAATGTTTTTATTGCCAGTCGTGGTAGGATGTCTTGGATGTTTGGATGGATGGTGAATGGCAACTTGTACTTGTAGAGTCGACTTGCTTGTGCGCTTCTAGACCCGATGCCATGCCAGGAAAAGAGACGGCTTTTCTCTCCACTGTGGGCCGAGATGCATGTACGAGCGCGGGAGGAGCAGGTCAGCAAGCAAGCCGGGCACCCTCAAGCTTGATGAGGGTGTTCAGCCACGGAGCGGCACAAGGGGCCGGCATGAAACACGTCGCCCTCCTGGCAGCTTGCAATTATTGAGCCTCATTACGAGATGCCTGCCCGTCTCCAAGAAAGAAGCATCACTCGATGGAGGATGAGTGTACACAACAGACTTGATGGAGATAACGATTAGTTAGTGATGGATCTAACGCTACGGCTTCGGCGCGCGGCGCGCCGCCCAAGACCCAAGCTCCGGAAAGACCGGGCTGGGCAAGCTGCCAGAAAAGCTAGCTCCAGGCCACTAAAAGACTCAGGTACAAACAGACTCTCATGACTGTGCTCCAGAGGAGAGCGCCGGTACAATGCTGCATACAGATCGCGAGCAGTTGGATCACAGATCGCGATGCGACGTCCACGGAGGTGGCTGTAGCCTTGGCAGGGGGGCTCGGAGGCGTTTTTTTATCGACTGCCAAGACGGGCGGCAAGCCCAAGGACAACCATCACTCAGAGTGAGAAGGTATGAGCGTGGGCGTGGGCGACGCGCTGCCTCTGGAATGCAGCATCTCGCGTTGCCATCGTCATCCACCACGAGTCGGAAAAAATCCAAGGGTGGAAACAAAAGCCACGCGTGGGAGCCCGCTCCGCACAACTGGAATGCTCTCCATCGTTAGTACGCAGAGTGGCACCCATAACCTTAAAGCCCCAAGGTTGTCCGAAAGGAGCGCCTGGATGGATCTTGAGGAATTGGATTTTGGATAGATCACAGGGAATATTGTGCGCAGCTGACTGTTTGACTGTTTCGCTTTTGCGAGGGATGAACAGAGAGGTGTGGATTGCTCAAGATGGAAGAGCCCCTTGCATGAGGTCAGAAAGACTCGCGCACAGACACAGCTTCAATTCTTTTTCCATCTCTGGAAGCAGCCCCCGAGTGCACTCCTGCTTATCTTTTGCCAATCCGTCTTGGTCTTGGACCTTTGGGGTCAAAAGTCGCGGCGCGGTTATGCCAAACACCTGGTCCATTGGGGCTTGGGCGCGGGAAGATCTTGTTTCGCTTGCATGATCTCCGTCACATCCGTTATGCAATCAAGGTTTCCCGGGTCTTGATCCCCGTTCCTTGCGTCGAGGCTGTGTTCTCTCCAATTTCCGTCCAGTTCAGGCAAGCTACCGCAGCGGGTGAGGACGCCAATCTCTCTCTCTCTATCTCTTCTCCTGTCTCTCTCTGTCTGCAACTTGTTCCGTTCATCGTTTGCGAGTACCTCTGCAAGCCGTGATGCGAGAGACTGTGCGTAATCACCCAACCGTTGTCTGTTGTGTGACCGTCAATGGCGACATGTCATACTTCGTACGGTCTGGTGGAGCGTAGCCCACAAGCAGATGATTGATTCGCGGGATAGCAAGACAATATCTGTCGCTACCGGTTCCATCCTGTTGTACCGACGTAGGCCTGACCCTGCTGGCTTGGACGATGGGTGGATTCAGGTTGCTTTTTACAGGCTCTCTAATGCAAGCCACGTCCAGCCAAGAGACCGGCTGCAGGACTGGGCTGACGTGCCGGGACCTACGGTTGCTCGTATTCGACACAGACATGTCTGTCGAGACTCGGTCAGACATTGGGTTGGGAGCCTTCTCATTCTTCGCTGGTGCTTTCTTGACGCCTGATAACGAGATTTCGACATCACGCTATTTTGGTACTGAGTGAGCGCTCTGATGTGACGCTGATGGGCACATGGATGCTGCAGTGCAGGTGAGGTGTGCGTGCCTGCATAAGCGTCGAGGTCCTCCGTGCGACGACTCGCCAGGCTCACTGTGGCACCGTCTTGAGGGTAAACAGTTCTGAACATATCTGAAACAACAAGCCACAAACCTGAATTGACGGGCTCTGATCGCAGTGATTCGGTACTTCGTACGTCGCCTCGGCCACCTCGCCGACAGTTTGACATTGGAGACCCCAAAGACCAACCTCAGACGTCCGCAATTTGGCCATGTCCAACGCTGTTGCTCCCGCACTTGGCGAATCCCGCCATCAATCTGCTTCAGGGGCTACGGAGTACACTGTTGCACGCTGAACACCGTGACCACTGTGCTACCCGTGCCCACAACGGCCGGAGCCTACAGTGCGACAAGAATTGCACTTCACAGTGTGTGTTGTTGTTGGTTGAGTGTCTGGCACCGGTGGCACGACGCCTGACAATCGGACCGCACTCGCCGTGTGCTCTAATCGCTCCTCCCTCCCAACATGAAGTCTTGTCATTGCCAGATCATTCCTCTCTTCTGCTCGATTCTGCCATGTCTGTGCCACATGCCCCGGCTGTTTTGTCGAGCGCCGAGCCAGGACCAACAGAGGTCCAGAAAGGCCGGCGTGTTGGGTAGCGAGCAGTGATCGACAGTGATTTCCCCTGAAAGCAGGTGCTGTTCCTGGCGCTTGTCCAGGTTTTTTTGCGTGCATGCGTGTCGGTTGGATCGAGGGCTATTTCGCTCGTTGTTGACCCCTCTCGGCAGGGGGCTAATTATGGGGACGCGCGGGCGAGTCTGACCAATGGTACCTGAAATTACTGGGGCGCCGCGCAGATTACCGGGCATCATTGGACAGGCCCCTGCTCGGATCCCCATCGCCCTAAGCCCAATGGGCGGTTGGTGAGGCAGAGGTGGGGTCGCTACTGCCAGGAACACAACCACAGACCGGCAGCAGGAAACGCGTTTAAAAGGAAAAATAGAAAATACCTAGAGGAGCTCGCTGCAGGGGGGCCAGAGAACGCAACCAGCCCTCTCTTGGTGCGTGCTGGGGCCGATCAACCAGGAATAGGCAGCACTTTTGGTGGCACCTGGGATGCTGGTACCCGTGAACAACCTCCACGCCCGCTGTATTGTAATTTCCCAGATATCGTTGATTCCACCCCTCCCCTCCAGCCCATCCTCGCGCCGGCTCGCAGGATCCAGATGGCGTGTCTCCAGTGGACTCCCGGCCTGCGGGTATTTCCCACAGTGCCCCGAGTGTGAAGCAGGGGTGCCGAAATGAGAACTGTTTTGCAGTAATTGCCCGCTTGTACCCCCCTAATCACACCCATGATCGTGCTGGGAGCCTTGGAAGGATCCAATAAAGTCGTGCACCCATCTGTTCTCACACTGTCCGCGACCCACTGCCGCCACGCCCCTACCCGTTCCACCTCCCCAACCCTCGAAAAGAAACTTGCCCGCTTTTTGCAGGCCCATCCCCTGGAGTTCTCTCTCTCGTTCCTCGACTCTCCTCTCCCTCCCAGGCCTCGTGTTCCATTTCTCCCCCTTTCAACAAAACAGGCCACGCTCCCTCCACTCTTGCTTCCTCCATCACCTGTGACTCGGTTTTCACTCGTTTCATTCCGATCACAGACAGTCATCCCGTCCAGTCGCTCAACTATCCCTTCGACGACGAACTGAACTGAACCCGTCGCCCTTGACAAGACAAAGCCCTTCTCTTCGCTTGTTCACTCACTCACCAGGAGACAAGAAGAAAAAAGCGCACTCCAATGTCCGCCCATCTGTGACGAGCCCACAAAGGGAGAGAGCCAGCATCATCGACGACAAACAATCCAAAACAACAAAGACGACTCGCGTCTAGCCTTTCGATTCGATCATCACCCTTGCCGTTACTTCGGTTTCGATTCTTTTGACACTGTTTCTTGTTCTTCCTACACCATCCGCCACGCGGAATCACTTAGCGAGCCATCATTTTCCGAAGCGATCTGCCTTATTCCATACCCGCCTTTTCTAGCAATCAGACGCTCTCTCATCAGGCCATCATCAACATCCATCGTTCCGCACGTCGAATTTTCCATCAGCATCACCGGACCGCGTACGAATCCGGGAAAATCACACTAATCGACAGTCGGAAACGGGAGAGAAAATCGTACCTATTCAAGGCGTCTCGAAAAGATCGGTCAAAATGAAGTCATTCTTCAACACCATGACGGCTCTCGTAGCTGTGGGCGTTGTTGCTCTTCCCGACCAGCTTGCCCGGGCTCTGGTTGCCGTCGAGGAACCCTCAGGTGTCCCGCAGCCTATGGTTCCCGTCGTTCAGGGTTGCTTCTCTTCCTCTGGCGACCTCGAGTTCAACTCAGCACCAAAGTACAATTCCAAGGATGAATGTGGCAATAAGCTCTGCCAAAAGCTGGGCAAGAAGGTTGCTGCTACGACCCAGGGCCAAAAGTGCTACTGCGGTGACAGCTACCCGCCCAAGAGCACTCTGGTCGACGACAAGATGTGCAACATCTCGTGCACTGGCTTTGGTGAACAAGCCTGTAAGTTGCCCCGACTCGCTCTCGATAGGTTTTGGGCTTTCATCGAGTTAGATTTGACTGACCCCTTTTGTTTTGTTTGCAGGTGGTGGTCTCGGCTACTATACCGTCTACAACACTGGTCTTGAGTTAGTCGACGTCCACAACTTGCCCGATCCTAGTTCAAGCGCCGCGGCAAAACCTACCACGACCTCTACAACCTCATGTATGTTTGCGCAATCAGTTACAACGCGATGATTCCATGACTGACAGGTTGACAGCTGCCCCGACCGTTTTCGTAACCGAGAGCAACACACCCTCAGCCTCTGCCCAGCCCCAGTCGAAATCCAACACCGCTGGCATTGCAGCTGGTGTCGTAGTGGGTGTCGCCGTCGTGGGTGCTGCCGTCGGTGGTCTCTTCTTCTTCATGCGCCGCCGCCGCAACCGCGAGATTGAGGAAGAGCACCGTCGCAATGCCGCTGTCAATGCCTTCATGAACTCGGGCAAGCCTCCCAGCAGCAGTGGCGGATATTCCGCCTCGGACTCCCGCATGGACCCTGTCATGGCCCAGCGCAGGATGAGCTCTGGAAGTATTGCCGACAATGAGGACTACTCAAGAAGGATCCTTCGGGTAAGTTGAAGACTGACCAATTTGTTCGAAGGGCCCCAGACTAATCCGAGATTTGTTGATGTAGGTCACGAACGCTTGAGTTTCTTCCCAGTCATGACGCACGACGACCTGTACCTTATTGTCCATTGGCATATTCGGCGTTTGGAATTTGACTCTTGCCGTCGGCGATTCGATCCTTTTCCCGACGCAAAGTTTTAGGTGGCGTTTATTCGAGGTGTAGGGATGCACATTTGCGTGTCACGAATCGGAAGTGACACCCTGGGGATGTCGCTGGCCCCTACGCCGTCCTCTCCTTTACTAGATCTTGCTTTCATTGATGTCTCAAGACATGATTGGCTCTTCGACGCACATATCATCCGACCTGATTTATCTGCGTCGGGGTCGAGCTTCGGGGTTATCTACCATCCACCGCGGATGCGGACAATCGACTACACCGGGGAAGATGGGACTAATCTGCATCTCCTTGCTGCTGGACTCGGTTGGGGGATGCTTGTGCGCCTCTTGGGGACCCAATGCGGTACTCGCAGATGGCGCGCCCTGTAGATGTTGAGGGGTTGGCCCGGCATAGCTGGCCCGAGTTGAGCCCATTTTTTTGGCCGTGGAGGTGGGAGGGAAGAGGAATAGTGCACCGGAACGCTGTATAGCCCACGGGCAAGTGTCGGTTGCTTTGATGTAGTTATCTGAGGTTTCCGGGATAATTGGGGCATAGACATATTCACCTACACTCACTGCTGGCTCGTCGTGACATGTCTGTGATGTGTGATGTAATGCGGCTCAAGTTATTCTACGGGGCGTCGCCGACACCTTTCGGAACAGTGGCCGATCTGAGGGCAATCCTGTGTATGGCTGCTCTCTTGATGTCACCCCGGACTCGGCAAAACGACACGAGTGTTTCTTAATGCAGGCCGGCCTCTTGACAAACAATCCTGGTCGCCTGGCATCAGCCTTCTAAGCTGGCCTGAAAAGCGTGAGCTGTCTCGACAAAGCTCGTCAATGCGGCCTAGCAAGTCGCGTCGCTTCCGGATCTGCAAATGATTTCTTTTGATGCCTGTGGAGGCAATTCTGTGCTGAGGCCAGGGTCAGGTGCAGACCGTGTAGCGAACGTCATCAGAGAGGAGAGGGCATAGAGCAGCAAGGATCTAGAACAAAGAAGGGTCTCGCTCATTTCTGACGCCTTCCGCGGTACACTTCCACCTACACACAGACGAGCATCAGAGCTGAGGAGAATGTGGTGGCGCTGATTGGATGCAATGAGACAGCCAGCCTGCTCGCTTGCCCGGTTCGTCCCAATGGCATGGAAGAGCCCCCAACGTGGCGGACGGCACATCCCATCTGGCCCATGACAGGCCACGAGAGACGGCCGCCTGCCAAGACAAGCCTTTGTGACCAGTCTCCCCAGAACATTCATTTTGCAGTGTCATGTCATTCGGCCGACGCCACCGACGCCTTGATTCCCGTCTCTCTATTCTTGGGTACTCCGTCGCACACTTGTTGCCTCCCGCGCAGGTTCTCACCCCGGACGAGCGAGCTACGCTGTCCTGGGCCCCCCCCGATCACGATTCATGCACGCGTGCACATTCATGGGCGCCCAGACCGCATGGCGAACGCGATGCCGATGCTGTGGTAGTAGCCAGAGCGGGACCAGCCCTGGGGTTTTAATGCACAAAGACCTTAACAGGCAGGAAGCCAGGCTCTATTCCCGTCTGTTCCCGCTAGCCACTTGCTCCCTCTGCTGGCCCATCTTTCCATCCTCCATCCCATCTTCTCTCGTCCATATGGCCAGACTTTGGCGATCAGATGTGCGTCTTCGTCAACATACGGATCTAAGTCTCTTAGCCAGCCCAGGCCGCGCGGGCTAGAGCAGTCGGTCGTCCGTCCCCACGCGCCATTTTAGCTCGCTGATGATTCAGTCTGCTTGACAACTTGGGACGCGGGTGACTAGCCCAGAGGCAAAAGCAATTTCTGTGTGCGGTGCTGACCTTCTCCTTCCCTACTCTCGGCCGGTTGTTCTTGTACTCGATAACCACCTGCCCGTGCGAATTCGGAGCTGGCTGGCAGTGGCTGGGAAGTCGACTCGCCCTTTCAGCTGAGCTTGTCTTATCTATTCCCTCGCTGCAGGCGGGGATCCAACAATTTGACTATCTTTGTTAGATCAAGTGAGCACAGTCGGTCAGTCCGCGATCTCTTGTTTCCCCCCCTCAATTCCTCCATTGTTCCCGGTAGGGCGATGGCTCTCCCCCTCAACCCCACCCATCACATCTCAGGGCGTGCTGATCACCGTGTTTTCTGTCTTACTTTTGCCCCGTCTGTCGTCATTCCATCCATGTGATTGTTTGCTTTATTTGTCTCGAGGTTCCTGCTACGAGTTCGAGTGGGCATAGACATACTTCATACACACACACATGCCCGTCCGATCTACTGGATCGAGGAGGCTAGGTGATTGGGTGGTGGAGCGAAGTCGCCCAATGACATCACACCATCAAAAGGGTATCAAAGAATGGGCGAAAGAAATGGAAGCCACAGAGGGCTGATAAAGAAAAAGAACAGTAACTAATTTGAAATTACAATCAAAAAAGGAGACACAAGGCAGGGTCTTGACTGAATCGGGCGACAATCTGGACCTGGGCGTGGACCCATTTCTGGGCTCATTTCAGAAGGGTCGACGACGCCTCTGGGCCTGGACGGCAAAGGGCTAGTCTGGTACTGGTAGCGTACCCAGGCTTCTGCCGGGTGCTAGCTCACAGTTCACGTGCCGCTACCACCACCTCACGCCAGAGGCGCAAACCTTCTTTTCTCACGTCGTCTCGCGGCGCCCAAGTCAGACATACCCCCCCTTCCCACTCAAACTCTGCTTGCCTGCTTGGTTTTCTTGGCTGCGCAACTCTCGACTCGGCCCCAGCCCAGGCAAGCTTGCTCGCGCGGGAAGCAAGGGAACAAAAAAATAGGGGGCCGGCCAGGAGGGGCAGACGTCAAAAAAGGTCACCTGTCAGGGATCCTAGCGAGCTCGGACCAGCCGCCGTTGTGCCAGACAAGCGAAGCGAGGACGGGGGAAAACAGCCAAAGTTCCGGCACCCGAAAGTCTAACCGTCACGGCGGGTTCCTCCTCCATAGGTACCTCTGGGAGAGTCAGGGCTAGTTGCTCGTGCTGTGCTCTGCTGTGCCGTGCCAGGCAAAAAGCCAGAGAGAGAGAGAGAGAGAGCAGGAGGGCTGGGGCAAGACACAGGGCGGGCCTTTTTGGACCGCACTCGCGCTCTCCCCGACGCCACCTCCCCGGGGTTGCGAGACATACCCGCACGTTGAGACCCTTTTAAAGACCCGGGCCCTTGTGTCTAGGTTCCCAGGCTCTCGGGTCCCGCCCAAGATCGTTTTTGGTCATTCGCCGTGCCGTTCTGCTCACCTTGCTCCCCCCTCTCACTCACCCGGCGGCCTTTCTCCCTATTCAGCCTTTGTTTGACGAGAGAGCTTGCTGTCACCCCCCGCCGCAAGTGGGGGATCGGTATGAGAATCGGTGCTGCAGCCGGAGCTGTGTGCCTGACACGTGCGACATAGAAAGGGCGAGGACGGCCAGGGAGCAATGTTCATGGAGACGACGCTCAAGTTTGTGCCTCCTGGAGGCTACCGGGCCTGCGCCAACTGCGCAGCCTCCAAGGCCAAGTGCATACGGCCTGATGATGGCAACGGCACGGGAAAGTGCGAGAGGTGAGACACGCCATCTCTGCGGTGCCCCCGGCGCACAGCGCCGTTGGGGGCGTAGTACACGAAGCAACGCACGAGGTTCTCGTATTCTGACAGTCTGTATCTTTCCTATAGGTGTCAGAGGCTAGGCAAGGAGTGCCACATCAACCCCAGGGCCAAGAAGAAGCGCCGTTTGGCAGATCCAAAGTAAGTGCGGGACTATGCAGCGAGATCGGGGAACATCACCTCGACTCGATACAATCACTCGGTTGGCCAGAGCTCTAACATTGGACGTGCAAAGTGTACCGCCAACACCACAACAGAACGGAGATCTTGCCAGGAGCTCCTCGTCGAGTACACCGAGAGCTCTTCAACCGAAACAACCTCCGAAGAAGCAACCACCGCCACCTCTTCCGCTGACAGACGGTGACATTGACCCCGTCTTTGCAGAGTTGCAGATCTCAGATTCCCAGGCCGAGGATATTCTGCGCCTGTTTCGTCATCGGCAAGAGTTCTTGACTCCGTTTGTTGAGCTTGCGCCCAATGCGACGGCGATGTATCTGCGGAGAGAAAAGCCCATGATCTTCCTCGCTATCATGATGGCGTCGTCATATCACGATCTTGAACAACAGAACAGACTCACGCGCCTACTAATGGCTTACATCAGCGAGCAGCTGTTCAAGAAGGGTTGCAAGAGTCTACAGCTTCTCCAGGGTGTGCTGGTCTTTGCGAATTGGTAAGTTCTGGAGCGAAAAAAACGAGGTTGGGTTATAGGCAACTAATGAACACAGGTACGGCTCCCAAATCTTTGTCAGCCCTCAGATCACCAATCTGCTGCACGTCGCGATGGCTCTCACCACGGACCTTGGTCTAGATAAGGCGCCGACGCCCATGGAGCGGTTCTCCACTCGCGCTTTGCAGCAACCGCATAGCCCTGAGGGCAGTGGCCACACGATCGAGGAGAGAAGAGCGCTCGTGGCCTGTTTCTACCTCAGTTCCACCATCTCGACGAGCATCAACATGCTTACAGCCTTGCAGTACTCGGCCCAGGTCGAGGAAGCTTGTAAGCTCTTTGAGCGGAGCGACCCGCTCAGCCAGGATCACCGGTTGGCGAAATTGGCGAGGCTCCAGTATATCACCTCGAAGATCTACCAGATGCAAAAGGATGCAGATCTGGGTGGTGACCACAAAATCGTTGTTCCAGGGTTCATCAGGAATTTCCGAGATGAGCTTAACAACTTTTGGAATAGTTTACCGGAGGTGTTGAAGAATGATAGTAAGCTTCAACCAAAACCCCTGGAAATCCAGCCAAGAAGACCGATCACATGTGGATCGTACTGACACCCATGATCAGTATCAATCATCCTGAGCTATCACACAGCCGAGATCCATCTGTACAAGATCTCCCTGACCGACAGCCCGCCTATCTCGCCCGCCGACGCCGTTCACAGACTCTCACCGGCACAGGAGGAGTTGCAGTGCAACTGCCTCTTCGCCCTGCGCGCCTTCTTCAAGGTCTTCTTCACCTTTGACAGCTCCGAGTACTTCAGCATCCCCATGGCCCTGTTCGTCCAGCTCGCCCACGCCGACGTCACCCTCGCCAAGCTGACCTCGCTCTGGTACGGCCGCCGCTGGCCCGACCGCTGCACGCCCGACATGCTGGCCTTTGGCGACGTCATGGAGCGACTCGCCCTGCGGCTCGAGGAGGCCAAGGACCGCGAGCACCCGTTCGGCTGGCGCATGCGCAACACCGTCTTCGACCAGTGGGCCGAGCGCATCCGCTCCTTCAAGGCGCTCGACTTCGCGGCCACGGCGCCCCCCAAGCCGCCGAGCCGCGTGCCCACGCCCGCCAACGCCAGCGTCGTCATGGCGGGCCCGCCGCCGCCGGTTCCCAACGTGGGCCCGCCGGAGCCGGCGGAGGCGATGCAGGCCGACTGGGCGGCGTGGTTCGACACGGTCAGCGCGTCGTGGGTCAGCCCCACGGAGCTGGCGGGCGCGGCGTGGCCGGACGCTACCTTTGCGACGTGGGATATGGATGGGGCTGCTGGTAGGACGGGCGAGTATTCGTAGAAAGGAACCTCATTTCGTTTTTTTTTTCAATTGTCTTTTCTGTATATGTTTGGCTTTTTCGGGGAATGGCTGGCAGGCGTGTGTGGTGCAGCATCTAGATTAGGAGGGGGGGTTGTGGATGTCTGGGCTGGCGGCATTGTTTTTGACATGTTTGTTTCATATATTGCACGACGACCTCAACTTGGGGGTCCCCAAGCACACACTTTTTACGAACTTTGATGTGGAAAAGCGAGCATTTCTTCATTCATGATTATAGAGTTTGGGGGGAGGCTTGTTATCTTTACCGAGATCTTCTTACACTTTTATGGCGCGAGTCAACCTATTCTTTTTCCATTCATTGATCCTATACAAGTGGGCTTGTTTCTTCTAGGAATTGCTTAGAATGAATCTGAATATACGGAAGCTCATGGTCTTTTCCCCTTTCCAACGCAATAATTCTCGTGAGAGACAATGAGGTGGCTGAATGGCCTGGTAGAGTCCCCAAAAGGATGCGGAGTGGGATAATGGAACTGGTGATAACCACAAGAGGTAGCCATAATATGCAGGCCTAGTTGAGACTTCACGGGAAATGTTTAGATCTTTGCCACACAAGTCTGACTTCTTGAGATATAGGCATGTTCATCCCAGCGTGTGGAGGAAGACGAGCCCGTTACTCTGCACACTGCCATGTTCTCAAACATCTGTAGCAAATTCGGCACCTCAGCCCCGTGTCCCGTCGCCAACATGTACAAGTACTGCTCAGCTGACTGCAGGACGCGATGCGACCCCGGAACGCGCGGGTTTGCTTTTTGCGGCGCAGCATTACTCAAAGTGGTAATAAGATGCTCGTGCCGCCTACTTAACATGGGATGCGGGGAGCGGCTTATTTTGTTCTGTTTCCATCCGAAAGAAGCCTCCATTCTGTTCCCTTTTGGAGCACCGTAAGCCATCCGCTCACCATGCAGCTCGCCTCGGCAGCCACCGTCACCACCTGCGGGTTCCAGCTGCTCATGTTTGGCGGCCGGAAGGCCGGCATCACGCCGGAGCAGTACCGCGACCACTACGAGAACGTGCACATCCCCCTCATGAGGAACCTGACCGGGGACACGTTCCCGCTCACCCACACGCGCCACTACGTCGAGCGGGGCGCGCCGCCCGACTTCCCCGCCGCCGTGCTGCCCGGCGGCGGCGACCAGGCCGACTTCGCCTACGACGCGGTGGCGGTCCTGACGTACCGGGACCGGGCGCACTTCGACGCCAACTGGGCCTTCTTCGAGGACCCGGAGACGGCGCGGATCATCAGGGAGGACGAGGCCGAGTTCTCGGCGTGGACGAAGGGGGTCTTTATTGGGCCGACGATCACGACTGACACGCGGGCCTGAATGTTCGGCATTTGTCCTATTTTGGAGTCTGGGCTTCCTCCGGATCTGACTCTGCATCAAAGTCGCCGGTCCAGTTGGAGGCTTCAGTGTTTTATGATGTCTAAACCTAGTACGATTGGGGAAGGCGAGGTGAACGAGGGGAGCATACGAAGTTATTCATCTGCAGGAGGAGGCTGTGTGAAAGACGCCCATGAACAATGAATAACGCAGCTACATTTGATAGCCCAGAGACTGGCTGGGCTGGCGCTACCTAGTTTGTGCTGCTGCTTCGCTGTGAGTTTAGTTTCGGTGGTCAGGGGAGAATTTTAAACTGGAAGTGTCAAAGGCCTTATAAGAAGGAACAACAATAGTCATATCAATAGCGACTGGTGGCTATATGCCATAGTGGTTAGGGAGTCGGATAGTAGAAACTGCGGCACTTCAGCCATCCCGTTGGTGCAACTAGCTGCGTTCGATTCTCAATGATGCCATTGTCGTTATTTTTTTTGGGTCTTTTTTACCCCTTTTTTTGATCTTTTTGCTTCTTACCTTTTGCTCGGATGAAGATGAAGTCAAGGCTAGTACGGAGTGACACTTGACTCACTTCCATCAACCCGAATGAAGCCGGTGGTTGGAACCAGAGTACTGGTTATTTGACTGTTGAAAGGGCTCGCCTCTACTGCGTATGAGAGTCAGACTATGCTCGCTCACGTTGTGCAATAGATAGTCCTGTAGCTGGACACAAAGATGACAGCAATCCTAGACCCCATAGTCGAAGTCGACCAGGTCGTCAGCTGAAGGACAAGGCAGATGAGTAAAGGGACTCTAGTGATTGACAATCAATAGATTGCAAAGGGGTGCCCAGCAAGTCAGCGTCTCAGCTCGAGAAGGAATTGATGATTAACCACAACTCGACAGGGTCGGATCCGAGCCCAACACTGCGCTTCTCCGCGCGGAGGCTAAGCTATTGGAACTCCAGCGGAATAAAACCCCTGGTTTGAGTATCACTCCTTTTCCGTTTCGGCGATTTGGGCAATGTACGTGGCATCAACAACTTGCTGCCCCACACTCAACGACGCAAGTGCGGCAAAGTCGATCTTGTTGAGATTCCAGCCTAGTGGCTTACATCGACAACCCCAACCCCAACCAAGTCTCTCAGGTATATGCCAAGGCTCATTTACGGAGGCAACCCGATTCTAGATAAAACCTGCCATGTTTGGCCTTCGCCGGTTGACGGGCAGGATGCAATACTACCGCCATAAACACGCACCTCCACCGCAGTCATGACCGAGACTCGGGAATCCGTCTTCAAGACGAGCCAAGGCTCCGTTCTCCACTACTTCACCCGCGGAACCGGGCCTCCCGTCGTCGTCCTCCCCCCAGCGTGGGGCATCGGCTCGGTCTACCTTCAAGACGGCCTCCGAGCTCTCGAAGACAAGTTCACCCTGATCTACCTCGAGTTCAGGGGCAACGGCAGGTCGACCAAGCCGGCGCCCGAGCAGATGACCTGCTGGCACCTCGCGGCGGACGTCGAGCACCTCCGGCAGGAGCTCGAGCTCGACACGATCCCGCGGCTGGTGGGCCACTCCGGCGGCGGCACGATCGCCCTCTGGTACGCCATCCGGTTCCCCGGCAGGGTCGGCAAGCTGATCCTGCTGACGCACCGGCTGGAGGGCTTCGACGACAGCCAGTCGATGGGGGCGATGCTGGCCGCGAAGCAGCGGGACCCGAGGATGCGGGATGCGCTCCAGGCGCTGACGAGCTCGTGGGACGACCTGTCCGACGAGGAGTTCGCCGCGGTCAATCGTCGGTTTCTGCCGGCGTACTATCACGACCCGTCCGTAGCATCAAAATCACCGTTAGCTTCCGTCTCTTCGATCCCGTTGTGGAACTACCAGATGTTGCATGGGAAATATGCGCAACTCAAGTCTCAGGAGGAATTACTGGATAAGGTGACAGCCAACACCCTGATGATCTTTGCCGACGACGACCCGATATGCAACCCGGAGCACGGACTCGCTACAAAGAAGGGCATCGCCGATTCAGAACTGGTCGTGCTCGAGAAGTGCGGCCACTTCCCATGGATGGAAAGGACCGATGAAACACTTAGCCACATCACTCGGTTCTTCTCAACATAAGGTGCAAGCCAATCACATGCCACCGGTCGAGTGGAGGTCAAAATAAAGCCTTTGGTTCTAGCCAGCATAGCGTAGCTATAATTATGATTATATACATTACAATACGAGTCGATTGACGCAAGGCTTGTGAAGCTCGTGTTCTCAGAGTCGGACCTGTTACTGTCGAGTGCACTCTTGATCAAAGATACATGCAAGTGGATAATATCAGCCCACAAACTAGAACAAGGCCTGTGGAGGCCGATGACCTGCGGCCTCTGCCCCCTGCACTTGGCGTCCCCGTCGTTGTTGAAGGACCTGTGGGAGCGCTCTGGGATGACCCGCCACCGTTGCTTGTGGTCCTGGGACTTGTTGGTGACGAAACGGCACTGCTCGGCACCGACTTCGATGTCTGGCTGTCCGAGTCGCTCGTGGTTGCGGCCGTGCTCTTCGGAGTTCCTGAACTAGAGGTACTAGTCGCGCTCTCCGTCGTCGGGCTGTTAGGATCGACCGTCACCCAGTCGGGAGAGTCGGAGGGGCGGTAGTAGCTCTTGGTCTGCCAGGGACCCTTGATGGTGCTCTCGTAGCTGGTCGGGAACGGCATGCCGGACACCGAGACGCTGCCGCAGACTACCTCCCACTCGGACGGCTCCTCGCCGCCGTTGGTCAGGCACATGAAGTGCTCGGACCAGCCGAAGGGGTAGCGGCTGTTGGTCTCGTCCATCTTGGGGTCCACCTGGCAGAAGGCGGCACAGGAGACCGGGAAAGCCGGGTCCGAAGGGCCGGTGATGTGCGTGATGTTGTAGAGCGGGCCCGAGCAGCACTGGGCGAAGCGGGGCGCGCTGCCGCGGCCTACCGGCGGCGTCTTGCAGATGTAGCCGGGGATGTGGCGCGGCCACTCGGAGAAGGCATTTCTGTAGATCTCGTTGAACGTCACGTCGCCTTGGCAGCGGCGGGGGACAGTCATGATGGGCGGTGAGGACGGAAAAGGGTGGCGCTCGCTTTGCTTGGGGGCGTGTCCAACACACGGAGTGAGGCGCGTGGGGCTTTAAGATGATTGTTTGACGAACGATGTTCTGTGATTCATCTGCTTTTCCCGTGTGCTTTCATTGTTGCGCCTTCGTGACGGTGATGTTGAATGAATCACGAGGGCGCGACTGCTCGTAAGCAGAGATGAGCTGACAGTGCCTGCCTGCCTGGGGATACGAAAGTGGGAGATGTCGATGCCCCGCTTTTGTCGTGCGCAGACCCTGCAATGCGAGAGGAAAGGCCGGCCCCCACGGCCCCGATCCGTTCCTGCCGGCGCCGAAGCTGACTCCCGTCTCGAGAAGTAACCGCCGGGCCCCGTTGCCGTGGTCCACATGGCTTCGTCGGAAACTACAATCGATCTAATCATAGCCTGTTGGTTGAAAGAGGGAAACATCTATTCCCGAAAGTCATAGCTGTCCACGGTAATATCCCTGCCTGCATGACCAAAGGCAAGGACGTGACGTCGAGAATGCCTTGTTCTCAGCAAAAGTGAGAGATCATCTCTCCTAATACTTCAAACCTCCTCCAGGACAACACAAGAGTCGCCGGAATCCAAGGCCTCCAATCTATTTCCGTCACGTCGTGTCGGATCGCTGAGCCGATCTCCCAGCAAGGGGTTCCGCCAAGCCGCCCCCCCAACTATCCAAGCACGACGCAGGCATAGTCGCCCCCCCACGAACAAGACAAGAGCCTCAACGGCTCGCTCGCACATGACTGAGACGTCGCTAGTCATTCGACTGTCAAGCCAAGAAGTATGGCGTGTATGGGTAGTCGTACTACTGGCAGTCTTCGAGCACATAATTTAGGTAGTGGTCGATGCGTGGACCATGCGCACGGGATCTGCGACAGCAGTTGCGGCATCCGATCCCGACTTCGTCTGATCCGACGTTTCATCCAGACGGGCTCGCGTCAGGAACTGCCAAAATCGAAAAGATCTTCGCCCCAGCGCCTGGCCAGCTTTTTGTACGCGCAACCAAGGATTGGCATGGTTCCCCCAAGGACCCAAGGGCCCAAGGGCATAAATAGTCGTCGAGCGATCCGGGTTGACGTGAAATTGAAGATTGATCTCGTCTCGAGCCCAGTTCCTTCGTCCATTCTCTCTTTTGACCTCTGCTTCTTCAGATCTGCGCTGTGCGCTTACTTTCATTGTATTACTTCCACTACAAAACATTCGTTGATCGAATCTCTTTTCCAAAACCTTTTACTCTCATTCAAAATGGTTCGCATTAGCCTCGTCGCCGTTGTTGCCTGTAAGAATCTCATACCTGTTCCACCATGATTGTTAAAAAAAAGGTATGCTGGTACTGACATCTGTGTATCAGTTGCCCTGGGTGCCGTCGCCCTGACCCCCAACGCCTCCGGAGCCCGTGACGTCGGCAACGGTGCCGGCAAGCAGTTCACGACCGGCGGCTGCGTCAACGACGCCGACTGCTCCGAGGGCTGCTGCGCCGGCGGCGCCGAGGACGCCCAGGGCGGCGAGGTCGGCATCTGCTCCGGCATCGGCGCCGAGTTCCAGAACGGCAAGACCGGCTGCGGCTTCGTCGACCCCAACGCCGCCGCCACGATCGCCGCCGCCAAGGCGCAGGTCCAGAAGCAGGGTTTCTAAAAGGGGAATCAAGGACTGGTTGTGATGACATGACAAGGAGGACGGTACATGGTAGAAAGCACGAGCAGGCACTTCCTGGAAGTAGTCTTTAGCAGTGTTCAGACTGATTATAAATCTAACCGTGGTCTCTCCTAAACCAACGTTTTCTTGCCCAGTCAGCCGTGTTCAAGCCATTGAGTTTTGATCTTGGATAAGTGCTGGCAACTATGCCGCAAGCATCTCTTGGTGATTTTATTATCACTGGATCGCAGCAATGGAGCCAGTCTCGTGCACCAAAACGGGGAATGCTATTCCTGGTGTATAGAGACGGGGTTCTATAATAGTCACCTTCTTTGATCAATATTATAGCACATCGCTTCAATAACACATGGCAAAGAAGCGCAGCATATCGAAGGGCACGTGCGGCGATGACTTATTGGTCTTATTACGACCTGGACGATTCCATTATACAGACATCTCAGTACGTCTGGTTTCAGTTGGAAACTCGCAATGCCTATGGCTCTTTCATTGAAATTAGACCAACTATCTTCTATCATCCGGACGATATGGAGGTAAGTTCAAATCAACAGATCTAATCGAGCAAGAACTGCCGCACATCAGAGACACTTGTAACACCAAGCGCACGGCTTTGTGGTGTTGTTTACAGCTTTTGCAGGGCCCTAAGCGAGGTGTGCTCAAGTGGTGGACTCCCAAATAACAACTCACTCTTGACGAAAGGGCCGACTGGCTGCAAGTACTTTACATGCAAGTAGTATGCGCCTCGACGGGCGTGGGTCGACCATTGGCCCTGGTTTGCTGCATAGTGAGACCGTGGACCTGGCTAAAAGGAAATATTCAGAGGAGAAGCAGGGCCGGGTGCATGGCTGCAGTTGGAGTGGAGAAAGTGCACAATGTCATCCACCTGCGAACTACGGACTGCAGTCCCCTTGCTTGGGCTTTCAGAGAGGCTGGGGAGGATAGGTAACGCATCGGACTCTACGGGCTGTACCCAGAGGGTCGAGACAACCATGTTGGGCCGAGAAAGGGACGAATGAAGGAGTAACGGGGTGACAAGTTATGTGGATGGCTTGCCAAGGTTGGGCCGAGACGGCTTGCCAGTCTGGGAAGACCCGGTTCAAGATGCAAGACGGAGGTCTAGACCACGATGTCGAGGAAGGGAAACACCACCAACCTACACTTATGACACAGACCCGTCACCTATTCGCTCTGCTTCTCTGGCCCATGCCGATCTTGAGCAACCGCCCCGATGCTTGGCCCAAGGATGCCCCAGCTGCCAAGTCTAGCGCGGTGGACCTCACCAACTTGGTGCCAAGGAACAATGAGGGCACCATGCAAAAGATTCATAACTTGCACCGCGAGAGAAAGCCACTGTTGCTTCGGGAAGGTTCTGCACGGTACAGGCCAGCATCTGTAACCCGCGCACACGACCGCGAGGGAGGCTATCCGGAGCAATGTCGTCGTCGTGAGGGTGTTTTGAGAGAGGCATTTTCCAGCCTCCCTGCAGCCGGGACTTTATCGTCGTCACGCAATATGCCATTCGCTGGCGGACAATGGGAAGAAAGCAGGGGAATACCCGACCGACTGCCCTGATACAACGATATTTTCCTTTTGGTTCAGCAAAGAGGGGCATCCGGCGGGCCAAGCTGCTTGGGAACGTGCCCCATGTGCTGTGAGTGACCTACGTCATGCTGACCAGGGAAGCTCAAAACAAAGAGCTCTTCGGAAAGTCTAAAATGCCATCCAGAAGATGGTCGACCGTGTCCGAGGCAGATAAGGCTCAAACAACAATGAGTGAATTGCTACAACAGAAACACAGAACCAAAGAAACAAGATAAATGCGTAAGGAAGAAAGCGGCCCCTATAAGTGAGCGAGTGACTCTGTCGTGCCCAGCAGAAATGCTTGAGGTTGTGTGAATGCTGCCATTTTTGCGTCGCATCACGGATCAGATCAGTTGTTGCTTGGCCGTTACGTTTGAGTTCAGCGGTTGGCTCCAGGCCTGTTCTAGTGAATCGATCGCCTGTGAGCTCACTGTCCTTGGCCCGTCTAGGCAGGGCGGAGACCCCCCCGGTAGACGCATACTGGCAAGTCGGAGCTTCAGGCCCGGCCGCCAGGGACCCCACCTTGCGACAATGAGATCAATTCGCGTCACCAGATCCTCTGGCGCTGGCACTCTGCGCTCTCTGCTCGCACTGCTCGTCATCCTCTTGGTTTTTGCTGATGTAGCCGAGGGCTGCGGCTGGAAGTTTGCTGCTGAATTCGTCCCCAAGACTCTCGACAAGCTCCACAAGGAAAAGCAGAAGGAAATCGAAAAGGCAAAAGAGAAGGAGAAAGCCGACGATAAACGAGAGGGCGTCAACGAAGTAGAGGAGCCCAAGAACGACAACGAGACCGTCCCCCACAACGTCCCCAGCGGCAACGGCACAGCTGTAGTCGAGAAGCCGGGCGAATACCCCGAGGGTTCTGAGAGCGACAGCGACAGCGAAGGCGACGACGAGGACGAGGACGAGGACGGAGACGAACACGACCAGAAAGCACCTGGCCAGCTCGGCAAGCGCGAGCTCCCCCATTTCGTCAACCTCAACCACGCATACTACGACATCATCACCATGCCCGGCCTCGTCGAGTCCGGCGGCGACGGCAAGCAGCGCGTCGCCCTCGTCTCCAACCGCCTGCCCCTGACGATTAAGCGCGGTGAGGATGGCAACTACAACTTCGCCATGAGCTCCGGCGGCCTGGTGACCGGCATCTCGGGCGCCGCCAAGGACGTCAACTTCAGGTGGTACGGCTGGCCGGGGCTCGAGGTCCCCGAGGCCGAGCGAGGCCCCATGATCGAGAACCTGCAGAAGAAGTACTCTGCCGACCCCGTCTTTGTCGACGACGACCTCATGGACAAGCACTACAATGGCTTCTGCAGTATGTTCCCCCCCCCTCCCCACCTTGGGCAGAGACGGACCACCCCGCGCTGCCGTCTGGCATCTTTTTTTTCTTGCAAAGCTGACTTTTTTTGGTCTTCCTCACACGCAGACTCGGAGCTATGGCCGCTGATGCACTACCATCCCGCCGATGTCATCTATTCGGAGATCGACTGGAACGCCTACGTCGAGGTCAACCGCCGGTTCGCCAAGACCATGGCCCGCGATGTCCAGGATAACGACGTTATCTGGGTTCACGACTACCACCACTTCATCCTACCGCAGATGCTGCGCGAAGAGATCGGCACCTCTGCCAAGGGCGTCAAGATCGGCTTCTTCCTCCACACGCCGTTCCCGTCCTCCGAGATCATCCGGGTCATGCCCGTCCACGTCCGGGAGAGCATCCTCAAGAGCCTGCTCTCGTGCGACCTCGTCGGTTTCCACACATACGACTATGCCAGACACTTCCTGAGCAGTTGCTCTCGACTACTGTAAGTCTTGCATGCATACACGTTGCAGACCCTCAAACCACAACCAGAAGTTTTCTCATAAAGTCTAACCATGGCCTCACACATATATCAGGGGTGTCAACACCTCACCAAACGGCGCCGAGTACGAGGGCCGGTTCGTGACCGTCGGCGCCTTCCCCATCGGCATCGACGTGACCAAGTTCGACGACGCCTTCAAGAACCCCAAGGTGCTCGAGCGCATCGACGAGCTGCAGAAGAAGTTTGCCGGCGCCAAGGTCATCGTCGGCGTCGACCGCCTCGACTACATCAAGGGCATGCCGCAGAAGCTGCACTCGTTCGAGCTCTTCCTCAACGAGCACCCGGAGTGGGTCGGCAAGATCGTCCTCATCCAGGTCGCCGTGCCCTCGCGCGAGGGCGTCGACGAGTACCAGGCCCTCTGGCGCGAGACCAACGAGCTCGTGGGCCGCATCAACGGCAAGTTCGGCACGGCCGAGTACATGCCTATCCACTGGCTCTACCACTCGGTCACCTTTGAGGAGATGACGAGCCTGTACGCCATCGCCGACGCCTGCCTCGTCACCTCGACGCGCGACGGCATGAACCTCGTCTCGTACGAGTACGTCGCCGCCCAGCGCGACCGCCACGGCGTGCTCATCCTGTCCGAGTTCGCCGGCGCCGCCCAGAGCCTCATGGGCGCCGTCATCATCAACCCCTGGAACACCGAGGACGTGGCCAAGGCCATCGAGACGGCCCTGACCATGCCCGCCGAGCAGCGCGAGGCCAACTACAAGAAGCTCCAGCGCTACGTCTACCAGTACACCAGCCAGTGGTGGGGCAAGAGCTTTGTCAACGAGCTCAACGCCACCAAGCCGTCCTTGTGATGATGGCGATGGGAAGATTGAGGCAAAAGAGGAAGGATGGCGAGGGGAGATCAAACGACGACGACAACAACAACACGAACAAAAAAAAAAACAAAGGCTGCAGGTAGCTATATTTGCATTCTAGAAGAAGGCCCTCTCGAGATATCACACAGGGCTTTTTTTTGGTCGGGAACATGCAGCACCACACGGAGTAATCGGTATCACGCACGCGCACGCAAACGGAAGTTTTTGGAAGGGGGGTTCGTTCCTTGTTTGATCCCTCACTCAACTCGGTGCTTTTTGTATTCCTTTTGTACTTTTTTTTTCTGTTTGTCCTTGCTCTAGGTAGTCGCTATCCCTGAAGAGACCATTGCATGGAAAACGTTTTTGATCTTGTGCCGTGATATGGCAAGGTATCGTGTGAACAGGCTGGCGGAAAAAGCCGTTCTAATCCTAATAACTTGTCATACATAACAGAGCACAGTGCAGTTCACGTCCAAGATGATCTCATACTTTGGATACGGAATCCATTCTCAGCTATCTAACTACAGGGGGTCGGGTCCCTACGAAGCAGAAGCAACCAACTCCTCCAACGGTGAAGAACAAGGGCACAGCCAAAATCAGGTCTGCGATCAAACACGGAGGTATCTCAAATCGAGTCCAAAGGAAAGGCCCCCATAGCAGGTATAGAAGTAGTATGGGGAGGAAAGTATACCAACGCCACATGAACCCACCCGTGCCTATTTCAGATGTCCCTCCCAATCCCGCTGTTAAGAAGGGAGAAAAAAAAAAGAACAAAAGGACAAAGAAGAAGAGAAATCCAGAACATCTCCCTTCACCCACTGCTCTCAGCCCCATCGCTCATAGAAGTCACGACCTCTTAATAAGGGGAGTCGACAACGTCGTCCTTGCCCAGCTTGTACCGGCCGCTCGCCCGGCCGCTGATACGACCCGAGCTCCGCCGGCCGCCACCGGCACCAGCGAGGAGGGTCCCGGCAATGCTCTCGCGGGTGGGGCGCTTGAGCGCCTTGTTGTCGACCATGTTGACCTCGTGCGGCAGCGCCATGATGATGTTCTTGTCGGAGCCGTACTTGAAGTCGTCGGCCTTGACCTCGTCCGTGTAGCGCTTGATCATGTACGGCGCCTTGATGCCCTTGAGCACCTTCTTGAGGCTCCACTCGATGACGTAGGGCCCCGTGGCCGTGATGATGCCCGTCTCCTCCGAGCCCTCGCCCGTGTTGAACTTGGCCGGCGTGAAGGAGACGCCCTTGCCGGTCTCGTAGGCGAACTGAGCCACGTGCTCGGGGGTAAGCGCCAGACGACGCGGCTGGGGCTTCGAGTCGGCCGCGAAAGACTTCTCGAAGCCAAGCTTGCCCTCGTTCTTGCCTGCCTTTTGCATGGCGTCGATGAGGAGAAGATATGTTCGGCAAGTGGCGAGGACCCAGTGTCCGTCCGCCGATACGTCAAGGCCGATGATCGGCTCACCCAGGGCGGGGATATGAGTCTTCGCATTGATGCCGAGGCGGTCAAACAGACGAATGTCACCCTTGTTGGAGGCAACGGCAATATAGCCCTTCTCGGTTGTTGCCATGGCAGAGAAGTCATTCTTGGAAACATATTGCTTCAGCTGGGAGTCGACCAGCTTAGTGCCAGCCAGACGGGGGTCAATGCGGTAGAGCGCGTTCTTCGAGATACCGAGGAAGGTTGGCTCATGGGTCATCTGCGCAAACTTGTTCTCGGGAGCAAAGGTGACAACAGGGATGTCATCGTGGACATTCCACTCATCAACGACCTTGCCATACTCTAGATCCATCCGGTATAGCTTGTTGGGATCGGTCTCGTGCTGCAGGATCATGTTGCGATCCTCGTTGTGCAGCATGACCTTCTTGGGACTGAAGAGCTTGCCCTTAGGTGTCTCGATCTTGGAGATGTTGGTTGAGAACTGCAGTTTGTTGTTGGGCGTGTGTTTGAAAACGCCGATCTGAGAGCCGCGAACCACGAATGATCGATCGTGCTTGTAGCCAACAGCGAGAGACTTGTTGGTGGCGCTGTCCTTGGGCTTCGTCTCGACGTCATCTTCCTCTTCATCGCTGTCGTAGTGCTCGCTCTGGTCGCGATCGTCATCGACTTCCTCCTCTTCCTCCTCCTCTTCTTCTTCTTGGATCTCGGGTTCGACCTCATCAGCATCCTCCATTGTCAGGTCATTGAAGGCATCGGCGACGTAGTCACGGTCCTGTTCCTTGACCTTTGTCCATTTGACCTCGTTCAGTTGTTCCCAGAGTGCTCGAAGCAGACCCTCTTGGAACCTCTCCAGAGTGGCCTGGTCCTTAAATCGAAGCAGCCAAGAGTAGGCGGAACCGTCGTCAGCGAACTGATTGAAGATGAAGGACAGAAATTCGAAATTGAAAACAGGGTTGATGTCGGCAATCACGGGGATGCCGAGCCAGTCGCGATCGCTGCTCCCGACTTGTAGCCAGTATTGCCACTTTCCAACTTCTGTCACCGTGGCTGTCACGGAGGGGTCTTGCAGGACAAAAGAGCCTGACGGGAAGTCAAAGAAATGCAGCTCTGCAACTTCGGCCGTCAGGATCTCCGTAGCCTCGGGCTGGGTTGCAGCCTTGGGTGGAAGCATGCTCTTCTCGGGCTTGGGAGGCGTAACCTCCTGCGCCTGCACCTGGGTATGAGTCTCGCGCTTGACGCCAGTATTGGCGGTGTGCTTGCCAGAGAACATCGAGTCGGACGACTCGATAGACCGAGTGAGGGTCGGGCTGTGAAGGGGGCTCGCAGGTGGGATGGGCTGTTCGTCGAACTCGAATTGCTCGAAATCGTCGTCGGCCGCGGTGGTGTGCGGTTTTCGGTACTTGCGTTCGTACTGGCACTGCCTTGCAACGAGCAGGAACTGGTCGACTTGGGCCGGGGAGACGGATGTGTCGCAGACAAACTCATACACGTCGCCAGCGTCGCCGCTCAGGTCTCTCCAGCACAGGACCCTCTCAGATCCCTCTCGGTTCTCCACACGGAAGTGCAACGCTTCGTCAAGGAGGAAAGTCTTTTCGTCTCGTTCGGCGGTCAAGCCTTCGATCTCTGCATCCTCTCCTTCCTCTTCCGCAAGCAGCTCTGCTTCGCCTTCCTCGTAGACACGTTGCACGACTAGCTGGTAGTGAAAGTCCTGGGCGGTACGGCGGATTCGAGCCGCAGAATCCTTGAAAATGAGCTCGGAATAGCCCTTGGGTGAGAGGGGTCGAACGAGGTACAGCTGGCCCTGGGGCAGCTCGATCATGGACTCTTGGTTGCCGGAGCCGAAGAGCAGTTTTGCCGCTGCAGAAGATAGTTGTTAGCAGTGAGATCGGATCCGGAACGAGGCGAGAGAGCAATAAAGAGACATCCAGTGCCCCTCAACGACACTTCGCGACCAGCTTCTGGAAGGAGACAACGTGCCGGACACAGCGTTTGCTGTGCAGCGGTGGCGGCAGGCTCGCTCGCGGGGTTCAGTTGGTGGGGTACTTTTATTTACTTACCATTTCGCAGGACGAACATCTTGGCGGCGACTGTTGTGGTACTGTTGGAATGTGTGTAAACTCAAACGATGCGGAAATATCTGAAGGAGTGACGAGAATATCAAGTCTGCATCACAGCCTGTGGCCAGGATATTTGAAGGCGGCCACGAGCAAGTAATGATGGGAGGGTTTGAACGTGAGCAACCGGGTTGTTAGGCGACAAAAAAAAGAGAGGATAAAGGCCCGGGGGGGGATTGCGTGCGTCATAACACCCTTGAGCTGGGTGCTTTGTGTTGCCCGCACGTTGTCCCACGGCCGGTGTGCGTGTTTACCTTTAGCGTGTCTCCAGAACAAGGAATTTCAGCACTCTCATTCGTCACAGACTTGCCACCCCCGACTGCGTCCACGCCACCAATGGCTGGATGCATCCATGCATCCTTGTCTCAGCTGTCACATGAAGCCACCCTGACTCTTATCAGCAGCAATGGGTGCTGATCATGGCCTTTGTAGGGGGCACTTGTAGGCACCAGCCCTGCATGGGGTGCCTGGAGAATTACTTGTAGTTACACTTATTGAGCTTACCACAAACTTGGAACTTTATGGAGTAGGGAGTTCATGAACAACACTAACAAGCTGCAATTTGGTCAAACAATGGGTTTATTAGAGGAACCTGTAATCACGCTTGTTTTGGCTGCTTTGATGTCAAAGGTTGGGCCATTCATTGTCGGATCTTATGAGAGTGGCTCAATACTTGATAAATCACAACTCCTCTACAATGTAAGGGTCAACTGTCGGCCTGGTCATGTAGCCCTTCAAGACAACCCTTTGCGCTCCTTCGGCCTGTGCATGGGGGATTTTCTGGCCCTCGCCCTTCTTCTTTGTCGCACTTGCATCATCCACGATCAGCCTGGCCACATTCATGCCCATCAAGGCACTGGTCTCCATGGTAGAGATGAAGCTCTCAATGCCGGATGTGTAGTACAAACCTGGGCCCAGCACGGGGTCCTGGAACGTCACTCGAGGCAGCTCCTTGGGGTATGAGTAGAAGACGTGTGGGTAGTACCACGAGATCGGCTTTACAGAGTCGGGGCCCTCACTTGAAACGTTCTCCGTGAAGGGCTCGTCCACTTCGACCCCGAGCAAGGCACTCAGGAACTCGGCAGTGACCTTTTCAGGCGAGAAGATCTTGTACAGGAATTCCTTCTTTCCCGTACTTGGGTGCACAACGGTTTTCAGCGTGCTGATCGAGTAGAATCCGGCCTTGCCGGCCCCTTGGGTGCCCGAATCGGGACTGTCGTCGCTGCTGAGAGTTGTGAGGACTGAAGTAGGCACCTGGCTTCCGGCATCGAGGTTGAAGAAGGCCGCACTGAGGCGGAATGGTGATGTGAACAAAGTGACATGTAGCTTGATGTATGGAATCTCGTCGATTGCATCCGTCAATACCCCTTCGCCGGTCTTGATACCACTGAACTGGAAAGGGGTAGCGATGACAACATTGTCGAAGACGGACGTGTCTTCGAAGTCTGGAGTGGAGACTGAGTCTGTAGGTGCAGTTTTGAGATGGTATTTTCCAGTTTGGTCATCCTTGGCTAGCTCAATGCCCAATACCGAGATATTTGGAAGGATGCGAGCGCCGCTTTCAGCGACCATATGACTGAATATCTGCCAATTGCCCCCGGCGACCTGCGAGGCGCCTTCGGGAGCCATGGATACCTGCTCACTGCCGTAAGAAATAGTCGAATCCCAGTGTATCATGGACACGTACCATTGTCTCAAGCCCGTGAATGTGAGCCAGGTTGGAGGCATAATTGACCCTGGTGCTTGCTTGAATGATGTCGTGAGAGAACAGCTCCGAGATCTGGTCTCGTGAGTGAGATGTTCATCAAAGGTGCAAGAATAACTGACCTTGTTCTGCGACAGAAACTGTGTGCCTGTCTGCCCCGTGATGTGAGTAAGCTCCAGCTCCTGGGCACGGAGCGACAGTGAAGGGAATGGGAAGTATGGCTCCTCGTAGAGTTTCAAGAACTTGTCAATGACGCTCTGCATCAGCTTTTGCGTCCGATACGGAGACGTCCCGTATTTCCAGAACAGCTTGGCGATATTCCACCAGTACCAGGAGTCCTCATCCTGCTGATACACGAACTTGTCACCGTCCCAGATAGCCAGTATGCCATCCCCGCCGAGCTCAGGCTCTCGGAGAGGTAGATTGAACCTTTCGGTTGCATTCCAGAGAATGTGGTTGAGTTTGATGAAGATGGACGCCCCCAGCTCGGCTGGCTGAGCCTGGTCCTCGTACACATCGACCGTGAGAGTCCGGCCACCAATGCGTTCAGTCTTTTCAAATACTGTGATGTTGATCGGTATCCCACGTTCACGAGCAAACTGCCGTAGATGGAACGAAGTTGATGCTCCGGCGGCACCCGCACCTGAGGCGAATCAGTTCCGTGCCTCTCTGCAGTAGCTCTGATAACCTTCTCGAAACACGACAGAGCAAGTTGTACGGCGGAAGCAACCTTTATATGAGATGGCTCGATGCCAAAACAATTTGAATCACGAGAAAATAAGACAAAAAAACAGGTATTTCAAAGCACGAGGTATAAGACGCAAATAACAAAATTACAAACCTATGATGGCTATTTGACGGACAGAAAGCTGGTCATTGCTCTCTCTAGTCGCTGAAGCAGCTCCAGCGATGGCGCTGTGGAGTGCTGTAGCCACAGCTACCAAGCTTGGAGCGAGCTTCATCTCTGGGAGGAGACGAAGAACCGAGTATTACAATAAAATGGATGACTTTGAGTTCTGAGCCGTCGAAATCACTGTCAGAATGATGGCAGAGGTAATCACAAATGTGCTATGTGAGACTGCCCTTGCGTAATGTCTGATCAGATGTGCTGCACTTCGTATTGCACGTACGAAAGTAAATGGTAGGGAGTACTTGGAGTTAGTTCGTGCTAGAGTACACCTGCTGCTGCTGAGCAATCCCGTCTCAGGTACCCCGCATCAGGGACTGCCATTGGCCAAAGCTCCACCTCGCCCTGGGTCAATCTTGTAGCCTTGCTCCTCCTACCACAAAAAAAGTTCACGTATTCAACAGAGCTAGGCAAGACCCCCATCAAGCCCATTCTTGGACCAGACGGAGCATCTTGCAGCGACCACTCAACGACACACACTTTGCACATAGCCGAGAATGTCTGCAGCACAGCTCCTCAACCCGAAGGCCGAGTCGAGAGTTTGTCCCCAAGAATGTCCCCCTTTTCTTGATTTTCAAGCGCTAACCAGCCGTAGCGGCGGGGTGAAGCTCTGCGAGTGAACATCTCTGCGGGCGAGGGTCTGCAGGATGTGCTCAAGTCAAACCTCGGCCCCCTAGGGACTATCAAGATGTAAGCATACTGCTATCCGTGACTCGAGAAAAGCATGCGCTGACCAGTTGACAGGTTGGTGGATGGCGCGGGACAGGTACGACGGCTTCGAAATGTTACGATTCTCCCACCCATGCTGACTTGACCACCTTTGAAGATCAAATTGACCAAGGATGGCAACGTTCTCCTCCGCGAAATGCAAATCCAGAACCCCACAGCCGTTATGATTGCGCGAGCAGCCACAGCCCAGGACGACATTTGCGGTGATGGAACAACGTCGGTCGTGCTCCTGGTCGGCGAGCTGCTGAAGCAGGCAGACCGCTACATCTCCGAGGGTCTGCATCCCCGAATCATCACTGATGGTTTTGAGATCGCAAAGAATGAGGCCTTGAAGGTGAATACCGGCACTAGCAGGCCAAAATGATATGGACTCCGCGTTAACAGCCATTAGTTCTTGGACCAGTTCAAGCTACCGAAGGAGGTCGACCGCGAGCTTCTCCTCTCCGTCGCACGGACATCCCTCGCCACAAAGCTGAATGCGACACTGGCTGAGCGGCTTACACCTGACATCGTGGATGCTGTTCTTGCCATCTACCAGGCGCCGGCCAAGCCCGACTTGCACATGGTGGAGATTATGAAGATGCAACACCGAACTGCTTCGGATACTCAGCTGATTCGTGGACTTGCCCTTGATCACGGTGCCAGGCACCCCGATATGCCCAAGCGAGTCGAAAACGCCTACATCCTCACACTCAACGTCGGCCTCGAGTACGAGAAATCCGAGATCAACTCCAGCTTCTTCTACTCTAGCGCAGAGCAACGTGACAAGCTCGTCGAGAGCGAGCGGAGATTTGTGGATGCCAAGCTTAAGAAGATTGTGGAGTTGAAGAAGGAGGTTTGCGGCAACGACCCCAAGAAGAACTTTGTAATCATCAACCAGAAGGGCATCGATCCCCTATCGCTTGATGTACTGGCAAAGAATGGAATCCTGGCACTCCGCCGGGCCAAGAGGCGAAACATGGAGAGGCTGCAGTTGATCTGTGGCGGTATCGCTCAGAACAGTGTCGAGGACCTCTCTCCCGATATCCTGGGCTGGGCTGGCCTTGTCTACGAGCAACAGCTGGGCGAGGAGAAGTTCACCTTCGTCGAGGACGTCAAGGACCCCAAGTCTGTGACCCTCATGATCAAGGGCCCCAACCAGCACACCATCGCTCAGATCACCGACGCCGTGCGGGATGGCCTGCGCAGCGTTTACAACATGATCGTGGACAAGAGTGTGGTCCCCGGTGCTGGTGCTTTCCAGGTGGCTTGCGCCGCCCATCTCAAGAGCGACGAATTCGCAAAGACGGTGAAGGGCAAGGCCAAATGGGGTGTTGAAGCTTTCGCTGATGCCCTCTTGATTATTCCCAAGACTTTGGCAGCCAATGCTGGTCTCGACATTCAGGATTCCCGTAAGTTCTCTTGAAGTCGTATCTTTGACTATGGGTAATACTAACCCAACCCTTGCAGTTGCCAACCTCCAGGACGAGCTAAACGATGGCAATGTTGTTGGCCTGGACCTCACCTCGGGAGAGCCAATGGATCCTACTCTGGAGGGTGTCTACGACTCGTTCCGCGTGCTGAGGAACTGCGTTGCGTCCAGCGCAGGCATCGCCTCTAACTTGCTATTGTGCGACGAGCTGTTGAAGGCACGCCAGATGAGCAGGCAAGGCCCACCAGGGGCAGACCAGGGGGAGTAAGGACTTTGCATGATACCAATGTACGAATAGAATCGCAAAAACAGGCGCTCTATGATAGATCAATGGGATTAGGTGGAGATGAAGGATAAGGCACGTGAATGCCCTGGAGCACACGTACACACAGGTGACATGAATATCTATTCTACCTGCATGGTCACGTAGTCTCCATATGACGGTTGACTCGGATCCTATGAGGGATCGGTAGATGGTACTTTTCATCAAGCGGGATGCCATTTACAGTACTGTACCCACGACGAATGCGCCTTATCGGCACCCCGCTGCGGAAGTTGACACTGATAAAGGAAAAAAAGTTCGACCCCACCATCAACCTTCTGGACCTGCCCAGTAACGATTATCGCATTGTGCCTACGCATATTCCAGAATGGCACCGTACGATAGTGATTCGTCGGACGACGAGGGCCAGGATTTCACAGAGACCAATGTTCTCCTTGGTTATGCGGACAAAGATTCGAGAGGCGAGGTTGTAAGCCGCCTCGGCGGTCGTCCTGTAAGTTGTTAGATAAGGCACTTTAAGCGATTCACACAACTGACTGATTGTTTATAGGAATGGCTCGAGCAGGACAAAGCCCCCTCGGCGGCCTTGGCTAAGTGCAAGGTCTGCAAGGACATCATGGTCTTGCTCCTCCAGCTCAATGGCGAACTACCGGATCGCTTCCCCGGCCACGAACGGAGGATATACGTCTTTGCCTGCCGCCGCAAGAGCTGTAGGAGGAAGGAGGGCAGCATACGCGCCGTGAGAGGCGTGAGGGTGTCTGCCCAGGCTGCGGCGGCGGCTGGGCAGGCAAAGGAGGAGAAGAAGGCCCCGGCCGAGCCGGAGAAGAAGCAGGCCGGGCCCGGCCTGGGCGACGCGCTCTTTGGCGCGAAGTCGTTTGGCGGCGGGTCCGGGTCTGCGAACCCGTTCTCTTCGCCAGGCTCAGGCGGCAACCCGTTCTCCAAGCCGTCGGCGGCGGCGGCGCCAGCCAACCCGTTCAGCAAGCCTGCCCCTGCTACCGACAAGGCGGCCGCGGCCGAGGCCGAAGCCAAATCGACAGAAGACGCGGTCAGAGACCTCCCCAAGACCTTCGCCGAGACACTCAACCTCAACAACCCACAGCAACAAGCCACGGCGGGCCCGCCCCCGCCGCCTGAGCCCTGGCCGGCGGAGGACGCGCAAGCGAACCCGTACCCGGTGCTCTGGATCTCCGAGGCAGAGTACGAGACGCTCGACCCGACGCCCATGCCCGGCGTCCCCACGACGACGACCATGGATATCGACGACCCGGCCGGCTCGTCCGGCGGGAGTGGAGGCAAGGAAGACAAGGAGGTGTTCGAGTCGAGCATGGACGCGACCTTTCAGAAGTTCGCCGACAGGGTGGGGCAGAACCCGGAGCAGGTCATCCGGTACGAGTTTGCGGGCCAGCCCCTGCTGTACAGCAAGGACGACGCGGTGGGCAGGGCGCTCGGGCCGGCTGCCGGCGGCGGCCAGGGCGGCGTCGGCGCGAGCAGGGGCATCCCGCGGTGCGCGGCCTGCGGCGCGGGCAGGCTGTTCGAGGTGCAGCTGACGCCCAACGCAATCGCCGAGCTGGAGGCCGACGAGGAAGGGCTCGAGGGCATGGACTGGGGCACGATCATCGTGGGCGTCTGCGAGCGGGACTGCCAGGCGCGCGGGGTCGGGGAGGGAGAGGCGGGCTACCTGGAAGAATGGGCCGGTGTGCAGTGGGAGGAGTTGTCTGCAAAGAGGTGACCGGAAAAGAAGCATGAGCATGCCACGACCTAGATACGATATCCAATAGACTGACACTCCTGTGCTGCAAATAGGTGTTGCAAAAAGCAGATTTATATAGTTCCAACATGAAGAGATGTGAACAATGCACCCGAGCTCAAGATTCGTTCTGCATATTTGCATCTACATGGATATTGCCGATGTTTGTATAGAGTGGGACTTCATTCTCTTGAGGATATTATGGACATGGTAACTCTTCCCGGCCCTTGAAGCCGTACGCACGAATGGCTCCTATGATGCATGGAACATAGATCCTGGTCATCAGCCACACGTAGGATACTCCGGGTTGCCTCTTCATCTCTTCATTGACATGATCAGTTTCTTTCTTTTGGATCGCTTCTGCCTCGATGATAATAACAGGGGAAGCATTTGATCTTTTCATGACTTCTAAACCATCCTAAAACGCCGAGCTTTTTGCCCTATGATGCGACCGCAGCATGCCCAATTGCCTGACCCCCCAGCCCTTTACGCCGCCTCCTCCCATGCCCTCCGGACTACCCTTGAGAACATGTCGACGTTGACGTCCTCCCTGATCTCGGCCTTCTTCGCCTCGTTCTCGGGGTTCTTGGGAATCAGCACGTTGGCGCCGTCAACCTTCCAGCCGCACGTCTCGGTGACGAACTTGCGCACGCCGTCGTCCGACATGCCCAGCCACTGCTCCAGAATGCCGACCTGGATCTCCCTAAAGGCCTGGCTGACGAGCTGGGCGATGCGCAGGCGGATGATCTCCTCGAAGCCGCTGATGTCGGTGGTCAGGTCGGCGTACAGGTCGTCCGAGTCGAGCGTGGCCCAGAAGCGCGCGTACTGCGCGCCCTCGAGCTGGTTGTTGAGCTCGCGCAGCTTGGCGACGGCCTCGGAGAGCTCAGAGTTGGAGGTCTGGGCGGAGGGGTTGATGAGGTGCATCGCTTGGTTGAACTGGGAGGAGGGGAACTGCGTCATGGCCTTGACGAGGATGTTGGTGATAACTTCATCCTTGATGCGGTCGGGGTTCAGCTGGTACCTGAAGCAAGCGCAAGGGAAGTCCCAGTTAGCAAGATGTCTGGCAGCGGCTTGCTGAGATGTGCAGTTCAGAGAGCCAGGAAGTATGTCAGACGACACTAATAAGGTGACTTCATTTGCAGCCAAACGGCATGTCGGCCATGGGCGGCAAAGTCAGGTAATAGGAAACGTTTACATGATCATCATTTTGGCTTGATGGGTAGCCGGTCATGAAACCCTTGAGAACTTACAGCTTAAGCAACGTCCTGTTGGCGTTGCAGTCGCAATATCTCTCCTCACATTGCTGGCTGAGGTACCCCTCCAGGCTGCCGACCGCCTCCGGGTTGTAGCGCTCTAGGCCATTGATGATGCTCGTGATGTAGTCGGGCCGCTCTTGGGGGTCTTCGCCGCTCATGTTGGGCACGTTGGAGTCGAAATCGAGCTGCTGTGTCCGGGTACAAAGAGGTCGCCGTTGTCGAGGGGCTCACGAAGTTCTCAATGGTGGGGCTCCAGAGGTTTTCCTCGAAAAGTCGTGGTTTGTGTGCAGCAACAGTGTTCTCTTTTGGGACTAGCGCATACTGCCTCCGCTCACACTATTCTCCGACCCCGACTTTGGCTGTCAGACTTACAGAAGCCCTTAAAAAAAGCCAGGCGCAATTGCCGTCGTCACATGAACTCGCGATGGCTTGGTGCTCAACTTCAACGCGTCACGCTTACATAATCTCATCTCCCCAACATGAGCAGTTTCACGACAGCCAACGCCTGATTCTCTCAGTGTTTTGTGGTCTTTTATCCTGTCGAGTTCTCTCCACAGGAAAACATACAAAGCTTTGATGCGTCTTATGTCATCGCATATCCCAGTTGGTGTTGCATAAAGGGGAAGCTGGGCTGGGGAGCAGGAGAGTCAACATGGCAAGCCCGGCTAAGAAACGGAAACTGAATACAGACACACAAAAGTCACCCGGTAAAGGGCTGGAGTATTTCTTTGCCAAACAAAAGCAGAGTCAGGTACCACAAGCCCAAGTCGATGCGGATCGTTCTATTGGCGAGAACAGTCAAGCTTCACACACCCTGACAGACGAGGAGCTCGCCAGAAAACTGCAGGCCGAATGGGATAATGAAGCAAGGGTGTCGGAGAATGATGCCTCAAAGAGCATCACAAATGCGGTGGACGGAGAGCTTGCGACTTCTTCGGATACTACAACCAGAAGCCCAACGCCCTTTACCAAACCAGCGTTGGTTTCGGGGAAAGGGGCAAGCAAAAACACGCTGTCTTTACAGTCCGTAGCGGCAGCGGAAGATGCGGTTTCCTCGTCGATGCCCCTGGACGAAAGCCCTCTTACCTTCGAGCCAAGCCAGTACGTCTCTCTACTGCAGGAACACTGGAAAGCGGAGGGCGGCGATGCGTCATATGCGCTTTTGACAAGATGCTTCGTGCTTGTGAGTGCGACGCAGAGTCGCATCAAGATTGTTGATACATTGGTCAACTGTTTACGAGTGTTGATTGAGGGCGATCCTTCGAGTCTTCTGCCAGCTGTACGTCGAGAAAAGCGGATTCATGTGTTGAAAGGCGTACTGACACATAGCGCAAAGGTCTGGTTAGCAACAAATTCCATCAGTCCTCCCTATATCTCCATGGAGCTCGGCCTGGGCGGTTCTGCAATTTCCAAGGCCTTGAAACAGGTCTGTGGTCTGGATAATCGCGGCCTCAAATCAATCTACGACAAGTACGGCGACCCAGGAGATGTAGCCTTCGAAGCAAAGAAGAAGCAGAGCTTTACTCTGCGAAAGCCCAAGCCTTTGACTATCAAGAACGTATTTCAGTCCCTCGTCAAGATCGCAAACAGCCAAGGCCAAGGCAGTGTCGAGACCAAGCAAAGGTTTGTTGACAGATTGCTTCAGGATGCCAGGGGTGGGGAGGAGAGTCGTTTCATTGTTCGCACTCTGTGCCAACATGTAAGTACCTTGGATCCCATACGTATTTCATTCGCTGATTTCAAAAGCTTCGAATCGGCGCAGTTAAAACAACGATGCTCATCGCATTGTCTCGCGCATTCTTGCTATCGCGGCCACCCGGGGTTGACTTTTCGATCCGGGACCGGAAGGACCTCGCAGCTCTAAGGAAGGAAGAGCTGGCAGAGATTTATGGCAAGGCAGAAGAGATCGTGAAGGCTTGTTTCGCGCGAAGGCCTAATTACAACGATCTCGTGCCAGTACTGCTGGAGATCGGAGTCTGCGAGGAACTCCTCGTACGCTGCGGACTCACGTTGCACATTCCGCTTCGACCAATGCTGGGCAGCATCACACGCGATATGGGCGAGATGCTCACGAAACTGCAAGGTCGGGATTTCGCGTGCGAATTCAAATACGACGGGCAACGAGCGCAAGTGCACTGCGATGAGAAGGGAAAGGTCTCGATATTCTCACGGCATCTGGAAGTCATGACAGACAAATACCCCGATCTGGTCGCCCTAGTGCCCAAGATCCGTGGTGAAGGTGTTGGGAGCTTCATCTTGGAGGGCGAGGTTGTGGCAGTGGATCGAGCGACGGGTGAGCTGAAGAACTTCCAAACATTGACAAACAGAGCGAGGAAAGACGTGGCCATCGGCAGCATCACCATCGACGTCTGCCTCTTCGCCTTTGACCTCATGTATCTCAATGGGCAACCCCTGCTCGACAGGGCTTTCCGGGAAAGGAGAGAGCTGCTACGGTCATTGTTTGTTGAGATCCCACATCATTTCACTTGGGTCAAGAGCCTCGACGCCACTTCCGAAGACTCCGAGGTCGTGTCGGAATTCTTCAAATCAGCCACAGACATCAAATGCGAGGGCATAATGGTCAAGATTCTGGACAATTTGCCAGACCTTGTATACCAGGGAGACGAGGCTGAGTTGCCTGTTGAAGAAACCGAAAAGCTAGAATTGCCGAAATCGAAGAGCAAACCGAAGAGCAAGGCCAAACAGATGGGCGATAAAGAAGGTGGCACGAAGAAAGGGGGACGTAGAAAAGCACTTCTGGCTACTTACGAGCCTGACAAGCGGCTTGACTCTTGGCTGAAAGTCAAGAAGGACTACAACTCTACTTTTGATACACTTGATCTAATCCCGATAGCAGCATGGCACGGGCAGGGTCGCAAGGCGAAGTGGTGGTCACCAATCCTCATGGCTGTGCGCAACGAGGAGACGGGCTCGCTGGAAGCTGTGACGAAGTGCATGTCTGGATTCACGGACGCCTTCTACAAGGCGAACAAGGAGTTCTACGACGATGGCGACGGGGACGACAGCGAGAGGAAGAACACTAGGGCACAGAAGCCAAGCTTCATTGAGTACTACGGGCCAGAGCCCGACGTCTGGTTTGAACCGCAAGAGGTGTGGGAGATGGCTTTCGCGGACATTACGCTTAGTCCAACCTACACAGCCGCAATCGGTCTCGTCAACGAGGATAGAGGCCTGAGCCTGAGATTCCCGAGGTTTCTCAAGAAGCGGGATGATAAAGGCATCGACGAGGCAAGCTCCAGCGAGTTCTTGGCGAATCTGTTCCGAAAGCAGGAGGCCAAAGCCCCGGCGCTTGCTACTGCGCAGGAAGCACAAGGGGACGGCATGGACGACGAGGATTGAGCTTTGAAGGATTCGTTCAATTCCAAATAAGTCCGTCACTTTTTACAAGCATACAATCTTCTATCTATGAAGTGTGCATGCGACACGATGGCCTTTTCTTTACTCCTGCCAGACCCGGTAAACAGTGCGGCAACCATACTTCTCGCCCTTCTTGAGCAGCGCCTGGTTCTTCCACTCGGGGACGTTGATGGCGTTGACGTAGCGGCCGGGCTCAACACAGAAACCGCTGCGGTTGATTCGAGCAGGGACACCAGCGACAGCCGGCACATCGATGTGCTTGCCAGTGTAGAACTGGAAGGCGGGTTCGGTGCTGTAGACCTCGAGGTGGATGTTGGTCTTGGGGTGGCTGGCGGCAGCAAGCCTGGTCAGGGGCTCCGACCGGGTGTCGATGGGGACGGTCTCGGACTTGACATTGACGACGAAGCAGTCGTCGATGTTGGGCTCGGTGGCGGTCAGCGTGAAGGGCGCGTTGACCTTGGTGCCGGGGAAGGGAGCCTCGGGGCCCCGGAGGGGGATACCGGCCTCGTCCAGGGGAAGATGCTGGTCAGTGACAAGCTCGACGGTGGTGCCCTCGATGGTGGGCTCGCCGCTCAGGTTGAAGTAGCTGCAGAGGGAGTCAGCAAACCCGTGTTGTTGACGTTCCCGTGCGGGGTTCTAAACTCACGAGTGGTTGGTCATGTTGATGACAGTCTCGTCGGCGCCGTCGACCAGCTCGGCCTCGTACTCGATGCCAAGAACGTAAGCGGTCTTTCCATTGACCTTTTGCGTGGCTGTGGTGTAGATGACCTTGACGTCAAGGGTACCGGGGAAGCCCTCCTCGCCGTCCTCGCTCCTCAGGGTGAACTCGACGCTCTCGCCGCCCTCCAGCCCGTCGAGCCCGGGAATCGGACGAATACCGACGGGCTTGGGGCCGTTCCAGATCTTCTTGCCCCAGCCGACGTTGCCACCGTGCAGGTTGTTGGTGCCGTTGTTGGCGGCCAGGGGGTACGACTTGCCGCCGTTGATGGAGTTGATCTTGGCGCCCGCGATGCGGTTGGCGACACGGCCAATGGTCTCGCCAAAGTACGGGCTGTTGTGGCTCTGGTACTCGGCGGCGGAGGGGAAACCCTGGACGATGTTGATGCCACCGACGTTGATGGACTGGATGATGGCGCCGAGAGGCAGGAACACGAACGGGGCGTCAGCCATGATGTATGTTTTTTTGCTCAGTGAACTCGTGTGGACAAAGTCTTTTGTTCAGTGTCTGTCTCTCTTCTACGAAGTCGAAGCTCGAGAGGGGTCAATGATGATCTGGGATCGTGCAATGAGGGGTCTCATCCCAAGGGTGGTCTTGGGGTTTTATGTAGAACGTCCTGTCACACCAGCAACCGCAATGGGAAGGCAGTACGCAAGGACGCAAGGAAAGCGTGCGACGGCTTATATGGGAGACTAGGTACCTAATCTTGGTGCTATGGGACGACTCCATCGCGAACTACTTAATCAATTCAGCCTATTCGCGCGGGTAGAATGCAAGAACCAGAAGAAGCTTGAGCAAATGTGGGACGGAAGCCGGCGACGGCGGCCCCTCATGCCTTTTCAATACTGCTGTGAATGCGGTGCCTTTTTCTCCAACAGCGCGCCACCACTCAACCAAGAGCTCACCATAGTGGGGTAAGTGCTTTGACCACAGGGACGGGCGGGGTAGAAAATTGGGGGCAGCTAGCGGCTCGCAGAGCGCTTACTCCCCGAAACTGTCGGTCCTCGCGTCTCGCCTCGATCTCGAATTGATTGATGCATTGTTTGTTTGCAAGGTTTTGTTTCCAGCCTCCATGATCGGCGCAAACGGGTTTTATATCTTATTTCCTCCCGACCTAATATTTCAAAGACTGCTCATGGACGAGGCGGCTTGCGCTGATACGATGTAGTCAGTCCGCCACGGCCAAGGCAAGGTGACTACGTTGTGCTCAGCGTATCAAAGAGTAACCGCCTCACTTCCGCTTGGGGCTGAAAGTGCAGTTCGCGGCTGATAGGTTCCCATGGCCCTTGGCTACTACGACCACCTGGGCCTGTCGTTGATCTACAGCCCCAATAAGCAAACAGGGCAGATCCTGTCTCGATCATCTGTCATGCCTCGCTACCTAGGGGTGCAAGTGATGCTTAGATTCGTTGACAGCCTGCTAACAGAAATACTTGACAATTATCCATCAAGCTCATCGGTGTTGGGTAGTGGGATAGCCCTTCTGAGCACCAGAGCAAGGATATGTATTGTTAGCATTGAGGCAACTTCCCCTGGCGTGAAACCAGCAAAAGTCCATGCCCTTCCTTCACTGGTAGAGCCACTTGCACCTCAAACATGCTGGGATCTTTCGCCTCATTCTATGACTGGAGCTGAAGACACCACGCCCTGGCATTAACCACCAGCGAACGCTTCTTGGGTCAATTGTGCAATCTATTGAGCAGACACGTCACGGCTCCCTCTCCCAGGACATTCTCTTGCATTAAGGCCATCTAAGCTCGGGACGCGGCCATCATAGGGCGCGACCTTGAGGATATCCATATCCAACCATGCCTCATCATATTGAAAGCCGTTGCCTCGGATCGTCCTGTAGTTCAGGAACATTGAACTAGAGATCCATGTCTGTTCGTCATGGTTCACCTACCTTGGGCGACTGCCCCGTGCTTCATTGGTTTTCAAGCATCAAGAGCATATGCTAGCAAGCGTCCCAGCTGGTTTTAAAAGGCTGCTCGTCCCCCGACAAGATGTCTGATGGTTATGGAAGTCTGCATCTCACCACGCACCAAAGACAGTCACTCCCGGGCAAGGTCCCATCATGGAATTCTATCCAGCTCATCCCGGCGGCAGGTATGTCTCATGCTTTGTATCGTTCGCTCCAGTTTTGCAATTCATCAGAGATGCCCAGTGGCAAGTTAAATGCTTCAAGGACCTTGCATAGGACTTCAGGATTCTGGACATGGATTTTTGCCAACGCCCCCGGAATGGAAGTCCTGAGTATTGGCAGCCGCCAAAGGACCTAGCCTCTCGTGAAGGTTCGAGATGGCATAGATATGAGCGATCCGCTCTAAGATGACAGGTTCAACAGCTACTGTCCAGTAAGTATCCGAGGATGCCACGAAGGAAATCGGATTCGATCCATTACAAGGAAGGCCAGCCAGGGAAGGCTGAAGCTTACGTGCGGCATACGTGCGGCAAATCACTGTCGAGAATGAGAGGTAGTTCCTCTTCGCTCTTTGGGGAGAGCGATCTCAAAACCCGGACGACCGTCCTGATAGTCCTCGTTGTCTGGTATTGGCTGTTGAGGTCGTGCCGTCCAAGTCCTTCACAATTGTAGTCGAACACAGACTCCAAAGTTGGGGATTGTATTGCCTGTTTGAAGATTTCTTGCTAGGAGGATGCTGACCACTTTGTTTTTATCGAAAAGTACGGCCCGCACAGGATTGGAACCAGCCCATTGTGAGGACTGGGCCAACTTTCCCGAATCGCAGGAGCTCGATCCTGCCCCTCTCAACGACGCTTCCTTGATGTATGTCGCTGATGAAAGATTGGGGCCCTTCTTCACTACGGCATTATCAAGCGGATTCTCGGCTTTGACGCCGATGGTACTGCGTCAAGATGATGGGTTGACGACCCCACCTACATCTTTCGCAGGCTGTGTCCCTATCAAGAGTTCAGCTGAAGAGTATGTTTTATCTTCATTCTCTTCTTGCTTTTAGTACTGATTTGATTCTCGTCTCCAGGCGCGGCGAGGGATCATCACAGCCGAAATGTCCAGCCTGTGATTACTCGGCGAAGACACAGCGTGATGTAACTCGCCATTACACTAGTGTTCATGCGAGAATACCCTCTTACTTCTGTGACGAGCCGGACTGCCCTCGTTTTACAAATGGGTGGGCAAGGAAGGACCTCAGGGACAGCCATGTCAAGCGGAAGCACCACAGACTTGCCCAGGACGATACTGATGGGCTCCCCACCGCCACATCCAGTTCAGCAATCGATCCTGTCCTTCGAAAGCCGACGAGCGAAGACTGGGCCTCACATGTCTTGGAGGAAGAGCCGGCCAACTACGACTCGCTGAAGAAACTCCTGGCAAAAGAGCACAAACGACGCCTAGAAGCAGAAGGTAAACTGAAGATGCTGAGGAAGGTGTGTGTCAAGCTGCTGCTGTGATTGGAGCATGCATCGTTCAGTTGTAGGAGAAAAAAGGAGTCGGTTATGAATGAGTCGGCGTTTTGGTTGGACCGGGACGAGACCTGTCGTCGTTCATTGCACACTGTGTTTCTCTATCTTGCCCTTGTGTTCTGTCTCTCTCCCTTATTTTCGCATTTGCTTGCTTGTCTCCATTTCATGGGGTTGGGATACTCTCTACAAGGTCATAAACTGCACCTTCAGAGTTGCGTATCTAGATTTTTCATACGTTCTCCTATGGGGGTCTGGCATGCTCACTGTCTTCGCAAACTTAAACTGGAGAGGATTTTTGTTATGCATGTTAGCAGAGTGGTGCTTGTTCCTTTACCACTTCTATGAAAACACTTTTCAATTTAAAACCCATTTTCGTATTTAATCTATGAGTATTGGAGGAGTGACGTTAGGACGGCTGCGGGAGTTGGTTGATTCAGCTCCCCGATGACGGGAGCTATTACCAAACCCAAACCACTGGAGTTGCTGGAGTACACTAAAGGTAAGCTTAATCTGAGCTCGCTCATGGGACCCATCATCACTGGGCGACGACCTCCCTCCCAAACACAACAATGGTGGGCAACGTGTAACAAGGGATGCGCAATTCTGTCAACTACCTACGCACCGGCATCATGTCCTCTGGCCAGGTCACCATCATGTCACGACCCCAATAGATATTGAGCAGCCCCGACCCTTATTGATGCAACATTGACCCCTTGCCCATCCGCCCTACAGCAAGTACAATGCCGGACTCGACGCCACACTCGACGCCAAAGCGCAAACATACCCAGTTCTCAAGCGACGGGTCTTCTCAAGATCCCCACACAGCCAAGTTCTCTTTCGAAGTCCCCAGTGACGACGTCGACGACGGCAATGGAAGCCCGCGAACCAAGGTCGCCCACAAGTTCAAAGGCCTGGCGCTCGAGGGCGGGGGCGGGGTAAACAACGACCTTGCCAGGTACGGCTCGCCGCCGTCGCCTACACCCAGTGGCGAGGCTATGGACGTCGACACGGGGGTGCGCAAGCGAATACGACTTCCGGAGGATGTTGATACCGCTGCCCCGGCAAACCCGACTCAAACACCTGCCGCAGCTTCAGAGCCCGCTGCTGCCGAAGCGTCCAAGGGGGAGTGGGCGACCAGCCTGCAGGCGGACGTCGACCCCGCCATTGTGCGACCGCTGAAGAACATCGGCAGGCTCGAAAAGTCCTACCCTTCCATAAACAGACTCTCGGAGTCCAAGTCCCGGCGGAAACGTGCAGGGACTCCGCCCCTGGTGGGGACGACAACCAAGGCCGGCTTGGCCGATCAAGAGGGCGACCCCGAGGCCGAGATAGTCGAGCCGGTCCGGGCCTCACTTACCTGGCACGAGGACGAGATCACGGTATACGACCCCGACGACGAAGACGATGACGGCACCGGTATCAACGGCATCGGGTTCAAGCCCACGGCCGCCATCGCCTACGCGAGAACCATGAAACGGAAGCAGCAGCTGGCAGAGTACAAGAAGCGCGAGGAGCGGGAGGCGCGGGCCAAGAGGAGCCAGAGGAGGAGAGGCAGCCCAGAACTTGAAACGGCGCGACCGCCGCAAAGGGACGAGCCTGGATCTCCGCGCAAGGTGCGATTTATGGAATTCGAACCTACCTCGGCGGTAACGACATGAAGGGAGGGCTTTGCGACGGGTTCCCGCAGGCGTGGAACCTGATCGCTACCCTTTTGCCCCTGGACACCCCCGACTTTGGAATTGGGGATTGGGGACCGGCGTTTGGAGTATAACGGCAATGGGTTTTGTACGAACTTGGGAAGGGGCATACCCAATGGCGACGACTTGTTTCTGTTGTTTGTATAGATGGAAAACCTGGGTAACCAGGAATGCGATCCAATTCCAGAATAGGACTTTTGAGATGAGATATACACGCCTCAACACCGATGCTTGGTGAAGATATGCCAAAATGCTCCCATAAATGCCCACCTTGCAATATGTCCAGACGCTGCCGCTGATGGCCGGTTGCCACGTAGCATGCGTTGTCGCGCTAAATCGTACATCACCAGAACTTATACCACCTCTTCTGCGCCGCTAACCTTGCAGCCTCCTCCTCTTGCTCTTGTTGTTTTTTCATTCGCTTCTTTTCCTCCTCCTTGGCCTTCCACTCTGCCTGCTTCTTATCGTACACCTCGACTACCCTCTTCATCTTCTCCACCTCTGCTCTCCTCTGGCTTTGACAGAATTCGTACGATATGATGCTGCCAATTGCAAACGCACCAGCGGCCCAATTGGTTGCTTTGGGTATCGGAGCTAAATATCAAGACTCCCAGTCAGTTATTTGAACCGTGCAGGTTATGCTGGCGCTCCGCCGAATGCGGAAGGACTGACCCCCGAGGATATATCGCAGCACGCCCAGGGCCGCACCGCCGCCGATTCCGGTCAGAAGACCCTGCCTCGCGCAAGGCAATTGATGTATCTTCAGAAAGTCGTCCGGCTTGATCGTCTTGGCAGCGTCGACGACAGACAGCCGCTGCTGTGGTGCCGCCGATTTGGCCTTCTGCGCGGCTTCCTCGTCTTGGATCTTCTTCAGCTGGTCTGGTGACGGAGCCGCATCGAACTGCTGCGCCCCCCACGTCGCCGCGGCGCCGTCCTTTCCGTCGCGAGACATTTCCAAGCCGGGCGCCGGACGGTGACTCGGTCTGGAATCAAACTTGAAGTTGGTGTTGGAGTGGCCTGAGCTATCCGACCTTGATACGGATCCCATCTCCAAATTTCTAGACCGGGGTCTGGATTGAGCGGGTCCATGCCGATAATGATGTAAGCTCATGCCAGTACAAGTCCAGGTACAATGGCCCGTGCTGCTGGCAGGGCGTTGTCCTCGCAAGAACCAATTTATTACGGCGGGTCAAGTCGCGCCAGACGCGCAGTTCGCGGTCCAGTAGACGCGTTTTCTTTTCCAATGTACCCCTGCACTTGGCTAGACAGGGCGGCAAGACAACACCACCCTGCGAGACACAATTGCAACTTGCACTGATCAATTCAGTTGCTGCAATTTGCATTCGGGCAGCCGCATTGCCCTTACACCAACGAGCGACGCATCCCACGACCTGCGTCCACCCACTCTGCCTGCATCCTAATACCAGTACCGGGCACGATACAGCTTGAACAATAGACAGAACGGCACATCGGCGAGCAGAAGAAACTCACCACCTGAAGGCCCCGCTCCCCCCCCAAAGGGCATCAAAGATGCCAAACACGTCCCTCCGCCGGCAGCCGCAGAAGGGCTTCCGCCGCGGCGGGAAAGTCGCCTACCATGGCGGCGGCGCCCGGACGCGGACCTTTGCCGCCGCTTCGGGCCGCAACGAGGCCACCTCCAACGACGAGAAGTGGGAGCGCACCAAGTTGGCGCACAGCATCGACGAGAACCTGGGCTTCGCGCGGTACGACGCCGGCCGCAAGCGCGAGGGCTGGCTCGTCAACATCCAGCCCACCTCCATCGAGGACGACCGCGTCCCCGGCGGCGGCGGCCGGGCCGCTGTCGACTGCTACTTCATCGAGGAGGACGGCGCGACGTTCAAGGCGACGGTCGAGTACGAGCCCTACTTCCTCATCGCCGTGCGCAAGGGCCACGAGGGCGAGGTCGAGGAGTGGTGCAAGAGGGCGCCCGGAGGGGGCGTGGTCAAGCACGTCAGGAGGGTGGAGAAGGAGGATCTGCAGATGCCGAACCACCTTCTCGGCTACCGGAGGACATTCCTGGAGCTGAGGTTTGCCAACGTGCAGAACCTCATGGCGGCGCGGAGAGACATCATGCCCATTGCCGACAGGAATAAGAAGAGCATGAACGCCATGGATACCTACGCCGAGGTCGCTACGTAAGTCCCTATGAGTTTGGGTTAAAGAACTGGAGTTGACAAGACTGACCAACATATCCTGCAGATCAAACGGCGACTTTGATCTTTTTGACGATTTACGAGACGACGATAAACGACTTAATGCTTCTTTTGCTGATGCGAGCGACTTCATCGTCGACATCAGAGAGTACGACGTTCCATACCATGTTAGAGTAATGATAGATATGAGTAAGTTGTCAGGATCGGGTGGGCGGTCGTGAACAGAAGACAGGCGCTGACCGAGACCAGACATCCGGGTGGGCAAGTGGTATCATGTTGAGGCAAAGCATGGCGTTACCACCGTCGTATGCAACGAAGAACGCTTAGCGATGGCGGACCCCGTTGTGATGGCCTACGATATCGAAACTACCAAATTGCCCCTGAAATTCCCCGACGCCGCCATCGACCAGGTCATGATGATTTCATACATGATCGATGGGCAAGGTTTCCTTATCACGAATCGAGAAGTGGTCTCTGAGGATATCGCCGATTTCGAGTACACCCCGCGCCCGGAATACCCCGGGCCGTTCATGATCTTCAACGAGCCAGACGAGAAGGCTGTCCTCGAGAGGTTCTTCCTGCACATCAAGGAGGCTCGGCCGACAGTCATCGCGACCTACAACGGTGACTTCTTCGACTGGCCTTTTGTAGAAGCCCGAGCGAGCGTCAACGGAATCGACATGTATCATGAGATTGGTTGGAGGAAGGACAGTGAGGATCAGTACCAGTGCAACTACTCTGTGCACATGGATTGTTTCCACTGGGTGAACCGAGACAGTTACCTTCCTCAGGGTAGCAGAGGCTTGAAGGCCGTCACTGTCGCGAAGCTGGGCTACGATCCAGACGAACTCGATCCGGAATTGATGACACCCTATGCCGCCGAGCGCCCGCAAACACTCGCAGAATACTCCGTATCCGATGCAGTGGCCACCTACTACCTATACATGAAATACGTCCACCCCTTCATCTTCTCATTATGTACCATTCTCCCTCTCAAGGGGGACGAGACGTTGCGCAAGGGTACGGGAACCCTCTGCGAGATGCTGCTGATGGTGCAGGCCTACTGGAAAGAGATTGTCCTGCCCAATAAGCATGTATCGCCAAAGGAGTCATTCTGGGATGGCCATCTCCTAGACTCTGAGACTTATGTTGGTGGTCATGTTGAGAGTATCGAGGCTGGAGTGTTCCGCTCAGATATTCCCGTCAACTTCGCTGTCGATCCGGCAGCTTGTGATGAGCTCATCAAGGATCTGGATGCGGCTTTGACTTTCAGTATCACTGTGGAGGAGAAGAAGTCGATGGACGACGTCGAAAACTACGAAGAGGTCAAGCAGCAGATCATAGCGAAACTGCTAAATCTTAAGGAGACGCCAAACCGGAGTGAGCGCCCCCTGATTTATCATTTGGACGTCGCATCCATGTACCCAAACATCATGACGACGAACCGTCTACAGCCCGACTCCATGATCCAGGAGTCAGACTGTGCCGCTTGTGATTTCAACCGGCCAGGCAAGACCTGCGATCGGAGGTTGCCTTGGGCATGGCGTGGCGAGTACCTGCCAGCGAAGCGCGACGAGTACAACATGATCAGGAATGCATTGGAAAACGAGAAGTTCCCTGGGAAATGGCCCAACTCGCCGCCGCGGACTTTCCAAGATCTTACTCCCGACGAGCAAGCGACTCTGATCCGGAAACGTCTCCAGCTCTACTCCCAGAAGGTGTACCACAAGATCCACGACTCGACTACCATCGTTCGTGAGGCCATTATCTGTCAGCGGGAGAACCCTTTCTACATCAACACCGTGCGGGACTTCCGAGATCGAAGATACGACTACAAAGGCAAGGCCAAGGTATGGAAGGGAAAGACGGAGGGCCTCAAATCCTCCGGCGCGACAGCAACCGAGATCGATGCCGCCAAGAAGATGATCGTCCTTTTTGACTCGCTGCAGCTTGCTCACAAGGTCATTCTGAACTCGTTCTACGGCTATGTCATGCGAAAAGGTTCTCGGTGGTACTCCATGGAGATGGCAGGAGTGACGTGCCTGACTGGTGCTCATATCATCCAAATGGCTCGGCAGCTGGTCGAGCGGCTTGGTCGCCCTCTAGAACTGGATACCGATGGTATCTGGTGCATGCTTCCGGCGACGTTCCCGGAGAATTTTGCCTTCAAGCTCAAGAACGGAAAGAAACTGCCTATCTCATACCCCTGTGTTATGTTGAACCACTTGGTTCACGCAAAATTCACGAACCATCAATACCAGACCTTGACGGACCCCAAAACCTTCAAGTACGAGACGCACAGCGACAACTCCATCTTCTTTGAGGTCGACGGTCCCTACAAGGCCATGATCCTCCCCACCTCGAAGGAGGAAGACAAGAACTTGAAGAAGCGATACGCCGTCTTCAACGATGACGGCAGTCTGGCCGAGTTGAAGGGCTTCGAAGTCAAGCGAAGAGGTGAGCTGAAGCTTATCAAGATCTTCCAGCAACAAATCTTCAAGTTCTTCTTGGAGGGTACCACCCTCGCAGAATGCTATGGAGCGGTCGCCAAGGTTGCCAACAGGTGGCTCGATGTGCTTCACAGCAAGGGGTCCACCCTCGCCGACGAGGAGCTGATGGAGCTGATTTCCGAAAACCGAAGCATGACGAAAACGCTGGAGGAATACGGCTCCCAAAAGTCTACTTCCATCACCACCGCACGGCGTCTCGCCGACTTCCTGGGTGAGCAGATGGTCAAGGACAAGGGCTTGAACTGCAAGTTCATCATCTGCTCCAGGCCCAAGAACGCCCCCGTCACCGAGCGAGCTGTTCCCGTTGCCATCTTCTCGGCCGAGGAGGAGACGAAGAGGCTCTACCTCAAGAAGTGGCTCAAGGAAGAGCCGGCTGATACAGATCCCAGGGCACTGCTCGACTGGGACTACTACCTGGAGCGTCTCGGCTCTGTCATCCAGAAGCTCATCACCATTCCTGCTGCTCTTCAGAAGGTCCGGAATCCAGTTCCGAGGGTCGCTCACCCAGACTGGCTGCAGCGCCGAATCAATATCAAGGATGACAAGATGAAACAGAAGAAGCTGACCGATCTGTTCACCAAAGGCCCTCTCGAGGACATAACAAACCTCAGCAACGGGCGAGTTGGTGACTTGGAAGATTTCGGGTCCAAGCTCCTCAAGCCCAAGACTGTCACTGATGCTATCACCGCAACTCAGAAAGATGCCAAGAACCAGAAGAGGAAATCCCCGGAACCTGAAGCTACTGCGGAGAGCACCGACCCGTTTGCCAGCTTGCCAAAGGTCATGCCAAACCCTTCCGAGGACTACCCGGCGTTCCTGGCGTACCAGAAGAAGAAGTGGAAGCTCCAGAAGGCAGCCAGGATTAGGCGGAGACACCTCTTTGGCGATCGCCGCGGTAACATGGCAAACAACATTCAGCAGACCTTCCGCAACCAGGCAGAGGTTACGTTCAGGAACACCTGGCAGCTTCTCCAGCTGAAGACGACAGACAACCCTGGTGTAGTGACGGCCTACGTCCTGATCGACGCCAAGATCCACTCGCTGAAGATCAAAGTACCGCGACAAGTATACCTCAACCTGAAGAGCAAGGACCTTCCGGACATCGAGGTTGAAGGCTGTCATGTGGAGCAGGTCAATCATACCCTTCCCAACGGTCACTCTTCTGTGCATCTCTTCAAGCTTACCGTGCCGGAGGACATCTACTTCGCCGAGGCCGAGAAGTTCAGTCTCTTGTTCAACCACCCCAGTGTAGAAGGCGTCTATGAGAAGCAAGTGCCCTTGAACGTCCGGGCTATGCTTCAGCTTGGCAACCTCTGCACAATTGATGAGAGCCAGCCTGGCGTGCTCGGCAGGGGCCTCGACCAAGGATTTGATCTACCTAGTCTCATCAGGCCGGCAAAGCCCAAGCTTTATCTGGACTCGGCCCCGATGGCATACATTTACATTTCACACATCAGTGCCGGAGAGCGACAAATATTCGGCATCTTCTCCACGACAAGCGACCAAGCACATGTCGTCATATTGCACAAGAACAAAGACAGTGGGCAAGACTTGCCAAACATCACAAAGATGTACTCTGATCATCTCGCCAAGCGGACAGAGGAAGCGGAAGGCACCAATTGGAGAGACTGCTTCCCATACCAAGACAAGGTCAACTTCAAAATCACTCAGGTCACAACGCGCCGGAAAGCATTCCTCGAGATTGGCGACGTCGTCAAGAAGATGCGGAAGGACGAGGCACGACCGCAGATGATGGTCATCCAGTCGTCACAGCGCAACCTCCTGGTGCACGACATTCCCATTCTCGGCGAGTTCCCTGTCCTGCCGCTGAAGTACGACCCTGCCGACAGCTCGCTGCCGCCTCTGGGCTGGCAGTCAGTCATTGCCAGGCGACTGGTCAACCACTACCTCGGCCTTGGGTCTTGGATTCTTCACTTGACAGCGCTGGCGAGATACGGCGACGTGCCGCTGTGCAATCTAGAACGCGACGACCCGCGGTTCTTGATTGACGTCGCATACGCTCGCCGCCTGCAGGCGAACAACGTCGTCCTGTGGTGGTCTGCCGGCCCTCGTCCTGACCATGCTGGGTATGAGCGTGACGATGTGGTAGGCCCGCTGGACACGGTGCAGATGCCCGCCATCAACAATCCCGGGACTTTCTCTTCTGTGTGTATCGATCTGGAGGTCCGAAACCTCGCCATCAACACCATCCTCACGTCGTCCTTGATCAACGAACTCGAAGGTGCCGACTCCATCTCGTTCAACCCTGCCTCTGACGGGGCACAAGAAGGGTCTGAGACGCTGTTCTCCGAAAACGCATTTGCCAATGCCGGTGTCCAGGTCCTTCGTGAGATGGTGAAGAGCTGGTGGGCTGAGGCGTGCAAGGGCAACACCATGGCTGACGTGATGGTGCAGCATCTCGTCCGCTGGGTCGAGAATCCCGGTTCGTTCCTTTACGACCGTGCTCTACACTATTATGTGCAGATGATGTCGCGAAAGGCATTCCAGCAGCTTATGGCTGACTTCCGAAGAGTGGGGTCGCAGGTCGTCTTTGCAAACTCCAACCGCCTTTTACTACAGACTACCAAGGCGGAGGTTGGCAATGCTTACGCCTACAGTCAGTACATCTTGAAGTCGATCAAGAGCAAGCCCTTGTTCCACTTCATCGACCTGGAAATCAAGGAGTACTGGGACTACCTGGTCTGGTACGATGAGTTCAACTACGGAGGTAAGGCTTGCCAGGAAGTCGTCGAGACAGACCAGCAGGCACTGGAAACTGTCATGCACTGGCAAATGTCAACCTTCTTGCCCGTCCGCCTACAGCCCACCTTTGCCGACTGGGTGGTGGAGTTCATCCAGCTCATGCACGCGTTCAAGAGGCCCGCCGACGGCTCAGATCCCTCTGCCACGCCCCGCCTCACCCAGATCCCGCAGCGCAGCCTAGCAGAAGGCGCGGAAGGGCAGATCATCCTCGGCAAGGCCTTCGAGAAGCCCCTGAAGAAGGACATCGCGGGCCTGGTCGCCACGCAGAAGCGGGAGCTGCTGCACCCGGAGCTGGCCGTCGACTACGTCTTCCCCACGCTGCCCGGCTCGCACCTCTCGGACCTCGGCTCGCGCAACGCCGTCCTCGAGCTCGTCAAGATGCTCATGCAGGTGCTCTCGCTCGACAAGAACATCACGATGGAGGCGCGCCTGCTGCGCAAGGAGCTGCTGGCCATGTTCGAGGTGCGCGAGTTCAGCAAGGAGGGCGCCTTCCAGAACCCGTCCGAGAGCCTGCGCCTGAGCCAGCTCAGCTGCGACAGCTGCACCATGGCGCGCGACCTCGACCTGTGCCGGGACGAGGACCTGCTGCCGGAGCTGGGGCCGGACGGCAAGCGGGCGGCGGGGGCGGCGGCGGGCGACGCGAGGCCGTGGCTGTGCCCGTTCTGCGGCGTCGAGTACGACCGCAACGAGCTCGAGGAGCGGCTCGTCGGCGCCGTGGAGGCGTTTGTCGTCGAGTGGGCGACGCAGGACCTCAAGTGCGCCAAGTGCGGCGCGCTGAGGGTCAACGACTTCATGGAGCACTGCACCTGCTCCGGGGCGTGGGGCCCGTCGGTCAAGAGGGACGAGGTGGTCCGGCGGTTGAAGGTGTACAGGAACGTGGCTAAGTTCTACGGGCTGAGGATGCTGGGCGATGTGGTCGAGAGCGTGTTTGAGAGTCTTTGAAAACAGAAAAAGGGGCTTCGCGATCTGGTGTGAGGACAAAGAAAGGCTTGGCATAGGTTTTCTTTTCACATTGGGCGTTTAGGGGGTACACATTCACAAAGGATTATATCATGTTTGACGATGCATCATCATATCGTATGGAGTCGTGTCGGGGTAAAATCAATAATATCCAACAATGAATTCATTATGTTTCCAGTTATCCGATCTCTCCAACTCACTACTAGAGCGAGATCGACAAGAGAGGCCTGCCATCATCATAGTTGTGTTTCCGTATGCAAATCTGTTCTTTTTGGACTCACAGCAGCCAATCCAGGGTGACGGTGGAGGTCGACGATGACCTTTGTGACAGCCTCGGCCGCGGCTGCGAAAATCTCGAGGAGTTCATCTCTATGGAAGAACGGTTAGTCCCCGTGCCTATGGGCAAACAAACGACATGGGCGGCAGGTAGGAAATGAACGAGGCACGAAAGTATCACTAACCGATGCACTCTTATGCTTCTCTCCTGGAAGCTAGTGGATCTCGCACCTCCCTACGTCCCTACGGGAGTCCAGAACTGGAAAGCCGTCGCTTCTTCGCAGGGACGAGTCTCGTCTGGATCAAGCCCTCCTCCCTTGGTCTTGTCCTCAACGAGCAGACCAAAGGCCACGCCAATTGCCTTGGGGCCTGTGAGATGTGAATCCGCCCTGAACAAGGAAATCTCGGGATTGACATCGAGCTTAACCAGGACGGGGATCGCGCGATCCCTTGAAGCGCATCTTGCCTGACAGCATAAGCTTCCCTGGTCGTTTATTGGTATAGTCCAGAGGCACTCTGAACTGCAGGGTCCGCCTATGGTACCAGGTTGATACGGTGTCAAAGTCGGACGGATACATCTCCGCCGGCGGAATCTGAGAATTGACGTTCATTTTGGTTTTCAGGTTGTCAGGTTGGATTTGAGAAGGGAGTAGACCCTGGATGCCTCAGTAGTCCAGTAGATCAGGGTCGTGCATCCGTCTGCCAGCCTCTCCTGGCATCATGAGATGATGCTTCAAACACTGGAGGCTAAGTACCTCAGCATTCGCGGGTGGTGGTTCTCCAGGCGGAACGAACGTAAGACTGTCCAGCGTCAAAGTGAAGAACCGTGGGGAACTCTGGCACATGGGTGACAGTTCGTGCAACCTTTGTGTGCCGCTTGCAGGCCGATTTGGCCTCCGTCGCCACCCCGGAGCTCCTTTGGGATTCACGCTCGTCAGTCACGGATCATTTGGTCATCGGGTCCATTTGCTTACATTGCACCAAAGTCCAGGCCCAGGGTGACAACAAGTATCTCACACTCAGGGCAAGAAGGGGAGGCGTGCCGAACTTCTTCTCCATAATCCTTGAGATGTCGAGGTGTGTGACGGGGTCAGCCAGGCTGCTCCCGTTGAGCAGCCTGCTGGTCATCCGCAGCTCGCGCTGGGTGAAGGGGGCGCTGTATGCTGCGAAGCACTCCGGGCCTTTTCGAGCAGGGCATGAGTGCGGAATTGAATTCTCGGATGTCATGAAGCTTCGATGGACCGTCCTTTGAGCCAAGGACACGGCCAACTGTCAGCCTGCCCCCATTCGGCAGACGAACATAGCCTCCACGGGTGGAGCAGATCTCGCTGATCAGGCATCTCAGCACCAGCTCGTCCCGGGGATATGCTTCGAAATATCGAAGGTTGTACCCCCTAACTTCATTGTAGGTGGCTTGATATACTTCGTCTGGGGACTTTCCAATCGGAGCCATCTTCGCTGCGGTTGGTGATGCGAAACGCCAGGGACTCCGTCTCGACGCCCAGATGGGCGTACATCTGGGGGTCAGGCTGTAGCTCGGGCTCCTTGGGGTCCCGAGACATCTCCTCCAGGCGCGAGAAGAGATCCTTCACGCCACAGTCCGAGAAGGTCGAGGACGAGCGCCACATGCCGCAGGAATGAGCTCTCGGACATGTCGGACATGGTGTTCGTTGGAATGTGTGTGAAGTGGGGGGAGATGTTGAAGAAATTGTCTGGTAGAGAAGGATATATAAGATCTGCGTTTCTCTTGCTTTTACTGTGTGATTTTCTCCAAGTATCTGGTGTTCAGTCTGTATCCCGGCCTGGAGGTGGAGGTATGAAGAGCCGATCTTGGAGCTTGTGAGTTGGGTTTAGGAATGATGAGAAGGGGGGTCAGTCTGGGTGATCAGGACTTTTTAAACATGTTTTCAGGGCCTCTGAATAATTGAAGAAGAGTAGGAGAACAGCTTGAGTTGACGGAACAGCATCCTTATAAGCTCTTCGCTATCATTGCTTCATTGCCTTTGGAAGAGACAGTTGAAAGGCTACCTTTCAAACCTCTCTCTTGTAGCTTTGCCCAAAGCATTCTTAGTGGCCATGCTCATCAGGCAGTGGCAATTTTGCAATGTCTCTCATCTCTGTGAGGCTTTGATCATTTTTTCAGGCTTTGTTTCATTGCCTGCCTGTTCAAAGAGGAGGCAGCAGAGCTGTGGTGGTCTGAAGATGAATAAGGAGAGCGGGGAAGAAATCCTGGGCACAAACAGATAGAAACGAATCGAGATTGCCAAAAAAAAACGAGGCATGTTTATTGAAGAATATGAACGAATAAGCAAAGGTTCTTTGATGGTTTTAGGATAGAGCCCAGTGCTCCCTGGGATGACCCTGTAACGGTGCGCGGAGCGGCCTCCTCATCGCTGCTGCAACCTCCTGGCGTCTCCTTAGAACATTGGCTATTTCATCGGTCATGCCAACGCTCTGTAGAACCATGAATGTGCTCTTTGTGAATTTCTCTGATGTATCAATGTCAAAGCCGCAATAGCTATCCAGTCGATCATCTACATCGGTAGGTATGACCGTCCTCCGCAAGGCCTGAGCCTTGGCCTTGGACGCTTGCGGATCTGGCGGATGCTCCAAAGGAAAGCTCATGGCTTCCATGGTTCGTGATACGCTTTGGTGTACTGAGAAATCGCCCAAGTGCAGTGAGTAGCGGTCATAGTCAAGGTGTAGTTCGTTGCCGGAAAAGGGGGCGGAGCATGCCGCTCTCTCTATTGCAAGAACAGCCTCCAAGCCTGCTTGGAGGCGATTTGCTTGATCCAGAATGTTGCGAATGAGTTCCGGGGCGTTCTCACAGCTATGAATGTTGTAGGCTTCGATGCGCAATTTGTCCATGGCGTTCTCGCGGCTGACAGCATTGCGCGGGTCAATGCCATGGCGGAGCTCGAGCTCTTTGACGAGAGTGGACATCTCGTGTATGTGGTTCACAGTCATTCTCCAGGACTCAACGTCCATCTGCACTCCGGGTCGGCTCATCTTTGTGTGTGTCTTGCCTGATGGAGTCCAAGACTTTTAAAATTGTGAGGATACCGGGAAGGGCTCTCTGTGAAAACTTGCCATTATCATAGTACCACGACGGTTTATATATAAACATATCGCAATTGTATGTTCTCACGAGGTATATGAGTCGTGAAATATATTGATTCATTGAAGAGTGAAGACATATGTCCTTGAGGTACATGATGCAGGTATTGATTCGATACCGTCAGGTAGAGACCCGTGCTACCCCTATCGGTGATACACCCAGTCTTGATGTGTACGCGGGTGCCCAAGACCACATTGCCGACGAAACAAACTAAGCTGCGTGCCTATTAGGGTATCCATAATAGCGTTTCTGAGACCTCACAGCTTCAGTGCGAGCGCCCTGGGTGGTTCATCCACCTTGTCACCAACTGAATAGTAGATACCTACCTAAGGAGGTACCATGTTGGAATCCAAAGGAAGAAACGGCAAAGGCATAAGAAGAAAGGAGAAGAAGTTATCAAGCAAAGCAGGATTGAGTCACACTCTATGATCAATGAAAGCTCCCATGGTTTCTATGCTAAAGACAGAGCCTCAAAGCGGGTAGCAGCAACTCCTTGTCTGATGATAGTAAATCTGATGATGGATCTGTTTGCTGTTGAAGCCTACAGCATATGTAATGGGCCCCGATTGGCTTTCCGCAACGAGGGGGATCCACAGGCGACATCCCACCACAACTTGGCCCTCGCCCGCCTGTCGAGATGGTCCGTGCCCGCTTTTTTGGTGGTGCCTCGAGCTACATTTGGTCAAAGGCTTCGATAATTTTCTGGAGCTCCAGTCCCCTTACGAAATCTGCATAGCTCTCGATACTTGCCGCGCGTGCCACCGTCCTTCAGCTTCTGCCATCCTCCAGGTAGTACTCGTGACGGGCCTCTATACAGACAACTCAGACGACCGACAGATTCCATTGCCCAGCATGTCCTTCGGCGGGCAGACCCCGACGATTATCGTCCTGAAAGAGGGTTGGTGAACCCCTCCATCCTCCATGATGAGACTCGCCCCCCGCGGAGCTCCCACTGACAGCGCAACCCAGGCACCGACACCTCCCAGGGCAAGGGCCAGATCGTCTCCAACATCAACGCCTGCTTGGCAGTCCAAAACACGATCAAGTCGACGCTAGGTCCCTATGGCGGTGATCTGCTCATGGTCGACGAGAATGGCAGGCAGACCATCACCAACGACGGCGCCACCGTCATGAAGGTATGGCAATCGTCTAGGGCGCATGGGCTTCACACCAAAGATACTAACAGGGTATAGCTTCTCGACATCGTCCACCCTTCCGCCCGAATCCTCGTCGATATCGCGCGATCACAAGATGCCGAGGTGGGAGATGGAACGACCTCAGTCGTCGTCCTGGCCGGTGAGATCCTGAAGGAGGTCAAGGAGCACGTCGAGCAGGGTGTCAGCTCTCAGATCATCATCAAGGGTCTGCGGAGAGCTTCAACGATGGCAGTCAACAAGATCAAGGAGATCGCAGTCAGCACCAACGAGGCCAACAGGAGAGAGACGCTGGGCAAGCTCGCTGCCACCGCCATGACCAGCAAGCTGATTAAGCGGAACACTACATTCTTCACCAAGAGTGCGTAGCCATACTATCCCGCCCCGCACCCATAACTCCCGATGTACTAACAGACCGCAGTGGTTGTCGATGCAGTGCTCTCTCTCGACCAGGACGACCTCAACGAGAAGCTGATCGGTATCAAGAAGATCCCCGGCGGCTCCCTCACCGACTCTCTGTTCGTCAACGGTGTCGCCTTCAAGAAGACCTTCTCCTACGCCGGTTTCGAGCAACAACCAAAGTCGTTCAAGAAGCCCAAGATTGTCTGCTTGAACGTCGAGCTCGAGCTCAAGGCCGAGAAGGACAACGCCGAAGTTCGTGTCGAGCAGGTCTCGGAGTACCAGGCCGTCGTCGATGCCGAGTGGCAGATCATCTACAAGAAGCTCGAGGCGTGCTACAAGACGGGCGCCAAGGTGGTTCTGAGCAAGCTGCCGATCGGCGACTTGGCTACCCAGTACTTCGCAGACCGCGACATCTTCTGCGCAGGTCGCGTGTCCAGCGAGGACATGGAGCGCGTGGTCCAGGCTACCGGCGCCACCGTCCAGTCCACCTGCTCCGACATCCACCCGGAGCACCTCGGCACCTGCGGCTCCTTCGAGGAGCGCCAGATTGGCGGCGAGCGCTTCAACTTCTTCGAGGACTGCCCCGAGGCCAAGACGTGCACCCTCGTGCTCCGCGGCGGCGCCGAGCAGTTCATCGCCGAGGTCGAGCGCTCCCTGCACGACGCCATCATGATCGTCAAGCGCGCCATCCGCAACCGCACCATTGTCGGCGGCGGCGGCGCCTGCGAGATGGAGGTCTCGGCCTACCTGCACCGCTTCGCCGACAAGGACGTGCCGCACAAGCAGCAGGCCATCATCAAGAGCTTCGCCAAGGCCCTCGAGATCATCCCGCGCCAGCTGTGCGACAACGCCGGCTTCGACGCCACCGACATCCTCAACAAGCTGCGCGTCGAGCACCGCAAGGGCAACACCTGGGCCGGCGTCGATTTCCAGAACGAAGGCGTCGCCGACATGATGGAGCGCTTCGTCTGGGAGCCCGCCCTCGTCAAGGTCAACGCCCTGCAGGCCGCCACCGAGGCCAGCTGCCTGATCCTGTCGGTCGACGAGACGATCCGGAACGAGGAGAGCGCCCAGCCGCAGGCGCCCGGCAAGGCGCTGCCGCCCGGCGCGGCGCAGAGGGCCCTTCGGGGCAGGGGAAGGGGCATGCCTAGGCGGTAAATAAAGAAAGGAAAAGAAATGTGATTTAATCTTGTCCTTGGCTCGGGTTCATGATTGCCCTGGGTTGAGTACTGGAGGTTGTTGTTGTTGGTGGTGGTGTGCTGTATGATACCTTTTACTGGTGATATGGCGTCTTTGTGATAGAGGAAGAAATTGAAAACGAAAGAGTGAGCCTTGCATGATCTGCCTGCTTGGGGGCGTCAAGACCTCATCACAGTGCCCAGACGACTGCGGAGTTCCCTGCTAATTTGGTCAAAGAGGCAAGAATGTCTACTCTGTATTTGGGTATTGCCTTGGCAGGCATCTAGCTATAAGTACGTATGAAAGGGAAGCAGTCGATGTAGAATGTCCGCATTTCATGGGACCCAAGTAAAATGTTATAATATATACGCCGCTCCAATGCAGGGCTTTCGTTTCGCTCAAGATGCTTCAAAAGGAGATAAAAGGCCAAACTCGGATTACCACACCACACCCTTGTCTTTATCTTTTCCCCCCTCCTTCCCGCGACGGGCAAAGGGGAGGATAAAAGATCACCCACGGCCGCCAAACCCGACATCGTACAGCGTTTGATCCTTGCCCGGCAGAGAGCGCGCGTCGCTGTCCTCCGAGACGGCCCCTTTGCCCCCCTCGCCGTCCACTTCCATAGTACCGTCTCCGCCACCGCCGTCTGCGTGCTGCGGCCCGTGGCCGTGCTTGCGGGGCTCGTGCCGCTGCCCGCGATCATGGTCATGATGGCCGGCTGTCGCGCCGCCGCCGGGACCGACATCGACGTCCTCGTTGTCGTCGTCCTCGTCGTCCTGCGCCTCGATCAGCATGTCCAGCTCGCGGTCCATAGCCGCCTGCTCGTCCGCGTCCGCGTCCGGCGTGCGATGGTGCCGGTGGTGCTCCTCGCCCACGACGCCCACACCAACACCGACATCGACGTCGACCACGACGTCGACGTCATCATCGCCGGTCGCGTTGAGCAGGGCTTGGAACGTGTCCGTGTCGGCATCGGCGTCCTCCGCGGCAACATCGTGCGCGTGGCTGAACGTGCCGAAGGGGTCGTCGTGGTGGTGATGATGGTGGTGGTGGACGACGTGCGACGAGGGGTCGCTGATGATCTGCGGGTCGATGGGCTGGTAGACGGAGTGGTGGTGCTGGTCGGCGAGGGCGTGGTGCTGGTGCTGGTGCTGGTGTTGCGGGTGAGAGTGTTGTTGACGGTGTTGTTGCGGGTGGTGGTGTTGGTGCATGCCCTGGTGGGGGGATGAGTCCTGCAGCATGAGACTGTGGCCCGGCAGCGTGGCGTGCTGGGGCAGCGGAGACTCTGTCGGCGTGTGGAGGGTCTGGCCGGGGGACATGACGGTCATGTCACTGGGGTCCGCATAGGAGGTCGAGGACACCGAGAAGGCTGGCAGCGTGGGGTGGTGGTGGTGGTGGTCTCTAAGCTCCAGGCGCCTGCCGGCAGCACTTACACCTCTGGCAGCGGAATCAACAGTAGGAGGAGGGGCCGGTGACGGGGTGGAGCCGGTGCCCCCGACAGCAGCGGAGCCAGTAGGGGTGCCATTTCCGCGGCGGGACACGACGGTATTGGCAGCGGCGGCCGCGGCGGGGACGGGCGCCTTGCCCAGCTCCTTGCACTCGGCGCAGTTGCGGATGACGTCGCTGACGGTCTCCTTGATCCGGCTCCAGTGGAACTTCTCGGCGATGGTGGCGGTGGTCTTGTTGATGCCGCCGTGCTGCAGGACGTGGACCTCGCGGGCGATGTCGTACTGGCGGCGGGGGTCCGAGATGACCTCCTTGTCCTTGAGCATGAGCTTGTCGCCCTCAAGGAGCTTGTAGTGGGTCGCGGCGCTGCGGAGCCTGCTTTTCTCGGCGCGGTCAGCCCCGTTGGGATACCGGCTGTACTTGAGGTAGAACCGGATCTTGTCAAACCGCTCTTCACTCACAAGTTCCTCGCCGTCGCCGCCCTCGCCCGAGGGGACGAGGTCGCGGCCGTAGATGATGGCGTCGATGAGCCGGCCCGGGTAGCTCTTGAGGTTGCCGCAGCCCTTGACGCGGCCGATGCGCTTGAAGCCCAGGCCGTCCCAGATCTTGCACGAGGCGACGTTGGTCTCGTAGACGAGGTTGAAGACGGAGTAGGTGTAGCCCAGCTTGGGCGCCCAGTCGATGTAGGCCTCGCCCATGAGGCGGCCCACGCCGCGGTTGCGCGCGGCGTCGGTGACGAGGAAGCCGGCGTTGCACACGTGGCTGCTGCGGCCCGGGTAGTTGGGCTTGATGTAGAAGCTGCCGAGGCACTCCTGGCCCCAGTCCTTGCCCTCGACGACCTCGGCCGGGTCGTCGATGCTGCCGAGCAGCATGATGGCGCCAAAGTTCTGGAACCAGTAGCTGGCAAACTTCTCAAAGGGCATGGGCTCGATCATCGGGTACGTGTCGCCGCCCTCGACCTCCTTCTTGAACTGGTCGCTGAGGTAGAGCAGCAGGGACATGGGCACCTGGGTCCGGGACGCAAAGGGCACGAGGGTGGCGACGGTCTGGCGGTCCCGGAGCGTCACCTGACGCGGGAGGATCATCGGGGGCAGGGATGGGTTGGCCGGGTCCGGAAACGGCGGCTCGCCGGAGACCCGGTAAATGGTGGGAGACTCTGGATCATCCATGATGGCCGGCATGGTGGCGGTGGCCCAGACCAAGCGGCAAGCCGACTTGGAGAGGACGGGGTTGTGTTGCTGGACCCAAAAAGGACCCAAGAACGGTCAAACCAGCAATCCAAGCCTGCAGCAGCACTACATCCATGCCCGGGTGTGTTAGCCATCGCATCCCAAGTCACCTCAACCAATAAGGCACAGACTCTGCAGGCTGCTGCCGGAGCAAAGTGAATGAGAAATGCAGTTATTACAAGCACAGAGAGCCCTGCACCGCAGACTAGTGCCTGTGGGAGGCACAACAGAGATGCAGGGCGGGTAATCAGAGCACCCTAGGATATGCATGCAGGGTCCCGTACCTGGGATTTCTGGTTTGGGTGCCCAGGATGAGTGACGAGACTCGCTCCCGGTTCGGGAACTCTCGTGTAAGTCAGCACCAATGACACATGCAGCCCCCCGGTCCAGGGGTTGTGGCGGGCCGAGAGATGGGAGTGTCTGGTCCGCGTCTGGTGGGTTGGGTGTGCTGAAAAGTGCGTCGTGATAACTTTTGTGTCTTGGTGAGGGGAAATTCGCACTGCGAACATTTTGGGCCGCGTGAATGTAGCAGCGGCGGAGAGCGGGTGGGTGGGTGGTGGGGCTCAACTGGCACTTTGAATGTCTTATCTAAGCGCAACCCTTCTGAACATCCGTGTACAAGTAGGAATAGGCATCATCACTAGTAGAGCCAACCTTGGAAATAACAAGACGAAGTGTCGGAAGTAATACAAGAGACTTCGCACGATCGTGCCAACAGCGGCCGTGAGAAAAGACAATCGCGTATTAAGTAGGGCTTCTCATCATATTATGTACATGGGGCTGGAATACAAATATGCACTCTCATCTCTCTCTCTCTCTCTCTCTCTCTCTCTCTCTCTCTCTCTCTCTCTCTCTCTCTCTCTCTCTCTCTCTCGTAGGTCAATCGTAACATGGCCCGAGTGGTATCAACAACATTCCGCCAGCTTGCGATGCGACATCACCATCATCTGCTCGACAGCCTGGAGATCGTGAACACGCCAATGATCGCCACCGCAAGAGTGACGATCGCACCGGGCAGCAGAAGCTCGTTGGGCACGCCCGCGATGAGCTGCTCCTGCTGGTTCATCATATCGCCGCCGCGCTGGCGTCGCGAGCGGCGCACAGGAGACTCGTCCTCGTCCTCCTCTTCCTCGTCAGACTCGTCAGATGCCTTGCGGCGCTCGCGCAGGACCGACGAGGCAGGGGGGGTGGGGATGGACTCGGGAACGGGTGGTGGCGGGGCGGTGACGGGCGGCTTCTCCGGGTCGTGGACGAAGAGGTCGACCTTGTCGTGGTGGAGTTGCCGTGCAAGGAGAATGGCCTCCAGGAGATCCTGATCGGTCGTGATGGAGACGGTGTCTCCCTCGTTGTCGAGGTAACTGAGGGCGTAGCCGCTGGCGCCCAGTCGTCCGTCATCTTCGACAACAGGCGTACCGCCGATGGCATCGATCTCTGAGCCTAGCTTAGAGGAAACACTTGCGATGAATGCCTCGATACCGTGAGCTGCAACGACCTGAAGTCTGTGCACACGGCCGGAAGGCGCCTTGAACTTGAAGGGGAACGGAATCTCGCTGGGTGGGAGCTCGGGGCTCGGAGCCAGCGCAGAGTGAGGAGGGGACTCGACGCCAGCGTGCGAAGCTGAGTCGCCGGGAGCAACACTGTCCAGAGTCCGATCTCTAGTCGGGTCTGGGGACATGAGAGATCGGGCACCAAGGTTGGTGTGGTGGTGAGAACCATCGCCCGAGACCATCGACTCGGTCTCGTGATCCAACGACAGCCAGAACTTGTTCCATGCGGGTCCCTCGCTGTCACCCGTCGACATGGTGTTGATCTGCTCTAGGGTGGCGTAGGTGAGCTTCAGCACGTCGACCATGCCAACGATCTCGCCGTTGTCGTTCATGACTGGTAGGTTGAGATAGTGACCATCTAGAACGCGATCCCGTCAGTACAAACCACATGAGACAGCATCGTAGACCCGACCCGAATGACATACCGTGCATCTTGCGAAGGGCCGCCTGGATGCTCATATCCATGGGAGCAAAATCAGGATGAGGAGTCATCACCCGCACGACACTGCAAGTGGCCGGGTCCAGGCCAGGGGCGATGACGCGCAGGACGACATCCTTGCTGGTGAAGATACCAGTGATAGCGCCCTGGTCCTGCACAAGGACCGCCGTGGTGTGGTTCTCCTTCATCAGCTGCGCGGCCTCCTTGACCGGTGTTCTGACACTGACAGTCGTGGGCGGTCGGCCGTCCAGGACAGACTCGAGAGTAGGACCGGACATCTTGGACCGGAGAGCCTCCACATACTGGATGATCTGCTGGGGCTGGCTTGTGCCCAGCTCAGACTGGACACCCTCCAGCGCATCGTAGAGCTTTCGCGACGACGAGTAGGCCCTCTCCAACTTCTCCATGGCATCGTAGAAGCACTTGGTGATATCCAGAATGCCAGAGATGTCCTGGTTCTCGTCCATAACAGGAAGATGTCTAAAGCCCTTGCGGACCATGAGATCGAGGGCGTCGGTGGCGCTCGTGTCGGTGCGGGCACACAGCGGGTTCTTGGTCATGATCTCGGCGATGGTGACGCTGCTCGGCTTCTGGCCGGCTCCAACCACGCGGAAGGCCAAGTCCTTTGCGGTGAAGATACCGGCAATTCGGTCGTCATCGTCGGTGACCAGCACGCAGTCCTCCCTCTTCGCGGCCATCAATTGTGCAGCCTCGGCAACGGTGGTTTGCGGCTTGATCTGGAGGGCGGGGCTGGGCTTCAGGGCAAGGACGGTTCCGGGAGGGGCCTTGCGGGATTGACGGGCCCGGCCTTGGAGGTGCTTCTTCTTGGAGAGGTCGCTCTCCAGCTTTCGGCGGATGGCCTGAGAACAGGCATTAGCAAACATTGCTTCTTCACGGCAAGACAAGGCAAAGGGTGGAGTTGAATCCATATTGTGACAACCACGACTTCGGGTGCCGGGCCACAGTGTAGAGAGAACCACAACTTCGGGAAAGTCGTCGGACATACCTCATCTCTTTTGCTCTGCTTTTGCCGGCTGGCGCTGACGGTCGAACCGCCGACTTCGCTAGTAGGGCCGGCATGGCTGCTGTGGGTGGTCTCGAGGACGGGTCGAGGGATGCCAGAGCCTGCAGCAGGGCTGTTGGTGAAGGGGATTCCGCCACGTCCCTGGCCGCGGCTGGGTGTGCCCCTTAGGGTTCCTGGGTTGGCCGACATTGCATAAACAACGCAATCTGGTGGAGGACTAGGGGGTGACAGCTACTCGATTCGCTGGGCAGGCAAGCTCCCTTTTGAGCAGGTTGGCGGACGAGGTGAGCCAGCTCGGAGAGCAAAAGTACGATGGAAAAGCGCGAGGAGATAGCAGTCCGTCCAATAGGATGCTCGACAGGAGGGTTCTCAGGTCAGAAGCAAGAGAAGAAATCTCGGGTCCAGAGGGTGCAGTGAGCCGACAATGGTTCGCGCGCACGCGAAATTCCATTGGATCAGGCGCCTCTGCCCGCTGGTTGTCTTGGTGACCTGCACGGGCCACTTTAATCAACCACGGTCCACCAGACTGCTGGGGAGCCAAGTGGGGTCGGGCCACTGACGGATGTCTCGTGGGCGGCTTTCCCCGCTAGAAACAATCCCATTGTCCGCAAACTGGACCCTGAACGACGAGGCCAATACCTATCAGACACAGAATGCAGAAAGGCCTGATGGCAATAGGAATTGGAGGTTTATTACTTCCCTTGACGACATCACACATCGATGTTCACTTGGATGTCCGAACTCCTTACAAAGCTTCTCGTCAAAGGGCTTGTGCTAATTAGAGTATTGCTTCGTAGAAACAAGCGAATGCAGTGTGATAACTATCCGTAACGTATGTATCCATGGATGTGACTGTCATTCAACCACTCCAGTCTCTCGTAGAAGTACCAATGTGAAGAACCGAAACCTAGCAAGATTCAGCAGCCACCTCTGGTAATGTTCTTGACTCTATGAGCCGACAGTTTAATCGATCAAGCAGTATATTGTGCCAACGATCCCTGAATTATTTTATTTTGCAAGTTTGATCTATACGAGCTGGCCTGCAGGTTACGCTGTCAAACTTGTTCGGCTGCAATCACTTGCATTATGATTGATTACTACGCGTAATGATACCCTCTCTCTACCATCGCAACAAAAGCCCGGATATTACCCAAAGTCCGCATTCAACAGTTGAAAAGGGTTACATTAAGAACTGTTTTCAGATATGCCAAGCTTCACACGTCATCTGCATATAACAGCAACACGTCCCCCGAAATCCTATCCAAACCACCATGGAGACTTGTCTTTCTAAAAGACGCAAAGCCTCAGCTACATCAAAATGCGGACTCGATCTCATATCACGACTCCAAAGAATGGCGTGACCTGGTACTACGAACAGGAAGGCTCGGGCCCGGATATTGTCCTCATTACAGATGGCTTTGGAGAATCCCATATGTTCGATCGAACCATCACCAAGATTGCCCGGCAAGGGTTCAGAGTCACAACCTTCGACGGACCGGGCATGTCGAGATCATTCGAAGCTCCGCCCGAAGCTTACAATGATGTTACGGCGCAGAAGCTAGCCGCCCAAGTGATTGACGTGATGGACGTGCTGGGCATTCGCGAAGCCGCCTTCTGGGGGTCCAGCTCTGGGGGCTCAACCGTTCTCGCCCTTGCCGCCGACTACCCAGATCGCGTCCGGAACGGGCTCGTCCACGAGGTTCCCTTCGTTCAGGTCGGCGCTCAGCGTGGCGTGTTCGCGGAAGCGGCCGAGTGGGACGACGAGACCGTGTCCAAGCGCATGGGACCGTTGGTCCTGAAGTTGGGCATGGCGGATGCGGAGGCATGGGCCGGCCTCGGTGACGCGGTGCACGAGCGTCTGGCTAAGAACTTTGTCCGATGGACCCGAGGATTCCCACCGTTGACGGCTTCGAGTCCCACAGGCGAGGCCGCCTTGAAGAAACGGCCTCTGGATTGGACTGTTGGATTTTCAACGCCCTCGGGTCTCTTCTTTGATAACATCGTTCTGGCCGTCAAGATGGGAATCCCAGTCCAGACAATCCCTGGAAGGCATTTCCCCTACTTATGCGAGCCAGAAGCGTTTGCTGAATACGTGGTCTCGACCTGTCAAAAGTATTTATCCGACTGAGGAATACAAACTTGGCCAGCTCCAATGCTCTGAAGGTGGCCATTTCATTTATATATGGAAATCTTGTGAAGGATCTTGGTTGACTTCATCAACTATATGGTTGCCGATATTGGAAGGTGTCTTGAAGACGCGCGATATCTATGTGGGAACCACTCGGCCGAGCTTCCAAATAGACATTTCATACCCCCGATGAACCTGGTCTAGCGTAGGACGGAATCTGAGGTGAGAACGAATCATCCTCACCCATTTCTTACCAGGTTTGATAATTGCGCCCATGATAAATGCGCGCCTAGCTGTGACATAGAGTGCTAGGTGCTATGGAAGTATGACCTGTCTCATTACCTACCTTTCACTATGAATTGAAATAGGCAACGAGCAGCGTCTCCTCATCGATGCCACCTCATCCCGTGGAGATCGAAACCTGTAAGTAGGTATTCTCAAGAGAGCGAGGCGCTTACGACACTCGGACTGTCGAATGGTATGTAAGCCACCAGGCTCTAAAAGGCCTGCGCATTCCTGAACTCAAGACGCACATTCCAGCTCCTTCCCCAAACGCACACCGTTGCCCCAGCACTCACGGCGCCTCATCCTAAATTTGTCTCTCGGCATTCCAATGGCGTCATCCGGCACTGTTCTAGTCGTTGGTAGGTGGCGCCCCCAGACTCTGTCCAGCTGCTGGCCAGCCTGTTGTCTGTGCGGCTTGGCGCAGCTCTGGCCAAAACCGGTGTTCCAGGATGGAACTCTGATCCTAAAAAATGAGAGACAGGGGCAAATCGAGGCATCGGGCTGCAATTAGCAACGCGCTTCCTCGCGAGGGGGTTCGATGTGTACGGGACATATCGACCGCAAACAAGAGAGGACCCGTCCGTGATCGGGGTAAGAGAGCACACAGAGTCTGGGGCGTAATTACAGATACATTGGGCTCATATTGGCCTCCGTGTCGTCAGCTAAAGGAGTTGGGGGTGAAGACAATCGAATTGGACTTTGCAGACGAAGCATCGGTGCTCGCCGCTGCCGAGACATACGGGGACCGACCCCTGGACATACTCATCAATTGTGCAGGTGAGCGCAGCAGCTGGGTCATTAATCCAAGGTCAAGGAGGCTGACTGGAAGGCTTTAGGCTTGTGTCGGCTATGGGACTTCACGCCTTTCACAGATCATTGCGCGGATGATCTTGTAGAGCACTTTCGTGTTAACGTTGTCGTATGCGATAGGTACCTCGGTGGTATGCCAGGTACTGCGACTGACATCTGCTTCATGCAGGGTCCATTTATAGCCTCCAAAGCGTTCCTACCGGCACTGTCCCTGGCGAAAGTCGGCAAGATCATCAATATCACGTCTGATGTTGCAAGCATTGCTGGTAAGTTCATCGTGACCCATAGGAGTGGACTATGTTAGCCCTTACTTACCCACGTCTGCCGCGGCCAAGACAACACTGGCGGCAATATTTGCTATAGGATATCAAAGACCAGCTTGAATCAGCTGACCAAGACCATGGCGTGTGATCTCGAGAAGACCGAATCCAGCGTCGTGGTGTTGGCAGTCCATCCCGGCTGGGTGCCGACGAGGATGACGGGCTACCACGGTGTTGATGACATGGAAATGTGTATGAACTTGCTTGTGAGTACCATCAAGGCTTTTGGTACCGATGCGGGCCACGGGATTCCAAATGGGGGATATGTGAGTTGGGACGGAGAGGATATGAAGTATTAGGTCGTGATGGACGGACACGGGAAGGGAATGGGATGATGTTTGTTCCTTAATTTGAAGGACGTACCTACGGAGTTGGAGGTTTGTTCACTTGGAATACATAGTCACAGCTTCCTGAGAGAGTGTTTGGTCCCATGGCAACGACGGATAATTGACTATACCTAGGAGCGAGATGCGGTCGCTGTTGGAATAACATGTCATATAGGCAGCGGAAAAGAAGCAAACCCTCGTAAAACGAGATTCGTTTGTCTCAGAATGAAAGCCTACGGGGCAAGAGAGCGAAATTGGAATCTCTCTAATTTCAATTGGGGAGACCCGTCAGAAGCTGAGAATAAAGTGCTATGAGCAGGCACGCTATAGCGCACAGCAGGTCGTGGGTTATATACGGTATTCAATGAGAAGAGCAAGCTGTGTCAACAAGACGACATCATCGAAGCGACGCATGAAATGTGTGCAATTCATCCAGATGGACAAGGCGGCTATTCCCTGTCAGATGCAGGATACATCGCAGACAGGGTGGCGGACGGGACGGGCGCTGCAGGTTTCGATTGGTAGAGCCGGGGGCGGCCAGCTGGTCTCTCCCGCACTAAGATCCATGGATGACGGGTCCGTCTCGCGCGGTGCCGCCAGCGCCTTGCAGCGCCTATCGAGGTGCGACAGGGGGGTGCTGAGAGTGGGCAGATCCCCACTGATCACCTTGACTCGCTGGAACTCTACTGTCGTTGCCCGGCAACAGCCATCAACAATGCATCGATCGCCTGGGGGAACTGCGACCATGCCATAAACTGCTATCGCATCTCCACCATCGCCAACTGCACTCCCGACTTCTCTCTGTCAAAAACTTGTACAACACACATTTTGCACAGACAGAACTCCAAAAGTCCAAGAAGCAAGAAAACCAACAAGAAACCACAACTCCCTCTCGAGATCCTCCTGGGAAAGCCGCAAATTGCAGTAGCTCTCTCAACCTTTCCCCCCGCCTGAACAAGGCATACAAACATCATATCCATCTGGGTCTTACAAAGTCGCTCGCCGACTGAGTACGACCACGAGATCCCACTTGCCCGGCCTACTGGCTTGCGCTGCGTGAGGTGAGTCCTGGGAGCCCCTGGAGAACCGAACGAGCAAGATAGAGACTGATGCCGAGGGCTGGACTTGTAGTCTCGGAACCAATTGATAGGTACGCTTAATTGCGAACACTTTGAACGACAACCGACATTTCCGAACTCGACTTGCATTCCCGATGCTGTCCAATCCGACCAATCTTCATCCGCGCCAGCGGCAACACCGACGACAACACTCGACGCCCACGGCATTCGAAGCGGTGAAGATGCCAAACCTGCCGAATGTACCCCGACAACAAGTGTCCCACCGGAGAGGCATGAGCCTGGACACCCGACGCCAACAACACATTCGACGACAATCGACCTCGCCAACAACGCCGAGTCGGCAGGAATTTACAAGAGTAAGTATCTCTACTAACCCAGGATTATCAACGACACCACAGCATGTTTTGCGAGAAGCGCAGCAGCAACGCATAGTGCGCCCGGGCCAAGGCCAGCCCTACCCCGGCGCGGCCCACGGCGAGACCTTCTTGATCTCGCCGCAGGGCACGCCCCAATTTCAACACAGATTTGACACCGCTTGCTTTGATCGTGTCCCTGGCGGACCGCAGCAGGACTGCATCAACGTGCCCTACCAGGTGTACGGCGGACCCGTCAATGTCATGATGAAGAAGAACCAGGTCAACTTCCCCAACGAGATGGCCGGTCCCCAGGATTTCGAGCTGTTTCCTCCCGAGAGCAGCCTGTCCACGCCCACTTTCATGACGTTCCCAGACGCTTCGCCCAATTCCCAGGGTTGGATCTCCGAGGGAGACACGACGGGCAGCAGGCGGAACTCGCGGAGGATCAGCAACGGCATCATGGACCGCGTCAGCAAGTTCGAGAATATGACTATGGAAGGTCCTCACAGACCTGTCACGCCTCCCAACCAGAATGTCACCAGTAAGTCGCTGATATGCCTCTACTCCCGCCAGCACTGTCCCGTTCCTGACTTGTCCTCTAGATTACTTCCCCCCAACACCTATGGACACGCCCCATGATAGGATGATCAAGCAGGAAGCAAGACTTTCAAGATTCTCCGATGACTACGACGAGTCAATGGAGGAGACCCTCAAGCCGAGGAGGCAGGGATCCGCAAGGACAAACGCCATCTTCGTGGAGATGCGGAAGCAAGCCGAGGCAGGGATGAGGCCGACTGCGAACATGAACAACATGCAAATGTCCATGTCGGCTCAGGATTTCATGAACATGAACAACGTCAACGCCGAGTTTCTCAAGATCAACAACGGCTATGACGGCCTGCCCACCGGCGTCGACACTTTCACCATGTCGCCTGCTACAACGCATCCTTCCAACCCGACTACACCCGACATGCAGATCGGCAGCGGAGCCTTTGACAATAGGATGAACTTGCGAACCGTCGAGTATGAGGATGTGGCCGTCGTATCACCACATCACCAAAGCAACTCATCGCAGGTGGATCCCAGCTCCCCTTCTCACCATGCTCCTGGACATCGTCGCACCGAATCCATTGCGAGTGCTGCGAGCGCTGCGAGCATAGCGAGCATCAACATTGAGGAGACCAAGACTGATACGGGCGTGACTACTGAGGACATTGCTCAGTACATCGAGGGGCCAGATCCGACTGATGGCAAATGGTTGTGCAAATACGAGGACTGCGGCAAGAAGTTCGGACGCAAGGAGAACATCAAGTCTCATGTCCAGACACATCTGAACGACCGCCAGTATCAGTGCCCGACCTGCCAGAAATGCTTCGTCCGCCAGCACGACCTCAAGAGGCACGCCAAGATTCACACTGGCATCAAGCCGTACCCTTGCGAGTGTGGCAACAGCTTCGCTCGTCACGATGCACTGACCCGCCATCGCCAACGAGGCATGTGCATTGGTGCGTTCGACGGTATTGTGCGCAAGGTTGTGAAGCGCGGCCGTCCGCGTAAGCACAGGCCCGATATGGACACCCGGCTCGAAAAGTCGGCTCGCACGCGAAACAAGATCAGAGCTACCGGTTCGTCCCCTTCGGCGTCATCGCAGTCTGGCTATTCTGATAGCTCTGCGGCCACCTCCCCCAACAGCGGTTTCGAGAATGTTCTTGACGAGCAGCCGTTCGACGATGTCATGGACGTCGCGATGGGCGTTCCCGACAGCGGTTCGTCGTCAGCGGCCACTGTCACGATGAACTCTAGCTCCATGGCTGTATCCTCGGCACCGATGCCTGGTCTTGGGCTCGCCGCTGTGGACATGGGCGAGGCTCTTTCCTCGCTATCGCCGGAGCATATGCAATCCCCCTCAAACATGAGCCACTACTCTCACGTCTCTCAGCTTTCGCTGGTCGGCGAAGACCCCATCATGGACGGTCTTCCGTCACACCCGCATTCGCCAGCCAAGAGTGTCGCGAGCCACTACTCCCACCACCCTTGCACCCCGCCCGAACTATCGGCGTCGAGCTCACCCCCGCCTTCATCTGGCACCACGCGGTTCTTTGAGTTGGACCCCAACTCGAGCTGCACAGATGATTCGCTCGGTTTGAGTGCTCCGCTGATGTCGGCGTGTGCTAGCGGCGGTGCGGATATTGGCAACTGCTCGAGCGTGTCGCTCGACGATGACTTGCTCAAGGCCTTCACCAATGAGGACGGCATGGTTCCCCTCGACACTTCGGGGATGATGCTCGGCAGCAAGTTCGACGACGAGTACGGTATGTACGCCAACGGAGATGACGTCTTCTTCGGCACCAGCTGAGAGGATGCTTGGATTGGCTCCGTTTCTCCTTCTTCCGCATGTACAATTTTTCTTTTGGCGGGATTCTTAATTATCGGTTCCTGAAGTGGCCGAAGCGTACCAATGGATCCCTGCTGGAGTGGACCTCACTCCTGTATCTTGGAAGCCATTGATTTTGGCCATCGATGTCCTATCACGAGCGTGTTTTTGTGTTTGCTTTATGCCAAGTTTGAGTCGGGGCAGGGTCGTGAATGACCCGTCATGTAACTATCGTGTCAGCATGTCGGGCCCCTTGTGTACAGTAGGGAGAAATGAGGGAAGGCATTGGGGGGTTTATCCAGGCGAATAATGGGATGGAAGGACTGTTTCAATTTAGAAGGCGAAAGAGCCCGGGTCTGTTTCTGGGTTTTATGCGCTTTGTTTTCGTTTGGACTGGGTAGACGATGCTGGATTCGTTGGCGGGTTTTTCTCCCTCTGGGCTGACACGATGCTCCCTTCTTTTGACAAACGCACAGTTAGATGGTAAACTACATGTACCTACCTACATCAATATAAAGCAACCATAGTTGCGGGGGAACTCTTGTTCGCGTTTTAACATGATTCGGTCTCCTCTCGTTTGATAAAGTCAGTGAAACAAATGTTGTTGTAGTATGATGATGATGAGTGGGTGGAGCTAGACTTGCTGTTGTTTAAGTTGGAGCAGACCAGTTGACATCTGGTTAGCGCACGGACCACGGCAAACCAATCGGGCCAGGAAATTCTTGTCATCCGTTCTTTTTTTCGGGGACGACATCAATTGAGTGATCGAACCAGGCGTGGAGCTAGGATTTGGCAGGCACTTCGAAAAGCTCGCAAAGATCCGTGACGCTGTTCGGTCATCAGATCGAACCTTGTCGGATCCTTAGGCACAATGATACTCAGAAATGCCGCCATCCGGCATGGTAAGGACCCAATTGCTCCCTTCTACTCTGCAATGATCTGTTTGGCTTACTGGTTACCCAGGCCGGAGAGCATTGGCATCTCCTGTCAAGGGGGCTTGCCTTCGATGCCTCTCGACCGAGCCGACGACGCCCGCATCACCGACGCCTCCTCCCCAGAGCGAACCAGCTTCATCATCCCAAAGTCAATCAACGACGGCTGCGCCCTACTACAACAGCACGATCCCGCCGAGATGGGGCACACGCGCCGCGACCGCCCCGGACACGATAGCACAGGACTATGTCGCCATGACGAAGCTGCAAAAGAAGACGTCGAAGCTAGGATCCATGGTTGAACAGCGCTACAGGCCGGGCGATCTCCTCAAGAACCCCCCGGCACCCAAGGACATCACCCTCGAACTGCTGATGGCGTCGCAGACGCACATGGGGCACAACACCTCCTTATGGAATCCGGCCAACTCTCGCTACATCTACGGCGTGCGCCAGGGCATCCATATCATCAGCCTCGAGCAGACGGCGGCGTACCTGCGCCGCGCGGCGAGGGTGGTGGAGGAGGTGGCCTACCACGGCGGCCTGATCCTCTTTGTCGGCACGCGCAAGGGCCAGATGGAGATCGTCGTCAAGGCGGCCGAGCTCGCCAGCGCCTGCCACCTCTTCACCAAGTGGACGCCGGGCACCATCACCAACCGCGACCAGATCCTGGCCAGCGGCGCGCTGAGGGTCGTGGATGAGCAGGACCGCGAGCTGCAAGGGTTCGACAGCCACCTGCAGGAGAGGCGGCCTCTGGTGCCGGACCTGGTGGTCGTGCTGAACCCGCTCGAGAACTTTGTGCTCCTGCACGAGTGTGCTGCGGCCAACATCCCCACGATCGGTGTGATTGATACGGACGCCGACCCGACCCGGGTTACGTATTCCATCCCCGCCAACGATGACAGGTGAGAGCACGGTCTACATGAGAGACATTTGGGGCGTTGTGGCTAACAATTCTTTGCAGCTTGCGATCGGTTGCTGTCATTGCGGGCGTCCTGGGACGGGCTGGTGAGATTGGCCAGAAGAGGAGAGTGCAGGATGCCAAGAACGGGGTCGTAAGCTGGCAGACCCCGGCAGACGTGGCTAGATACATGGAGATTGAGACAGCTCGCCAGAAGGAGGAGGAGTCCCGCCTCGAAAGGGATGCTGCGGTGCAGAGCAGGAGGGAAGAAGACCGGTTACAAGCTCAGGAGGCCTTGAAAATGGCGTGAGGCCAAGATGTACATTATGTAACCATAACTCCTCGAGACGGATGGGCTGCGGGATCCCCGTGTCCCGCTTTGTAGAAACCAACGTCCCATGTAAAGATAGCCACCAACGTACAATTGACTTTTCAGCAAATGCATTAGTTCCGCGTGCGAGGCCATTTGAGGAAGGCCTAGGTATTGTGGCGCCCAGAGGATTGAGATCCTCCATCCCAGCTAGACGAGCTCGACGAGTCACCAAGTCTCCCCACAATCAAGTCGGTGTGCCTGATTTCAGTCCACTTGCAGCTGCCCCACATCCTCCTCGCTCCCACCACCACTCACTGCTTGTACACAGGCAGGCAAACTTGGAAGCTGAAGACGGGTAAAAAAGCAAATAGTCCCCCTTCTATTCAGACATTCGTGAGAGTCACCCTGATTCTATCTCTTGGACTTTCTCTGTGAGCCCTTCCTACTGCACCTTTGCCCTTTCCTGCCCTCTAGGGAAGCTCCAAGGCGTCAAATTCTCTCCTCGATGTCGAGTTGAAGCTCGAGCATCTTGGTCTGAGCACTTACATCCGACTCATCATGCTCACACCGACAGTTGCGAACGCCGTCTCGTTCTTTTACCCGATAGGCAACACTCCGGCTGTCGATCTGCCACGCTACCTGCCCCAAGGTGTTGATGCCGATGTGCTTCTGCTTGGCTGCGGAGATGTTCGCAATATCCTCTCCAGCGTCTATGCCGAAACGGGTCTACCACCTAGGAAGCTAGACTTTACTTGCTGCGACGTTGTCGAGGACCTTCTAGCTCGCAATGCAGTCTTCTTTTCCTTTCTTGTCGATGGCGCTTATGGTGACCTCCACCAACTCTGGGCCATCTATTACCACCTCTACCTGGACGACACTGCCGTCAGCACCTTCCGAAACCAGATCAAGAAGCTTCTGAGTGCAGCTTCATCTTACGGCAAGTGGCATAACAGCACCTATGGCGGTGCTATCCGGTTCTGTGACGAGGCGACCTTTGACGATTTCAGGGCTATACTCGACAAGTATAGTAGCGAGGATGAAGCGGCACAGAGATCAGGCATCGAGTCCAGTCTTCGAGTGGCACAGGCTCTGTTCAAAGAGAAGTTTGGGGGGAACCCGCACAACGTCACGAGCATGCGATCCGCGGCACCCTTGGGCCTGAAGGCCGGGCAGGATCTTGGACAGGTGTATGATCACTACTGGAAGACGGGCCTGACCGGACAGCCCATCGCCGGCGTTGCACACCCCAATCCGCTCTTCGCTTCGTCGGTCACCCAGGAGATATCATTGCATTACGGCACAGATCCGGTGCTCGGATACCAGCTGGCTACGGCTTTCGCCCCTCTCGCGGAGCGTTCGCCACTGCGCCCGGATAGTCTGGACTCTTCCGAGCAGTTCAAGACTTTTAAGGCAGCGAAAGTGCAATTTGACCAGTGGATCAAGGCCCTCCGAGATCGAATCACGAAGGGAGACATTGTCATCCGCTTTGTTACTGCAGATGCACTGGCCCTCTGTAATACACTGGCCCATAGAAAGGCGTGCCCCAGTGAAGCTGAGAGCGGCTGGCCTAGACGACAGTTCGATGCAAGAAAGTTGGATCTCCACGCCTTGTTATATGGTAAGGATGGCAAGGGTGGTCCGACGAGCTTCGACGCTATCGACACGTCAAACTTGGCAGACCACCTTGGTACACTCAACATACTGGTAGCCGCGTCACCCCTGCTCAAGGAGTTGCCGTGGGCCACGCTGTCCACCGAGTTCCTGCTGAAGAGAGGGTCTGGAGACCGCAAGAATATTGACGAGCTCCTTTGCGGAGATGGGCGAACTTTGTCGATGCTGCTGGGTCTTGCGCCTATGGAGTACTGGACCAATGCGACTGCTGTGTCGAGTGTCGATGAGTTCTTTACCTCGATCATCCAGAACAACCTCAACGAGGGGGCCGATGCACAAGTCCACAACCGGATCTGTTGGAAATTGGCAAACCAGGTACTTGGTTTGCAGCATTCACGGGCTAGGCTGACGATAAGCCCATCGGATCTCGCCAGTGTGGTCCTGGGGACATACAAGGAGATGTTTGCCTCTGAGGACCCGACCAAGATGATGGGCATTTCCCGGGAGCAGTTGACGCAGAAGCTGCGCAGCACAGCATATCCCCATTTTCATCGGGGAAGCCTGGCAGCGTTGCTTGGCCGTATAAGGCGCCATGTCAACACAGACTGGACGCAATTCTGCGAGACATTTGTTCAGATGGTCTTCTCAGAATCGTCCATCATGATGAGTTCCCAGCATGCGCAGGACTTTGCTGCCCATCTTCATATGTGGGGTCTGCATTCAGAGTCCTGGCTGCAAGAGGACATTTACAGGAACAGAGCAGCGCTAGGCAGCTTCAACGCATGGAAGGAGATACCGGAACTGGTCGCTGTCACATTTGTGGTTCCTCGAAGCGCCTTCAACAAGCTCTTTGGTTTGCAAGGCCAGGGCATGGTCTCACCGACTCTGCAGATCTCTTTCGAATCTGCGACTGGCGACCAGCCAGAATGGCAAAACCTTTACACGGATCTGCACCTCAACTTTGGCAAGGTAGTGTGTATAGGCTCTCCGGAAGAAGACTCGTTTGCCATCAAGGTCGAAGAGGATGCTAGGAAATGGTCAGGGGACGCACCTGTGGTGGCCTCGTTCTACATGCTTTCTTCCGCCGCTCAGACCGGAGGACCGAAAGCCCGAATTTCTCTTCTCCTACTCCACACTGCTCAGAATATCATGGTCTACGCCAAAAAGTTTGGCCAGGAGCTAAAAGTCTTTCAGACAACTTTGGGAGACAAGTCGAGCGTTTACTTCACCAAGTTCCTCCCGGGCCAGACGCGCTATCCCTTCATAAGTACAGCCGTGGCGGCTCCTACCGAAGATACCCCCGACAAGATTTCAAACACGACATCATTATCCGTGGTCAATATCGACAAATCTGGGAGGTTCACCAACGTTATTGGGCATGTTGATATCGAGACTGAACAGGGCAAGACTCTTCTAGAAGAGAAAGTCCCTATCACTCTCCGACAGACATCACCCTTTGACATTGACATCGTCTTTGGTAAAGACGAGCTAGTGTGTCCCTTGAGGTTCATCACACCAGTCAGCCAGGATGGTGCCCGGACTCGCATTGCCCGCAAGTCCTCCTATGTCGAGGTGGTCGCTCCATTCGCAGACCCTGTCACAGCGAACATTTTGGCAGACTACATCTTTCCGACAACTCTGGGCCCGAATGGGTTCCCGACCACTCATGGAGTGCCTCATATCAACCTCGACACCCAGCCGATCCTCGAGGTCTCCGAGACGGCCTCGCTCAGCTGGCTCACGACCCTCTCATCCTTCATGTTCAGCACCCGCGAGAAGCAACTGCGCGAAGACGCGCAAAAAGCCGCTCACGGTCTCGCCGCCAACCCGAGGCTCAACCTCAAGGAGTCGCTCTTCACGCTCTTCATGCTCGCCTCGGGCCTGCAGGGCGGACAGACGGGCCTCTTCGCCATCAACCACCCGGAGCGGGGCGGCATCCACGCGCTGATCCTCGTCTCGGCGCTGCGCATCGACGCCGCCAACGCCTCGGTCGTGGCCGACGCCGCGGTCCTGCCCTTCACGCCGGACATGCTGCAGGACGAGGCGCTGTCGGGCTTCCTCGCCTACCTGCGCCTGCTCGAGATCTGCACGCTGACGGTCGACGACGCGGAGCTCGCGCTCTGGAAGAGGGTCCTGCCCGCGCTGGCGGAGCGGTGCCGGACCTGGCGGCACGACCCTTCGTCGTGCGAGTACGGAGAGGAGGGCGCGAGCATCCCGCTCGGCCTCGAGCCGGGCGGGGCCGTGCTGTGCTCGTGCGGCAGGGGCGTGTTCCCGGACGAGTTCCTCGCGGTGCCGGAATGGAGCAGCGCCAGCCGGTTCGCGACCCGCGTGGCCATCAGCCCCGTCTTCGCGGTGGAGGACCTGGAGGAGGTGATGGACAAGAAGTCGGCGGCGGCGGCTATCATGGGCAGAGCTGGCGGTAGTGGAAGTGGTGCGAGCAGAACGCCACAGCAGGGGTCTGGCGCCGGGGCTGGAGCCTCGGGCAGTGCTGAGCTACCCTACTCGCCCGATACGTGTTGGACGTGCCGGGCCAAGGAGGCCAAGGGGGGTGGGAGCCTGAAGAAGTGTATGCGGTGTCTCAAGGCGCGGTATTGCTCTGCCGAGTGCCAGAAGAAGGATTGGAGGAAGCACCGGATGGAGTGTGAGGAGGCTTAAGTGCCAAGGTAGGAAAGGCCATGGCGATGATTGAACTGGTATGAGTGATGAGCTTCAGAGGGAGTCAAATGGGCTGGGCACATAGCTTCTACATACTTGAGCCAGGCTATAGCGGTCACACAAGCAAGATTAATTTTAACAGCATCATTGGCATTGGAGTCTCTGAGATCTGTGATTAGCATTTCTACTTTGCAATATCTTGCCTACAGTTGCACTGCCTGCAGGAATGGGTATTTGTGACAGCCCTGTGCTAATTACTCCGGCATTTTAAGAGTCAAGATGCGCATCATTCATTGATCTCGGCATGTAGGACTAAGTCCTGGACTGCGTTAGCTGATACATAGTACGCAACTACTCACTGCTTCACGTTGACGATGGGCTTAGGCATATTGACGACTATCTAACACTTTTTGTTTCACTTTCTGCTCTATCGCCCAAGACTACACATGTTCGCGCTAGGTAACAGTCCGCACTGACTTGCATCGGAGAGCCGAGGGGGTCGTCCTTGTCGGCAGGCTGTGCCCTGGAGCTGGAGACAAACCGCAGCTTTTGCTTCGTGGGTTGAAAGATGTGCCGCTCTCTGTCACCTCGAGTCCACGCTTGATAACTGCCAGCTCAGACTGCTTGACGTACATAATTTCGCCAGCCTTGCCTATGTCTAGGACGAAGCAGTTCACAAGGCTCAGCCAGTCGTTCGGAACAAAGAAATGGCGCACCGGAGGCTCCGAGGGGTCAGTGATGTCCATCGAACAGATCCAGAAAGATGCATCGAGGTACACCAAGCGGTCGCCGTAGACGCCGACGATAACTTCCATGCTGAGTGTGAGCGATTTCAGGGAGCAGACGGGACTCGCAGTTGTAGGGCCGGATGGGCTGAAGTCCTTGTGATCCCATACATGGATATTGGAAGACCGGAATGTAGTAGCTTTGTTGTCCGTTGCTTGAGCTCTTGTTTGCGTCGCAAAGTATCTTGAGTCGTTCAGTGATATCACCTCTTCAAACAGAGGCCATGGGCTATTGGTGATTCCCGGTAGATCGACTGTTCCAAGCAGACTCAAGAGCGACCAGTCGCGCAGTTCCACCCCTGAGTCTGTCCAGCGGATGAGACAGTCATTGTTGGCGCCGTGCGCGACCCAATGGCGCTTTCGGCCCCCTGCCAAACTAGCCAGGAGACCATCCACACCCCTTCCCCAGATAGCGTCCTGATTTTCTGTCGAGATTAGAAGCCGAGAGTGCTTTCCAGATCCAAGGACTTGAACTATCGTAGAGGCGAGCTTGACATCAATGTCGGGCTCTGCAATCTCCCATTGGGACCTGAAGTGCCTTGTTATCCTCCGGCTTGTGGCCCTGCCGACTAAATCGCCACACGTCAGTGTCCCGGTCTCGTCGTCAAAGTGTATGTCTGCGATGGCACAGTTCGGAACTTGTGTAAAGAGCTGTTGGCTCTGGGGCGCTGCCGAAATATTATAGACGTGGACTGAGCCATCTTCCTTGCCACAAAGCACAAATGATCCGCTAGCGCCTCGAGGCTTCACGCAAAGTATAGAGCTGATACCGATTGCATCGAGGGGGCAATAGTCGACTTCCTGGATCCCCGAAGAGTATGAAACAGTGTCACTGATATCTTCGTCCATGCCATCCTGGCGGAGGAGCACCGTCGGTTGCCAAACTCGGCACTGCGGCGCTCGCACGTCGATGAGGCGCTGCCCATCTTGCGTGAAAGACAGGATCTTTGCCCTGATGAAACTGCTTTGGAACGAGATGCGGTATAAGGCGCGAAGAGTCTCGAAATCGTATAGTGTGATGAAACCCATTGTATCACCGCCGGCGAGAGTGCGGCCGTCCGGGGAGGAACACAGGGTCATGGCGTTCTGAGCACGCGAAATCTCCACTACCGTACCACTGAAGGTCTCGTAGACAACGAGGTCACCATCAATGTATGTGACGGCCACCCAGGACGTGTCGGCAGCTTTGCTGAAAGCTATAGCCCCCACACTCGTAGATCCATCGGCAATCTTTGAAGGCCCATTCTCCCGAGATCCCGTCTCCTTCTCGTATACATCGTGCAGCATATCCTCCTCAATGTCCCATAAGATAAGGTCCTCCCCGCGATAGACGATGGCAAGAAGTTTCTGCTCGGGCCTCATTACAGCCATTATCGGTTGCCGGGCATGGAGTTCGAGACCCTCTTCGACAAACTCCCTCGTCCAGTCGGTCGGTTCGTCCTGCAGGCAGTCTTCCTCCAGGTTGTAATACATTAGCTGATTGCTCTTAGTTGCTATCACAAGAAGACCATCGGATGACGTGAAAGCCATGCTCATGACCAGTGACCCGACTTCAATCCTGTTCACTTCCGTCCCAGTATCTAGATCCCATATGCTGACGATCTTGGGCCCAGCGGACGCCAGAAGTCGCTTGCTGTCTCCGAATCTTAAGCACCACACGGGCCCCTTTTGTTCGAGAACCAGAACTTCTTGGAAGATGGTGTCGTCATAGAGCATGATTCTGCCCTTTGCAAAGCCTATAGCGAAGAATCCGAGACCGGCAGCCGCACTGAACGGCGATGCTCCCTTTGGGTAATGCATGGTGCTGAGGCAATCGTCCCATCCGGTCGCGGCGAGTCCCTGGACATTCAGGCCACGGCTTGGAGTGTGAAATTGCTGGTATATAATGGACGAGTGTGGGCAGAACGGCGGGATCAAATGATGAATAGAAGCAGGGGAGACTATCATCCGTCGTGAAAATTTTGGAACGAGATGCACCAGATCATTGCCCCATCTTTCAAGCATCTGTATTTCTCGATCATGACTCAGAGGTGCAATGTGTTGTGCTCGGCGACCTAGGAATTTGAGGAGGCTTCTCCCGGCATGATAGACCTTGTGAAGTTCGGAACGTGTGGCGATGTATTCTATCCAGTCCAGAATACTTGTGGAACCGAAAAACCGAGCGACAAGCTCCAAGATCTCGTCATTGGAGGACTTGGCCTGGAAGAGATGCTGAAAGACAAAGTCAGAGGCATAGGCAGAAAATGGGGTCCGTGTTGACTTTGAGTCCTTTCCGAGGAACGAACGTCGGATCTTTGCTCGACCTTTTGGCTGGTCCTTGGTGAGAGCGTTCAAGCACACAATGGCCAAACGTGTGTGGCTATAGCGTCTATCGATGGCGAATTCTGACTTTAGGTTCTTCCTCGTCAGGAATTCTTTGGCCGTTAAGTGAACTAACTGAAGTCTTTGTCGACGGTCGACATACACCAGATTGCCACAGGATGCGGTGATGGATTTTTCGATGTCGCTGATTGTATCATTGACGTCCATCTGAACAGCTGCATGCAGCTCGTCCGTGGTGAGGGGACGGAAAGAGCAGGTTGCCCAAGCCAAAATCGCCTTCGCCGGGTCCTTGCCATACTTGGCTCTCGACATGTTCTCTAGGATCTTAAGGTAGAGGTGGTCCATGTCGTGGGGGTTGCTGGCAAAGACCGTCTGGATTTCACTCGCCGTCTGCACTTGGCGCAGTTCTGCCAACATGAGGTTAGCCCATAAGAAACAACCACTAGAGTTCTCCAGAATACGGTCCGCCATTTTCTGCCTTGCCTCCAGGGTAGCGGCGGGAAGTAAATCCATGTTGGTATTCAGAAAGAGGTCGATATCCTTGTTACTGTCTTCATCTGATATTGAGAGCGATACAACCTTGGAATCCGCAATGGCTTTGTTGATGGGAGGTTCAAATGGATATCTGGAGGTGACAAAGATGCAGAGAGGCCAGAACTCTTGCGCCTTCGTCAGAAAATTAACCAGATCCGAGCTGGCCTTGCACTCGTCCATGGCGTCAATAACCCAATGCTGAGGCCGATCCAGCTTTGTCTTGAGCACGCCGGAGAGAAATATTTGGCGCCATATAGCGTGGTGATCGATCTGGTCAATGGCCGAGTCCTCTCGGTCAAAAGTTCCTGTAATGGTAGCAAGCACCTCGGGGTGAATAACTGCCATCTGGTAGGCCATACTCCTCAAGAAAGCACTTGGGTTAGACTTTGTTTCATTGCTGGATGAGAAGAAGAACCAAGAAACGTCATGGCCAAGTCCTCGGAGGTGGTTCACGACGTTACCGGCAAGAAAGGACTTCCCTGCGCCAGGCCGACCACGGAGCCACAGGAGTTCGGAAGAGTAAGCATCGCGCCACTCAACGAATGGTTGTTTCTGTAGCAGCCAGTCGCCTGCTCCCTGAAGGCGGCGTGTATCGAGCATGTGGATATCATCTTCCGGATTTTCTACCACGCGAAGAAGCTTCCTCAGGGCAATGATTCGATCTTGGCCAATCTCCTGGCTAGCTTTGGTACCCTTCCGCCGCAAACTCCCAATCAAAGTGGCTATCGTGTTCCTGACTGTCAGATAGCATGGGTCCTCCGGGGACGTGAAACGGGCGACGTTGCGGTGGTTTGCGTTCAGATAATTTCTCCTCTCATTGGGAAGGTTCATTACAGCGCAATGCTTCTCGACAATGAGACCGTTACCTATCCCGTAAAGCATCGGCTTCGTCTCAAAGAAGGAGAAGAGTTGTAGATTGCCACAGTAGCGTGGGAATTCTTCGTTGATTGCCTGGAGAACTGGAGAATGTGGCATGATGTCTTTGACAAATGGACGTGAGCCAGGGATGAGGGCCAATATGCGATCCAGACTGTTAGCGAGGTCGGCTCCTTGATGTGGTGTGGCCAAGAAGAACAATGCACATATCCGGCTGGCAACGGACTCAAACGGGGGTGTCTGCCTCCCAAGTGAGTAGGCCTTTTTAATCACCAGTCCTCCCATACTATGGCCCACAAGCACTATAGGCGTCTGTCCATTAGAAGTCAGCGAGTTACGAATACAAACATGCAGGGTCATCGTGATAAGTCAGTCTACCTTTGCGCCACTCGGAATGCTTGGCGCGTCCTGGATAGCAGAAAGGAGCGAAGTCGCGAAGTCGTTAACATTCAGAATCGACTCTCGACCCAGTCCCGAAGCATACCCGAACGTATGTATGCGAGCATCGCGAAAGGACTCATCCTTGGGCAGCCACTTCTTTGGCCAGAAGAGGGCATCGTCACGGCCACGACACCAAGTGCTCTGTGAGCCTCCGTTCAATCCATGGACAAAGACTATGTCGGAGACGGACGAGCTTCCGGGATTGTGGAGGGTGGTCAGTCCAAGTGGACCCTTGGGTTGGTCATTTTCACTTTCGGCGGTGTCTCGTCTGATGAAGGAGCGGACGGAAAAGGATCGCGATGCTGCCGGCGACTGGGCTACGGTTTCCGAAGGCTGTAAAGGCGGGGTGGAGTCCATGGGTGTTCAGGTCTTTGCCCCTTGCCCGAGGGGAAAGGGCAGGGCAGCAAGCACAAGATGAATAATTGACAACCACGCTGATGTAGAAGGTTTCAGTCCTTTGGAACTATCAATGTTATTTTCAAGGCAGCTTTGGACATGTTCTTCAATCAACCGTAGAATACACCAGAAAACTCTCCTTGGTCACCCTGGTCTTCGTGGCACGAACCAAGCGAACTCGCCTTACGGTGCACACATTTCGCAGAAAACCCACTGATTTCTTCCAAACGAAGCGCCCAAGCACTCTGCGCTCTCCGAGATCAGGCAATGAATGTCCCCAAGAACCAACAGCTTGTGCCTGCATATGCGCCCATGCATGGTCTGCTGCCATCAGCCAATGACTGGAGTCAGCTACGCGCCCAGAAAAGCCCAACGTTTGAGGCCAACGGGTATCCATTGAAATAAATCGGCTGTGCACCTACAATTTGGGTGGCAGGATGAGGGCCTCAAGTTTCAGCACTCTCTGGTGTTTCGTTTCACGAACAGGACTGGGAGAGTACATCGTTGTGTCCGAGCCATATTTCGCGACCAAGGCGTGCAGCAAACTGGTATAGACAGTCCATAATAAGGATGCCCTCCACTTCCGCCGCTATCTGGGACAAGGAGATTCCTGTGCCCGTGAGAACCATCTCATATGTAGACGATGGGATTGTCAAGAGTACTACCTAAGTCCCGCCTGTCTGTGATGTCCTCGCTGACACCATCAAGGACTGCCTGAGGGTACTAGGATTATGTCCATATCGCCATCTGGGTCATCTTACTGGGCCCGAACGGCCAAAATCGAGGCACTCGATGCCCGGGGGAGACCGGTCAATTACTTTGTCAAGGTAAGGGTCAACTGGGTGCTCCCTAGGTTCAAGTCGAACATCTTGTTAGGCTTCAGGTGTTCTTTATCTCGTCGCCCGGTTTCCAGTCTCCCCACCATCCAGATCCGTGGCTTGGGATGCTTTAGCAACGGTGACTGGGACGGTATCCCTATAATTCGAAGTGGAACCATGCTTGGGTCCCGTTTTTAAGACTACTCGCTCCATTCTGATTTCATTTTCTAATTTGATTATGCCTAGGTTCATCAAGGCGAGAAGGGCAAGCTTATGGTCTCGTCCGAATTCGAAGCCATGATCCTCCTTTTCCGAGTCATACCGGAGATGGTGGCCCGTCCAGTCGCATGTGGCAGTTATGAGTCGGAAGATGATACTCATTTCTTTGTCTGCGAATTCTGCGAGCTGAGCGATGATATTCCGGATCCCCATCCGTTCGCCTCCCTCGTTGCCGAACTTCACAAACGTGGCGTTTCCCCTAACGGCATGTTCGGTATGCCCTATGTGACCTTCGGGGGAAACGCCCCTCAGCTGTTTCCTGTCACAGAGAGCTGGGAGGAGTGTTTCACGACAGGTATCCGTGGTGTCTTTGCCGCGGAGCTAAAGAGTCAGGGTGCCGATGAGGACATAGAGATGCTAACCTCCACGATTCTGGAGAAGGTTATTCCGCGGCTGTTGCGGCCATTAGCAGAAGACGGGCGGACAATAACGCCACGCTTAGTTCACGGCGATCTTTGGGATGGCAACGCCTCGGTCGACGTCAAGACCGGCAAGCCAATGATCTTCGATGCCACTCCACTGTATGCACACAGCGAATGTAGGTCTTTCACTAGTCCAATGAACCGATTGAGTCTGTGGGTTAATGTAGTGTCTCGCATAGATGATCTCGCGCCGTGGAAGATCCAAAGACACAGGATGACACAGAAGTATATTGACGAATACATCGAGCATTTCCCCATATCAGAGCCCAAAGAAGAATTTGAAGATCGCCTTTGGCTCTATTGCCTGTAAGCTACTCAAGCAACCTTTCGCTTCTCAGCTAACGTCAATGGCTCTTGAGGCGGTTCGATATGCATGCCTCCACCCTATACCCTGGAAACTTGCGATTTCGGAACATGTGAGTGATGGTGTCCAGCATTAGTGGACAACCCCTGATCAGTCAACAGAAGCAAGGAAAACATGCGCCGCCTCATCGATTTATATGGCGAGGGATACGATATCTATCGGGCTAGAAAAAACCCAGAGGGAAACATTCTTCGTAACAAACAAGCCTCAACTGCCAACAACGCTACCCTGGCTGCTGCTGTTGATGAACCTGTGTCTGCAAGCTTAGGGTAGCTTGGTATTGTGTCAGCCTGGGGAGCTCCAAATCTTTGCCAGTTGAGCCAGTGCTTGGGACGTAGAGTGATAGTTTAATATCAAGGAACTCGCGTATATTTGTCTATGAGTGTACCATCTTATTGTTGACTTGAGAAGCCAAATGCCTCGCTGCTGGCCTCATACAATGCAGAGCAAGTGAATCACCAACCCCGAGATCACCGCTTACCTTACTTACGCGCTCGTCAAGCCATCAAAAACCCCAGTCAGTGAACGAGACACGATCCCTAGCCGCCCGGATCTTCTCCCAATATCCACAAGGAGAACAAAAGTGGATTTTGCACTCATTCTGGAAACATGAAACCAACACAGTACTTTGGTTGCATTCAAGAACAAATTTAAAAAGGGCAGCCTGCAGAACTTTGCCCCCACCCAGCTCCATCTCATGTCCTCTCCTACAATATTTTCCAACAACGTCGAGTGCTGTCAAAATGACCCAGGGCAAGGACTCAACTTCCGGCACAGAGGTCCAGGAAGAGGTCACTGGAGGGGTAGAGGTGTCTAATGCCTCAAGTGAAGAGACAGCTCGCTATACAATCTTCTCGGTGCATTACCGCTGGTATCTCACCATTCTGCTGGGTTACCTCTGTCTCGCCTCCTCACTCACCGCCAACATTTACTTCCCCTTGATCAACCTCCTCGCTGAGCAATACAATGCTACGACACAGGAGATCAACATCACTATCACCGTCTACGTCGTCATTCAGGGCGTCGCACCATCAATATTCTCTCCCCTCTCGGATACCCTCGGTCGCCGCCCCGTCTATCTCTTGAGTTTCGCCCTCTACACGGCCGCCTCTATCGGTCTCGTCTTCAACACAACCAGTTATGCTGGCCTTCTCGTCCTGCGCGCCATACAGAGCGCCGGCGGGTCTGCGACGTTGTCGCTGGCATACGCTGTCGTCGCCGACTACACAGTCCACGCCGAACGCGGCAAGTTCTTGGGTCCGATGATGGCGGCGACGAACCTGGGCCCCAATATTGGGCCGGTCATAGGTGGAGGTGCCATCCTCGCCACGGGTGAGCCCCGGTGGGCCTTTGTAGCCCTTGTCATCTTCGGGGGTACTTCGTTGGCTCTGATAGGGCTAAGTATGAGGGAGACAAACAGAACCGTTGTGGGGAACGGATGTATTGCACCAGACGGTTTATGGAGGGCGTGGATGGACATGCTTTCAGCACGGGCACTTAAGGCTAAGTCGGGCAGCAATGGTGCCGATCGAAAGGTCAATACGGAAGACAAGCATCAGCCCGGTGCCACTGAGGAATTGAGGACCGAACACTCCCCGTCTCCGGAAGGCCCTCAAACCTGCGTCCCAGCGGGACGTGGGAAGCTGTCTTTCCCAAATCCCTTTCTCTCCCTCCGTCTTCTACTATACAAAGATGCTTTCACGGTGCTCTACCTCGCCGCATCACCTTACGGGGCTTGGTACACCATCACCGCTTCCATCCCGCTCATTTACAGCCAGGAGTACCACTTCAACGATCTCATTGTTGGCTGCTGCTATCTTGCCGGTGGTGCTGGGATCCTTACCGGGGGTTTTGTTGCCGGCAAGCTCATGGATTGGAACTACAAACACACGGCTAAGAAAGCGGGAATTCCAGTGGACCGCGTCCGTGGCACCGACATAGCCACTTTCCCAATCGAGGCAGCACGCTCGAGGGCTTCATACAGCCTCTTGGTCATCAGCGCAGCTGGCTTCGTCGGCTACGGCTGGACCGTCCAGAAGCACGTGCACCCAGCCGCATCCCTCGTCCTCCAGTACTTTTTGGGCATGCTTTGCACTATAGTCCACCAAGTCTATAGCGCCTTGTTGGTCGACATCTTCCCCAACGAGCCGGGCAAGGCCGGAGCCGCGAACAACGTTTGTCGATGCGCCGTCGCGGCGGCTCTGGTCGCTATATCAGAGCCAGTGGTGCGTGCTATTGGGAGGGGTTGGTTCTTTTCGATAATAGGGCTATGGCATGGAGTGGGATCGCTTGTCGCGGTATGGATATTGAGGAGGTGGGCGCCTAGCTGGAGAGCTACCAGGACAGCATCAGCCAAGTCATAAAAACTAGGCGAATTGTGGCCTATGGCTGGCCGATGACAGATAGATCAGGCTATCTGGACTAGTATAGCCTTAACATAGTAATCAACCAGAGCCTGCTTAGCGTTGTGTGACTAATTCTAGAGTTTAAGAATTCGCTGCTAGCTGTATATGAGGAGTTTGTTGGCTCGGGCTTGTTTTGAGGGCCCGAGAACAGATCAAGAGGACAATACAGAATCAGGAGAGTGGATAAGAGATGCAGAGGAATACATGTTGCGAAAATGCAAATAGATGTTAACGTTAGCCGTTCAAGTTTAACTATTCATACAGTGTACGTTATATAGTACACTTTTCATAACTTAAATACTACCAACTGTGTCGAAAACTCCGATGTCGATCCAAACTTTCGATTACCAACCCGTATGACCTCCGTCAATAATCAGGTTGTTGCCCGTCATGAAACTGCTCGCCCGACTCAACAGGAACAGCGCTGCCCCCTTGAACTCGCTCGTCTCGGCCAATCGACCCATCATGTTCTCCGACTCCCACTTCTCCCTCAGACCCGGCACTTCCTCAAAATTCTTGAGCACCATGGGCGTCAGGATGTGCCCTGGGCTCAAGCAGTTGACCCTTATGCCTCCAGTCCCATCCTTCCTGATGGGGCTCCATTCCATGGCCAAGTTCCGCGCAAGTTGGATGACGGCAGCCTTGGACGAGTTGTAGACGGGCGAGATGAGGCCTTTGTTCGCGACGATCCCGGACATGCTGGCGATCATGCAGATGCTGCCACGGCACTTATAACGGAACATTTGGCGCGCGGCCGAGGTGGCCGTCATGAGCACGCCCGTGTAGTTGATGGCGAGCATGCGCTCGACGTCCTCGACCTCGTACTCGAGGGCTGGCGTGATCTGCTGCACTCCTGCAGCGGCGATGACGCCGTCCAACCGCTCATTCTCTTCGGCGATTCCTTTGATCAAGCCGTCAAGATGCTTGGTGTCTTGGACATCCATCTGGTGATAATGCAGGGAGCCACCCCACTCCTTGACGACGCGGCTCTCGGCCTGGTACCATTCCTCCTCTGGCTCTGGCGCACGGTCAAGGCAATAGACTACGGATTTCTTTCTGTTAGGTTTCACGCCATGGTGAGAGACACTACCCTTTGTACCATCTCACTTACCTTTCCCGCCCGCCTCAACCAACGCTTCTGCTAATGCTAGTCCTAGGCCCCGAGCGCCACCGGTAACGATGAAGACGTTGCCGGCGACATCAAAATCAGCGAAGCGCTTGGCACCGACATTCTCGTGCTTGGGGAGCTTGAGTTCGTTCGCTGGGTTCTCCCTGGGTTCCGGGTTGGTCGGCTTGGCAAGCCGGGTTGCTGGCTGGCTGTGAAATGGCCGTATGTAATTGTTGTTAACGACTGCTGCTGGTGAGGCGCCTCGCAGGTGTGTAGAAAGAGGCTGTCGTATCCTGCTGAATGTTGCTGCGACGAACCTTGTGCTTATCGGCATGTTGTTGAGCAATGCTTTTCGATCCTTTTGCTTTCCTTATAACGATTTGGTGGGTTCAGTGTCTAGGCCTTCCTTATTCGTCGATAGTCCTCGCCGCTTTCATGAGAACTGGAAATGGTGGTTGGATGTGACGGTATACACTTATGTATTTATATAGACATATACATGTCTGTGCGTGTCCGGCGTAACAGGATCTTGGAAGCCTATCGATGACTTTATTTTGAAGTCATACAACTCACACCGAACCTGGAGGTCCACTCCCTGTGGCTCTCTAATGGCATTTTGCGTTCTCCATGTTTGAGATGGAGATCCACTCGACATCTTCTGTGGAGATCCTTCCAGAAGGTGGATCTACGTCATGACGGCATAAGCTCACGGATCAAAAGGTCCGAAACAAGTTATCTTCAAACAATCCTGCAAAGCTCGCCTAGCGAAGCCACATACATCCGCCTCGCAATGCTCTTGCGTGGGTACTCGAGAAAAGAAGGATTGGTTACACGTAAAGATGGGATGACGTGGCCGTACCACAATGATATGTGTGGCTCAGTCTTGCTTTTCTACTTGGTACACTTCCCGGAGCTGACTACCACAACCCACTTAAATGATGTTGAAACTCTTGTCAATCCCTAGAAAGGGGGCTGGGCTACAGAGCTATTCCGGTCCGCGCTACTCTCAGAGTGGCGTCAAGCGCGATCTATCAATCGCAAGAAGCGGGTGCTTTGGGACAATCAGCAAGGCGTGCAAAAGCCTTGCATTGACGCCGTCAGCTGCGTGCCCCATCCGGAGCCAAGCTCCTGAAAGACATCAAGGGTTCGACAAATAGGCCCCAGTTGTCAGATCGACACTAAACCTTCAGGTGCCTTCAAAACCTGTTCCCACACTCTTGGCAAGCTGAAATACGCAAAGATCGACAACGACCCTCCCGGATGCTCCCTCTTACACCCAACTAAAGCAACACCTACCCAACTGCCCGGACTCGAATGTCCAGCAGCCTTTCTCGATGGCACGTCGACATGGACTGCCTCAGATCCACTACCCGGCGATCCGGTTGGTTCCATGCCATAGTTGACTGAATTGCTAGAAATGCACGTGGTCACGGAGTTTTCGCTCCTGTGAAGCAGCGACCAATGAAGACCACGGTGGATCTCTCCTTTATTATCTACCCATGCTGAATCATGATTGTTGACAGTTTAAGAATGTCTATGTTGTGAAAACCGCAAAACCGCCTCTATTGCTTAACACCTGTAAAATGCAGAGTAAACCAAGAGGTTGACAATCTATCCCAGAAAGAGAAAGAGAGAGAGAGAGAGAGAGAGAGAGAGAGAGAGAGAGAGAGAGAGAGAGAGAGAGAGAGAGAGAGAGAGAGAGAGAGAAACAAGAGAGAAAAAGAACAGCCCACAGACGTCTACACCTATTTCAAAGAAAAGAGCGCGGCCATGATGTTGTCGGTATGCTCGCGGATGGCGTCGTGATACACCCCCCTTGGAGTTATCACCTTGATATTGCCGATGTTATCCGCCACCTCGCGGGAAATCTCGTAGTCGACAAACATGTCAAACTCGTATATGGCGGCGCGCACGGGCACCGTGTTGGCCTTCAGCTGTCGCTGGTTGTAAAGCGGTCCCCAGTCGCTCTTCTTGGCAAGCTCCTCAGCCACTTGTCCTAGACCCCTGAGGCGGCAGTAATCGTTGAACAAGAACGGGTGGACCATCTCGCCCGAGAAGTATAAAGGGCTGTCCAAGTTTTGTCCGTTGGCAGCTTGCTTGACAAAGCCGGGCTCCAACCAGCGGTACTCGAGTTGCCGGCGTCCAATCCTATCAGCGGCCCAATTCGAAACGATCCCTCGCCCGTCACAATAGATCGCCTCGTGCAGGACTGCATACAACGGCCGGGTATCGTACTTGATCCAGTTCTCGATCTCCTCGCCAGTCGCGCGTGAGAGACCGTTCGGCGACTGAATCTCCCGGTGGATTCGATGGAGCATATCATGAAGTTTCGATGGGCCGTCCTTTGAGCCAAGGACACGGCCAAGGCCCATTAGACGCCCAACTGTCAGCCTGCCCCCATTCGGCAGACGAACACATCCTCCACGGGTGGAGCAGATCTCGCTGATCAAACATCTCAGCACCAGCTCGTCCCGGGGATATGCTTCGAAATATCGAAGGTTGTACCCCCTAACTTTGTTGTAGGTGGCTTGATACACTTCGTCTGGGGACTTTCCAATCGGTGCCATTCCTCCAGTCAAGTAGACTTTCTTAAGGCTCTCGGGGTAGAAGGAAAGATAGGTCAGTGCAATCCATCCGCCGAAGGACTGACCCCAGAGCGTCCATTTGTCCACATCGAAGCACTGCCGAATGGCCTCGAGATCCTGGACAATAAGGTCCTGGCGAAAGAGCTCGAGGTATTTAGCCTTCATGTTGGAGGGAACACGTTTCAAACCCGCCATGCCCTCACTGGTGCCTGTTCCGCGATAGTTCAAGAAGAGGACCCGGTAGCGTGCGTTCAACGCGTTCTGGGTGAATCTACCCATACGGTCCGCCTCGTTCTCAGACCCCGGACCCCCCACCAGGTAGACCAGGATGGGGGCGCGTTCCTCCTTGGAGCGTATCTCGCCTGTCAATACAAGCTTCCCTCGTTGGCTATTTGTATAGTCCAGAGGCACTTTGAACCTCAGCGTCCGCTTATTGTACCAGGTTGATATTTCTTCAACGTCGGACGGATGCATCTCCGCCGGCGGAATCGGAGAATTGGCGTTCATTTTCGTTGTCGGGTTGTCAGGTTTGATTTGAGAAGGGAGTAGACCCTGGATGTCTCAGTATGATACTGAGTGTTGTTCTTGATACAATTTGATCACTCACAAGTAAGTCTTGAGTCTTTTTCCAGGAGTTCAAGGCCAACTCGATTGCTGAAGTGGTGATCTCATTCCACGGAGCCAGAGCCTCCTGCAACCGCTTTATATACATTTTCAACAGAGTGTATTCACTCATGGTCATGACGACTTGGGTTCGAACGAGTATCGCCAACAAAAAGGAGTTGTGTCAGAAGGTCGATCATGAATCTCTAGCATCAAAGAGGTCGTACGTTGACGTTTTCTGGGACAGGCCTAGAAGAAAGAAAGAGTGCCGAGAACAAGGCTTTTGTGAAAGTCCACAATATAACATCGTTTCCGGACATCCGCCCTGAGCCGAACAACAAAGGTCATGTCACCTCCTCGGCTTTCACCGCCACCGTCGATGGCCTTTTGCCTCGGTGAGCAACTGTACTTCACAAACGTTGTACAGCATTCGTTCAACCGCCATCCAGATGAGCGGGCGAATGAGCACAGTATGTGAAGCAGGGTCACGAGTGAGACTGGAATGACTCGAGGCTAGACTTGTGCGTAGGAGTCAGAAACTTCTGTGCTAGTCTCAGCGCCCTACAGAGCCAATGCGTTGGTCCGAACATATCGGTCTGTATGCTGGCGACATGTCAGATAGAAGCGGCTGGGCCAGGACCAACCATGTTCGGGAGATTCTGTGCGGAATGCACACCGTACCATGGACACGCGCCGACATGACTCGCGGGAACGCCTCATCGCTGTCAACCCACCGCTACGGGATATTCCTGGTCAATGCAGGGACATACACGCACGTGGATTCAGGGGCTATAAACTGTCTTGGCACAATGGTATTGTTCTGCGGGTGGCTTTCGAGTATGGCGCTAACCAAGCCATCAACCATCATCTCTATACTCCGAACTGACCAGGGATGTCACTGGTACAGTCCCATACCTACTTGGTCCCCACCCAGTAGTTATTCAGGGTTCAGGAGTTCGTCTACTACTGTTTGATAAGAGGGCTGCACAATCCCCCGCTGGAAGGAGACAGGCCGAAGTGGTAGGACACAGATGGTGCGTGCAAATGATGCCGTTCAACAGTTGCACGCAGACGACCCCACGGGCCACGAGCACACAGTTCCAAGGTCTGGGGTGGTTTCTACTCTTGGGGCCGCCACTGAGAGAAGCAGTCCCTGGTGACGTGTCGATTGTACAGGCATGGTTCACTATCTATCGTGTGAGGTGCTGGCCGAGTGGCATTGCAGTTGGGTTAGAGGCGAGGGATCCTTTCGCGATCCCATCGTAAAGAAATAAGCATGCAGTCCATATCCTGATTTACGATTACGAATGCTGCCAAGGAGGGGGTGGTGCTGATTGTGCAGTCTCGAACAGTGTACTGAGCGGCATGTTTTCAGTTAGGGTGCTGTTGCTGACACAATCCCGCAACACCCGCCTTCTCCTACCGCTCAACCTCTCGGGTTGTGGATTACCGGGCCATGTGACTGCTCCACGATGATCGACAGATTGTACTGTTCTACGGTACAGATATGCGGGGACCGCCGCCAGTGGATGTTCTCCAGTCCCAGATTGACCAGTCACAGGCCTGGCGCAACAGGATCGCGACAGGGTGGCAGGGCCAAGTATCTTGAGGCACTCTGATTAAAAAGACTTGGAGCCCTGCACTACCGCTTGTGAAGCCTCATGGGGAACCAGAAGAGTTGTGTCGGCATGTGACAAGGGCGGCCACACGCAGCAATGCCGGGTTAGCCATGGGGAGAGGGGACACCAGTCGCACTGGATGGGTCCTTTCACACGGGTTCGATTCGGTGCGCATCTCAATCCCGCATGCTGATTGTGCCACGATGGCGGTCAGCTGGCTCATGGCGAGATCCACATGCAAGCCACTGGACAGGAAGAAGAAAGCATCAGTGCTCTGAATCATGCACTGCTTGCTCCCCGATGCATTGAGGCTCTTCCCGACCGGCGGGATGTGAGACAAGACCCTGCTTTGCAAAGGGACCATGACGCCACAATTCTAGGAATGGTGTTCGAGATCCCATCGAGGTCGTGATAGCAATAAGCGGTGAGCAAGATCAGGAAGATGAGCCCGCTTCTGCCACTCACTTATTAGACACGCAAGACCATGGGAAGATCGTACACGGAAGTGATAATCTCCCCATTCAGCATCCTGATTGCTCTTGCCTCACGCGGCAAGACAAAATACATAGTTCATGGTGCTGTTTCCCATGACATTACCGTGTATGGGATGCTGGAGGACGCCCGCGCACTCATGCCCTCGTAACGATGGAAGGAAAGCCGATATCCGGGGAATAACGCTGACATCCAGCGCAAGGATCAATTTTAAGCACCGAATCAACCCGAAAAGACCTGGAGGATGACGGGATGTGGCCGGCGCTGGCCAAAACAAATGGCGACCCGGCGCTGGGAGGCCGCAACGGACACAGAACCGGGGATAAGTGGGTCGGTCCATGTAGGAACGGCCTGTTCGTCGGTCTTGCGGGTCCGATTTAGCTGGATCTGAAGATTGACTCACCGATCCGCTATGGTTTTCGTGCATCGCGCATGCCTTGCAGTCTTTGATACTCGTCGTGCTTTTCTTCATCCAGGGATAGAGGCCAGCTAAACTGGACCAGGGTACCAGCTATCAGAGGCCAAAAGAAGGGGACAATACGGGTCTGAGGCAGTAACGAATGCACTTCTGGGAGGCATAATCCTATTATCTCTCCCCCGTCCGAAAACATATAGGCATGTTTGCTAGTATGTCGAATGAACATCGATGTATACAACGGTAGCCACCTAGACATGAATACCTTATGTACAAAGAATATTACATCTATCCTCGGGACTACTTGATCCTCATGATAGAGACAATACAGACCTATGAGACCTCCCTCAAGGGTTCCCGCGGTCTGGGGGAAATATGGGTACCTGCTCGACCAGCCCTGGAAAAGACTGTGTAGAAGCCCAGCTACATCCTTTTAACGAACCTGCGCCATACAGTCAAGTCGCAGCTCCTGGGCCGAGATGAAGATGCGTTTTGGGCTTTTACTGCTTGAGGACAGGGCGACCCTAACATCTTATTGGATGACAGGAAGGCTAAGCAGTCAAGCTACTGTTCAGGTAACTTGTGGACGAGGTTGCATTTGAACTGCTGTCTGCAGCCTCAAACAGACCAGACCAGAACCAGTGTTTGATAACGAGGAAGGTGCGACAAAGCTGCCGTTGGATTCAGGACAACCACGGAAGGAGCATCGGTGGTCCAACTTCCCTCGGGTTCATCACGTACTGTGGCGCAATGCCATGCAGGCTTGGCCATCCATCTTGGGTTCGGCTCGGCGCCCAGCTGGGTCATCGCTGACCACCCACATGCGTACCAGCATGCAAGCAACCCGCTCGGATCACAGAAATCTGCCACTTGCGCCAGCAGGCATTCACCCGAGGTCGGCGATATGATCATGATCATCTATGCCAGAGAGCAAGTACTGTCGTTCGCAGTTGTCCATCATTTGTGGATGCCAGAAGAAGCCCATTTTGAGGTCAACGTCAACGCTGGCAAGACGCGTCTCATTGTGGAAGCGACGACCGTCGTTCATGTAGTTATGCAAATGCGGGGTTGAGGGTTTTCGATATTCCCGTGGTCGCTTGTACAGGCGAGACTCCACCAGACGTCCCCGGTAGCGGTTGAGAGCGTAAAAACGGTGCACAGACGGGCACAGCAACAAAACGGCTTAAGATGTATGTATTATAGACTAAGCTAAGAGGTAGGCATCTTAGTCTATTCTAGTTAAATAGTTATATTATACTATCCTTATAGGATGCACTTTCCTACTCTATATATAGCTATATTCTTTAGTTAGAGATCTTATTAGTCTCTTAATTAAGTTAGTATAATAATAATAATAATAATAATAATAATAATAATAATATCTTTAGAATTAATAATAGTATTAATATTAATTCTTTATAGATATAACTCTAAAAAAATAAAAATGAAGAAGAAAAAAAAATAATATCTATATAAAGAAAAGAGAAGACTAAGTAGAGTAAATAAGAATATATTATAATAAATATTTTAATAATATTAAATCTAGTTATAAGATTATAATAATATAATTTAATATTTTTAATTAAGAATATCTATAAGATTATAGTATTTAGCTATAATAAATATAATAATAATATAGTAGTAATAGTTAGCCTATAGTTAAATAGTTTAGATAATCTATAAGATATAGATAAGTAGGATTAATATCTTAGTTAAGATAATAATAATATAGTATAATTCTTTAAGAGTTATAATAAAGTATTAGTAAATTATTATAGAAAATCTAAGATTATCTTAAATAATTATATAGATAATATCTTAAATAATAAAGATAATATTTTAAATATTATCTTAAATAATAAAGATAATAGATTCTTCTTCTTTATTAATATTAGAGATTTCTTTTATTATAGGCTAAGATAAAGATATATAGAGATATTATTAAATTAGTTATAAAGAAAATCTATTAAATAGATAGAGTTAATTATTATAATTATAAAGGATGTTATATCTAAAGTTAAGTAGGCTAAATAGAAATATATAATATCTCTCTTTTATATAGTTCTAGATATTTCTATTAATATTATTAAATATAAGATATCTTAAGATAATTATATCTATTATATAAAGAGAGTTCTATTATATATATTAGATAATATAGATAGACTAGCTATATTATTAGTTAGTAACTTAATAATAGATATTCTTTAGATTTATCTTATTAACTAAAAATTATTTCTATTTTAATATTATATTTTAAGAGATTAGATAGATAATAATATCTTTAATAAACTTAATCTTAATATTAATTAGATTTTAATATTAGATTAAGATTATATTAATAAAGTAGATTAGAATTTAAACTTAATAATCTACTACTCTTATAATTATTTCTTCTTCTTTTACTTTATATAATTTAGAATATTTTTAGTAGTATTATCTTTCTATTACTTTCTATAGAAAGTTTAAAATCTAATAGGCTAGATTATTAATATTAACTACTTATAATTAATAGATATTAGCTATCTTAATTATTAGGATCTCTTAGTTAGAGTTATATATAGGCTAGTTATCTATAGTATC